AAATAACAACAAACCACTATATTTTGGATTAAAACAAGCATCACAAAACATCAAAGCTTTAACACACATATGTACCCACAAAAAAATTTTTTAAATAAAATCTAATTAATCTTTTTTACAAGCATTTTTGTTGTGTTGAAACAACTGACAGAGGGGAATCAAGGAATTTTTTTGATGACCAAACATTATTTTTTGGAAATTATTTTTTAGTTATTTTTTAGTATTTAAAAATAGGGAGGTAAAAATGTAGAGGGAAAGTTGCTAAAATAATCCAAGATTTTGTTCTCGAGGAGGTGAGGTGAGAGGTTGTATACAGAGGTAATTTGAAGAGATGATCTTTGTTAAGTCTCAGTTGCTTTAACTCTTGGCAATTAAAAAAGCCAGGGATTAGACTTGACAGATTTTAGGAAATTGCGGATTTCTCAGAATTTGCTTTCGATATCCAACCCAAAATTTTAAATATTCGAATTTTTGGCACCAGTTCTGATATCTGAGATTAGTGCCGGTGCAAACCTTACGACCGTCTTATTCTACCGGTAAAAACCGCCGGTTGGTGGTTATCTAACCAGCAACCGAGTTCTTATTCTACAGGCTCAGGCCGAGCGCTAGTTTACCAGGATTCCTACATCTTACAACACAGGCTCAGGCCGAGCGCTAGTTTACTCAGGCCGAGCGCTAGTAACACAGGCTCAGGTCTACAGGCTCAGGCCGAGCGCTAGTTTACCAGGATTCCTACATCTTACACATAGTTTCATTGTATGTACTTATATTTTAACAATATTTCTTGAATCTTATCTTAATTTTAAATAATTTAAATAAATTATATTTAAAATTATTTGAAATATAAAATTAAAGTATTAACTGACAAAAAAAACTAAGTTTAATGAAAGTAAAGCGTAATTATCTATAATTTTAATATCTTCAATCATTTGATATAATCTGGTCCACTGGCACATTTTCCACTAAACAATTAAGATCAGCATTCGCCTGGAATACATTGGTGACAACGCCCGACATGACAGTAAGTTCCGTAGCAACATCCAGAGTTCCCGCTACATGGACCATTTTGACTAATACAATTCTTATTAAGACAACTATAAGTCTTTATTCCTGATTGTTGGCATTGTAAGTTTTTGCCCTTCACGGTGCAGCATGGATAACCATCATGGTCATTGTTACAACCAGTTTCATGTTCGTTTTTACAAGTAGGATCGGTATAGACATACTGGGCTAATAATAAAGTTGAAAATAAAAAAAGAAAAATATTTATTGGAGACATTTTTGAATAATTATGTTTTTTAATAATTAGTATATGCTAAAATAAAATTATTATTCATTATACACCCACAAATTGACTACCAGCCGACTTTGATCGGCTATTACTTTTTCAGGCTTAATCCAATTCAAATAAATTTTATATCATTCGAAAGCCCTCTGGTTCGCGTTATCTTTTTTCCAACTTAATGGTTCTGGTCTGATCACTCGTTAGAAGGTCGTAGCCCGTTAAATGTGAAAAACACCGAATAACTGGACATATCGAGCTATAAAATTTTAATAGACGATCAGACTTGATTCATCCTATTGGAATAAAAATAGCGCTTATCAAGGGCTTCCGAATGATATAAGATTCATTTGAATTCAATCAAGTTCAAAAAAGTTATGGCTGATAAAATTCGAATGGCACTCCTGCCGTTTAAGAGCTGATGAGTGCCTCACAATTTGTGGGTAATTGACGGAAAAATATGAATGTTATTTTTATTCATTTTCCTTAGTAAATGTTGTCATATGTAATAAACTTTTAAATAAACTTATTAAACTGATAATTTACTTTCCGTATTTATATGCTTTGAATTTCGTCATTTTTACACTTTCAAGACTAAACTAGAAAAAATTTTTTCTAAAGGTTGTGGATTATTTTTGCAATAAAAATTCCACCATAATTTATAACTTTGGTTTACCAACGAGGGTTAAAAATTAATATTTACTAGGAAAGATTTTTTGAATTTGGGAGAGTGAGAGAGAGATTAACCGAAACTTTTACACAAATCTCCATGTTATTACACATTGAGAAACACATTTACCGATTTGCATATTTGTTGAATATTTTTTTAATTCCTCAATAAAATATTTTTGAGATAATCACTATTACATTCTTTGTGTTAATAGAATACTACACTTGAATTTCACGGTCATATTAATGTCAAATACTTGCCTCTCGAGAGGTAACAATTTTTATTAGAGCCCGGCTCGATACGATATTTTTTCGATATTTTTCGGTATTCGGTATTTTTCGATATTCATCGAAAAAATATCGACCGAGCCCTCCGTCCGGGCTCTAATTTTTATCTATTTTTATTAAGTTTAGTCGGGAATTACTGGGCAAAATAACAAGAATATGTCAGTTTGAATGAGCCTATTTAGATATTGGCTTCTATTAGAGAGTGGGCGTTTATTTTTCGAATGACCCCCTTATGAGTGGACTTCTAATATAGCTGAGAGCTTAGGGTTTGATTAGAGCAATTACTGTAACTTTGATTTGATATTTAATTAATTGATATTTTGAGCTTCCCTTGGATGAGTTAATCTAAAAAGATTACTAAATTTCAGTAAATTTCCAAGCTTCAAAAGAAAAAAAAATAAAAAAACATAAGATAAACAAAAGCACAAAAATAAATTTTTAGTTGCACAAACAAAAGCACAAAATCGCTATCAGAAAGAAATTTAAAAGAGGCTGAAAGAATGTGAGCACCTCTTCAAGGAAAGAGATAAATTTGAGGATTTTTATAAAACTTTTATTTTTATAAATTTTCTCAAGTTAAATTTTTTATTTTTATCTAATTTTTGTGTTAATCTTGAAAATAAAAATTAAAAATTTTTCATTTAATTTAAAATTATTTATTAATTAGAATGTCATCTTCTGAGTATGTACATCGCCCTAGACCAGCTGGAATTGCTGGAGAAATATTTGGAAAGGTCTTAAAGAAATTAAATTTTAAACAGACCTGGTCATGAATACTGATTTTTATCCGTATCCGGATATTTACGGCGGATACAGGCGGATATCCGCAGGCATTTTGGTATTATCTGTATCCATATCCGTATCCATGACCAGGTCTGATTTTAAATAAAATCTTGTCATAAAAATGACATTTATTCCAAGAATTACCGTAATTTGGCGAATTTCTCAATTTTTAAACAAATCAGAAAATTTTTAAAGAGTAAAGGATTATGTAAAATATTCCCAAGTCTTCACGAAGAATTTTTCCCTTCCTGAATGAGAAGTTGGAAAAATTTCTCGGGTCGGGTTTCGGTTCCAAAAAAGCCCAGGTTCAAGATAACCCGAGCCATTCTTAATAAACCTAAATCGTTTAACCCCAGCTTAAGTATCTTAAATTGTGTTAGGTGAATCAACTTTTACGGCGAATCATCCTTGTAATTAAAATCAAAACAAAACAAATTATAATTCTAGCAACAATCAAAATATAACGAATTGGAAGGTAATCATTTGCTGGAATGGATTAAAGAACTGGTAAAGGATGATGCCGTAAATACAGACGGATCAAGACAAAACTTTCATACCCAATTGAAGGATGGGCAATTGTTGTGCAGGTAAACGGTTTATAATAAGGGGTATAAATTGAAAGGTATAACTCGAGTCATGAAAGAATTGAAATTTTATTAAAAACATAAGTCTGCACCGATTTTCATTCCAGCATGATTTTGTGTTCTCGATGAAACAAAAAACCTCAGTAACGAGGGGGACCCCCCCAATATTTAGGAATAAAATTCAAATCCTAAATAAAGTGAATCCACTATTAGATCACTGTAGAATTCTCCCTAACGGGTCGGATTATTTTATACTTTTTTAGACTTTTGAATGCTGTCGAACCTGCTACTGTCAAAAAAGTTATGAAACCGATCTCAAACTTCAAGTAATTTTTTAGTTTCCAAAAAAAAGTATTTTTGCCCTAATAAGTTGTATGGAAAATATCAACCAATTCGTTACTGGCGCGCGCAAGCTTGGTGTGATTGACGAAGAAACATTTCAATCTGTTGATCTTTTAGAAGGACGAGATTTATTTTCTGTTTGCGTAACTTTACAGGCACTCGCAAGAAAAGTAAGTCTAAATAGTTGGCCCCCGACCCTGCCCGTCGATGATGTCAGGAATCTGTGCTCGAAAATGCCATCATTCCCTAGCCAGATCCACGGCATTTTCGAGCACAGATTCCTCTAAATCTTCCTCGAAGAAGTTCTTCTCCCTGAAGGGTCGGAGACAAACTCTATTCTAAGACGATTTTTTTACAAAAATATTTAATTTTAACTCAATCTAGCTTGAAAAGTCGCATGGAATTGCACCACCGAAGCAAGTGCCAAAGAATAAAATTTGAGAGATTAAGACGGGATATAAAAATAAAATTTCTTAAAAATTCAGCAAGAAGGAGTTAGCATGATGAATTTAAATGAATAATAATTTTTATTAAAATGTAAACTTATTTAAAGTTTAAAATGTTGATTTTTAAAAAGAGTTTGAATCAGTTAATATACAAAAGAAAATCATTAGCTATCAAGAAAATCATTAGCTATCAAGAAAATCATTAGCTATCAATCATTAGCTATCATACTAAGTGCTGTGTATGGCTCTGGGAGCTAGATCCGAAGCCCGGCTACGTAGCTAAGATTTTGAAAACTCCCGAGCCGGAGACAAAATATATTTAAAATACTCCGTAAAATTTGGTAGGCCTCCGAATCTTGGAAACTGTAAGAGATATACCCATTTCATAAGGAACAAATTTTTTCAACCCCTAAGTAAATATCTAAAAATTGAAATAAATTGCAAATTTCTCATTCACACCAGAAAAATTTTTAAAAATAATTTTTAAAATAAAAATTAATTCAAAAAATTATTACAAAAAAAATTTTTTATAAGAGAAAGCTAAAAAACATACATTTTTGTCCAAAAATTACATATCATAATCAAATTCTTCTCTAAAATCCCATTTTAACTATAAAATGAATGCCGATAATTCTTCGAATCATTTAATAAAGCATAATGTGGATATTGAGTAGAACCCGTAGAAGCATTATTTCCAATTGGATAAACATTTGGTGCAGCTACAGAATGATTATATTGTTGTTGTCGAAGTAATTCACAAAGTTTTTCTTCTTTAATTTTCCTAGAAAAATTGATAAAATTAAGAAAATAAAATTTGAAGAATAGGCACTACAGGAGAAAGGGAAGGACATTTCTGTGAAAAATGGAAACCAAGACTTCTTCCAACCCGAAACCCGATCTTAAAAAAATTTTTTTAAACGTGACCTGACTTAATTCTCAACATGTCCCATCCGTTTCTACGAACATTTTTATAAAATAAGCTCGAAAAAATATCCGCAAAAATTATTCTTTCCTCTAAAAAAATAACGCTCCCCCAAGTGCCGCATAAAATAATAGAATAAAACCTTAAATGAACAGTAGCACGCTTCTCACAAAATTGCTTAACAAACTCATCAATGTCCAACTCTCCCTTGTGAAAGTCTTCCGATATCTTCTGAAAAAAATTTTTTAACTGTAGTCTTAATTTATTCTTAAAAATTTTCTAGAATTTTTATAAAAATTTCTGACTCCAAAAAATTAATTTATTTCAAGGGTTTACACTCAAAAATTCTAAAAAACAACCTCGCTCTCTTTTTCCGCTTCGTGTGCAAGAGTCTTCAAAGTAGAACAAACAGAATCAAGCGAGCGAGAATTGCTTAACTAAAAATAAAATAAATTTGTTTTAGAATACAGTCGTATCTCGGTCTTAAATACAACTTTTTGCTGAAGAATCATATAAACCAGCAAGGGCGTACCAGGGATCTGAAGCCCCCCCCCCCCGAAATGAGGGAAAGGGGAAAAATAGGAAGAATGTTAGCGGCGCCCATGTTAGCCTCCCAGAAAATGACCCCTGGCTACGCCCTTGTAAACAAGAGATATTAACATTGATGATATCCTTGAGCTCTACCTTATCCAGTTGTCAAAGAATTTAAAAATAGTAGGTAAACCCGATTCATTATTTGAATTTTAATTGAATTTCCCAGTCGTATATCTCACAATTCCTCATCGATCGAGGGACTAACAAAACCAAATTTTAATCAAAACCTTGTCAAGTTTCTCCTTCATTTCTTCCACACTTTTCTTCTTCTCAACAGCATCAGAATGAGTTTTTTGTAAATTTTGTAGAGCAGTTTTTAATTTTTGTTCCATAGACAAATTATATTCTGCCAAAGATTTTGACTGAACAAATTTCATTTCTTTGTCATTTGAAATTGAATTGATCTTAAAAATTAAAGAAACATTTTAAAATTTATTTTGGCTGTCAAGGTTTGGATGCTTTTCAGAAGTAATCAAGTAAGATTATTCAAACCTACAAACATTTTCAAATTTATTTTGGTTTGGTTCTCAATAAGATTTTTAGAAATAATGAGAATATAAGATTACTCAAACTTAACAAACATATCCATTAATTTCAAGCTTCACATTCCCTATCCCCAACCTGAAAAACGGACAAAATTTTTAAAATCAATATAAAATTCATAATGCTACTTTGTCAAAAAATGAGTGTTGACCCAACTAAAATCAATGAAACGCTCAATCGGAATATAAGATTAATAAACTTAACGATCATATCCATTAATTATAGGAGTGACATTCCCTTCCCTAGCCTAAAAAATCGGAGAAAAGGACAGCAAAAGACCATGCCTTTTAAAACCAATATATTCTAGAATTCATTAAGCCATATTGTCAAAAAATGGGTGATTGACCCAGCTAAAATCCAAGACGACCCCAAACACAAACTGACAAGCGATAGGCAGTCGTATACCCACAGAATAATCCCGGAAATAACTATAATTAGAATAAAAAATAAACCTGTGAAAGATTGTCGATAAACGAATTTAGTTTACTTTCATTATTTAAAAGAACACCAAGTTGATCTTCAGTATAATTTCTGATTGAAGTAACCAGCGTTTGAGTACAAGATTCAAGCAATCCTGGAAGGTCACGAGAACTCATTTTTTAATTTTCAAAAATTTCTAAAATAAAAATTTTTTTTTAATTTTTAGAAAAATAAAATTGAAAATTAAACAAAATGTAAAGAAAAAAATTAAAAAAAATTTAATCTTTAATTTTATTCACCGAAATTATAAAAAGAAAGTAAATCTAAAATTGCGTAAAATCTCTAATTAAATAGCCGAGGGTTCTATTTTTCAATTACCTTCCAAAAAAAAAGAATTTTATTACGAGGGGGCAATTAAATGGAGTAAGGCATTCATTATATTGGAAATTTTAAGGAAAATAATTTTTTTAGTTTATTAAAGATTTTTAAAATAATTTTTTTGGCCTTCTGTATTTTAAAAAGAACCAAAAAAAATGTCCGGTCAATTAGAATTAGAGATCGGCACGATACATCCGCACGGGATTTTACGGGATCCCGTCCCGTAATCCTGGGTTTTGAGCTAAAAACCTGGGTTCTGAGCTAAAAAAAAAGAGATTAACGGGACTTACAGGATTAATCCCGGAGAACCCGGCCCATATAAAATATTGAAAATCCAGTTACGGGATCCCAGGAATGCGATTTTGCCGGTCTGTGATTAAAATATAATTGAACAGTAAAAATATATTTTTTGCAAATTTAACCGGTTTCGTACCACTAATTTAGTTTACCCAATTTGTAAGTCAATTATAGTTCATATTTAACCTAATTTACTACATCAATTTCATCTTCAGATGGCCTAATATTTTGTTCAGCAATCTCACGTTCTTTTAAAACTGTTGGGGTACTATGTAATTCAAGAAAGTTTATTGCACCACCATATCTTTCACTGAAAAATATTTTAAATGAATAAGAAAGATTAAAATTAGAGAGCGTAAAATCATTTAGAAAGAATCCTTGGCCCTTAATCCTCAACTTAAATTTAGCCTAGAGAAGATTATGGACTTGTAGTCGAGGAGAAAATCCAAAAGATGCCTGGACCGGAACTCAAGAGAAATCCAAGGTTCAGCACGGTCTCAAAAAAACAATGACCCAAGAAAAAAAAGAAATTTTTCAGGAGGTTAACAAAAATATTTTAAAATAAAACCCCCATCCCTCAAAATGGGAAAAAATTTTGGGGAGGGGATTGGGCAAAAAAAGTCAATTTTTTGTCCTACGGTCTAGCTTCTTAGCCTAAATTTTTACAAAAAAAATAACCTCCATTCAATAGATTTATTAAAAGAATCAGAAACAGCAGGATATCGTTTTTCCAATAAATCATCTAAATCTGGAAGTGTATAGTCTTTTGAAGAAATTCCCAATTTTGTAAAAACTGGACCTAAAAAAATTTTTTTATTAAAAAACCTAAACCACAAAAATTACCAATACTAGCATGTAATCTCTTGCAAATTTCTCTAGGAAAAGCAAATGCTGGGGAAACATAATTAGGGCAATCAATTTTGTCAAAACAGCGCTGGACAAAATAAAAAGATGTCAGGTCGATAACCTGAAAAAATTTTTTTTGAATTTTTTGAAGATTTTTTAAGAAATTTTTTAATTTTTAAAAGGAGGCAGGCCCGAACCAGGGGGTAACAGGAATCCCCCCCCCCACCCCCTCCGAAATAGAGAAAAGGGAAAATTTTGGGGAGGAGATTGAGTAAAAAAAGTGAATTCTCAAAATTTTCGCCAGGGGGTAGGGGGACCCCTAAGGAGTAGGAGGGCACCCCCTAACCTAAAAATTTCAAAATTTCCCCCTTGCCCCCCCCCCCTCCTCCCGAAAAAACCCGGGTTACGGGCCTGAAAGGAGGGTTAACAAAAAAATCCAAAAAAATATTTTAAAAATCAATTTAAAATTTCTCTTACCCAATAAACATTTTGATTTCGATGTTCTCTTCCACGGCTCATACAATATTTTGAATGATTAAGCTAACAATAAAATTACATTTTTAAAAACAAAATATTAAATTTTCCTAACCTGGTATTGAAGATTGTAATGACGTTCGGGTGGGTCAGTAAGAGTATTTTTTGAAGCTGGGTCACCTTTATAAAATAAATTATTGAAGGAAACAACAATGTAAGAGTTAGTTTCATTTCATTCAATGTAAGAGTTGCCCCCCCCCAAGGAGTAATTTAAACCCCCCCTGAGGAGTACTTGAAAAATTTTACCAGGTTAACTTGCTCGCAAGGAAGAGCAGGGTAACCTATCGGGCCAATTTTTCTGCTTATCTGACCCTGATCCCAAAAATAAGAAAGTCAAAGGGCTTCAAAGTTTTTGGTCCTCTTTGGAGCGGCTGGGTCCCCTCATTTTTCATACATATTAAAAAGGAAGATGAGACTCCTTTTCCTAGATAATAGAACTCCGAGTTGATGGTTAACCCTTATTTCCAAAAAATTGATCCATAATTCGCTGCCTACCCGCAACTGAAAGTAAACTAATCCAACACACTAATCTTAGAATATCAATCTCGGAATAATTTTAAAAAAATTTTTCATTGAATTTTAAGGAATCCCAAGAGAATAAAAAATTATTTTACGATTATTCTCGTCTTTAGAATTGTCAACATAAACACAAATAACACGCCACATTCTAATTTCAGCTCTTGAATTAAATCGTCGAAAAACTCGAAGCATATAAGCATCTATAAAAGGAAATGGAGAAGGAACGTTATCACGACCACCAGTTAATTCAACGACTTTTGAATAAAATTTATCAGAAGATGATGGAAGACCACTAAAAAAATAAAATTTTTAGTTAATTAGTAGACAATAGAGATCAAGATGAGCTAAAGTATGGGATTTTTCTGTACACAGAACCAAGTATGTTTAATAGTTCTAAGGATATTTTGGAGTCTGGATGGATTTTTCTTGAGATCAAAACCTGAGTTTTCATGTACAAAAACCTAGGTATGTCTTGGGAGTTCCTAACAATGAGGTTCTTTGGGCTTGGATTTTGCTTGAACTCCGGTTCATTGTCAAATCAATGGATTCAAAAATTAGTCGATGCCCAGACAGATTTAATAAAAATCTCCCCAATTTTATTTTAGAAAAGGAAAAAATGGCGTCGTTCAGTTGGTTCCTTATGGACAAAAAAAATTCCTAAAATATTTAAAACCTGTGTGTAAGCAATCTATGAGCAACTCTAGGCCTAGCAAAACTAGTAGATGGTTGTTGCACATTCTGTTCATTTTCTTCTTCCTCCACCCTCTCCACATCCAAATTTTCAACATTAATAAAAGGTTCAATTGCTCCCTCCTTTCCCATAGAATGTCTTCTTCTTAACGCCTCAACTGTTGCATTAAGTGCACAAACGGCTGGTAATGAGCTCAAATTGACCAATTCGAGTTTGTCGTAGCCAAATGGAATTACAAGCGAGTCAAGAAAAATTTTTGCATTTTTTGGCGATTGTTGGCCATTTTCTGGCAAAATTAGTCAATAATTTAAAAAAAAATTAAAATGAAACCTTCATAAAAACGACAATAATCCGCTAATCGTAAAATTGCATCCTTCCCACATTTGCTGGATTGGAAAATCCGAAAATTGCGGTTCTTTGTATAAACACAAATGTCACAAAGAAAAATTGGGCTGTCTTTTGGTCCGTTGAGAATACAGCAATCCGATTTTAATAAATTACTGAAAGTGAGAAAAAAAATTTTTTTTGAAATTTTAGGGGAAAAAATTGTGGAAAAAATTAAGAACTAATTTTAAATATGGTCAATCGGGGAAAAATTTTTTTTAATCTTTGTGCCTCATAATTAGGGTTGTCGGTTCCTGGAAATTCTCCGGATATCCGAAACCGAACGAAAAAACCTAACCGAAAAATCCTTGGTTCTTCGGTCCAGAACCGACAACTCTAATTATTAAGCGTCTGAACACAACAGCGCCTTGGCCAGATTTTTTAGGGCCATAAACCTAGTATTTTTTAAAGAAAACCAGGCTTTCCAAAATTTCAGGTCATTCAGTGTTTTGACTAGTGTAGCAACCTAACCCTTCGGGGGCGGGTATGTCGGGGATCAGGGTTTGCCGAGGAAGGCATTTCAGGGTCGGGTTGCTACCAGTTTTAATTAGAAAAATTCGGTCCTGGTCAGATTAGACAAAAAACTGAAGAGCCTAGAAATCTAAAAATCCAAACTATCCAAATATAAAATAACCTGCAAATAAACATAACAATAGTCTTCAAAGCCACATTATTCGGAAAAAGTTTTTCATTTTCTCCTTCCTTAACATGCACAATAACATGGGCACTGAACTTTGAAGTGCTTGAAGAGTCCAAAATGAGGAAATTTTTGATTGGGTCCAAGTCAATATTTAAAAGTGAATGCAATGAACGGCAAACAACTTTGCAGAATTCTTCAGTCAATTTAGGCCCACAAGCTTCTTTATTAACATCATAAGGAAATTCCAGGTCAAAATATAGTCGACAAGGGTAGTCTTCCAAAACAAGTTCGTAAAAATGACGCATCTCAGGTGCACATTCACGATACCAAAGATAAAAGTCGCGAAGTTCTGTTGCAATAAATTTGCGACAGCCTGAAAAGGAAATTTTAAAAAATTTAAGCGGGTAATAGAGATCTAGACGGGTCTGGACGGCTGAACATCTAGTAGAGATCAAGCTGAGACCAAGGCCTGGGGTTTTCCTGTGCACGGAGTCCAAGCCTAGGCATTTTTTGACCTTCCTTGATTTTTCCTGGGCATGGGTTTTTTCCTGGACAAGTCCAGGAACAGGCAGAGTCCAGGAACAGGTCCAGGCTTTTCAAAAATTCCGATACTAGTGGGTAATATTGTCGCATGTCTCCCTCTTCTCTTAAGTTTTATTGATGATTGATGCACGACAGCAAAACTAGTAAGATTTTTTGGGAGAAGGAAGACAAACAACAATTTAAGCTATAAACAATTATTAGAAGGGGTGTTCACGACCGGCCAAATTCTCGCCTGTGGCGACACAAATGTTTTAAAATTTCCAATTAGCTGGTTGTGAAGACACTACCGACTATGTATTTTTGTAAAAAAATAAGAAAAAGAAACCTGGCTTAAAATGAATATCCTCAAACGAAAATACACGCGCATTTGGAGATTTTTTCAACTTCATTTTATTTATAGCTTCATGTTGACGAGCTTCAATTGGAAATTTTTTAAGTAGTGGACCGACAACACTCATTCTCTGAAAGATAAAATAAATAAAATTTCTGAAAAAAATTAAGGGGCTAGCCCGAAGAATTTCAAAAAACTCTACAAAAAATAAGAAAATTGTTAAATTTGAAATAGGCACCAATTTATTAATTTGGCGTTGTGTTTAATTTAGGGCTATTAGAGTATTATCATTTAGTTAAAAATTTATTTTCATCAATTCCTTATCAATTCTCTTGGTTGTTTTTGCTTGATTACATATTAGCCTGTAGATTACGCATTTCTAAAAACTTTTGCGTGACAGGATTTTTCGGGATAGATTTCTGCGCAAAGTCCCGCAAATAAAAAATTGCGGGATTATGACTAGAGACTGGCAAAAACGAACTACCGGGATCCCGTGTCGTGATTTTTTTTTCTTAACCAATGCCAGGACGGGATCCCGAGGGGTAAATCCCGAAAAAATTCCGGATCGAGATCTCGGAAAGGGATCGAGATCTCGGAAAATACCGTCGGGATCCCGTCCCGTGCCGGTCTCTAAGTGGGGACACGCCCTCCTTGTCGCGGGCCACCTTGTCGCGACCACCTTGTCGCGACCACTTTGTCGCAGGCCACCTTGTCGCAGGCCCACCTTGTCGCAGGCCACTTTGTCGCAAAGGTAAAAATTTTTATGCTGCTATGGAGGGTAAGAAAAAGGCCTCCTGGGCACGATCAGGGTTTTCCGGAGTAATCTGCTTCGGTTTTGCTCTGCTAAAAACTTCGGCAGAATTAACCCGGATACGAAAAAATAATAAATGGAAAAAATACTTAAAAACTTTATCAAAAAATTTGAAAAAAAAACCATTGTCGCGCTTCACTTATTAAATTTGTGGCCCTAAGCAGGGTCATTTGGGTTTGTTTTTCTTGTTGATGTTCTCCTAATTTCAACATCTTCGTTCCTTCAGAAAATGCAAACTTGAAAAGCGGCAGTCAGAAACTGCTGGAGATCAACTAAAAAATTAAAAAAAAGAAACAAAAACTTAAAAAACAAAACAAAAATTCTAAACCTTTTCAAATTTCCCATCGTTATAGCCGTGGGATGAAGTACGGCACGTGGTGAGCAAAGTTTAAGCCAACCTTAAAAGAAAAAGCAAGGGAAGGCTTGCGACAAGGTGGCCTGCGACAAGGTGGGCCTGCGACAAGGTGGCCTGCGACAAAGTGGTCGCGACAAGGTGGTCGCGACAAGGTGGCCCGCGACAAGGTGGGCCGTACCCCTCTAAGTGTGACACGGGATCCCGCCACAAAATCCTGCGCGGGATCGTGTCCCGTCCCGCGCCAATCTCTAAATTTTTAGTTAAGTTATTGTCCGGTACACAGTCTTTTCTTTCTCGTTATTTATTCACCGATATTTGTTTAATCTTTTTTTAGATCCTTATCTTTTTTCAGTGCATTTTAAAAAATGGTAGCTCGTGCTAAATCGGGTTCTCCACCTATTAAAATTATGAAAAAGAGTGAAATTCAATCTTCAAGTAATTTTGTGGAAGAAACTGCGTTTGGCGAAAATTTACAAATTGGGTGTTTTGATGATACTTTCAAGTTTATTTTTGATTAAATAACCTTAAATTCATTTTGTTTTAAGAAAATTCTTCGCTTATTCTGATAGTGATGTTATTTATTTTGATGTTGATAGCGGTGAAAGAATACGAGTTTACAGGCATAATGGTTCTATTGTTATTGGTGTCTACTTTCAGGATAATTTGGTATATATTTTTTATTGAACCTAAAGTCATCATGACTGGGCGAGTTTAGACATGGTCATGACCAGACTGAGTTTTTATAGGTTTTTGAAACCTCCTAACTGACCATTGCTGTTAAAAACCTATAAAACTCGCTCTGGTCGTGACTGATTGTTTCAACCCCTTCAACATGGTATCTGTTGCATAAACCTTTTATGCTGGTCGGTCGGCAGTGGAGCTTCTTTCGTCTAACTACGTATACCTTGCTCCCTCCTCTGTGGCAAAACCTTCCACGGATACCATCTAGTATGGATTGAAACAGCTGGTAATGATGACAGTGTTTAAACTTATTCGATCCCGATATTCAATGGTACTTCCACATTAGCTCTTTCGATGAACTATCATTTGTATATTCTTCTTCATCTCTAAGGGCAAAGGCGTAGCCAGGGCGGGAGCCTCCCATCTAAAATTGACCCCTTGCTTCGCCGTTCTTAAGTGTCTAGTTAGTGCATGAAACTTTAATAATATCAAAATTTCTCAAGTTATTATCCTTTACTAATTCACCACATTATTTTCTCTGGAATGTGGATACTGGGGATCAAATAGCTTCAATTAACATCCAACTTCCTTCTGATCAATTAGCTCTCTGGACGTATAATTTTGATGGGAAATATTTTATTCTTGCTCAAAGTATAGAAAATAAGAAAAAATCACAAGTGAAAACGACGAGTTCTGTCAATGAAAATCAAGGTTTCTTTGAATTTTTTTGCTGAAATTCATTATAATCAATTTTCAGAATCTTCCCTTTTCGAAATTCTTCAGCTCAACACAACTCAAAATTCTTCTCAAAAATCAAAAGTTTCAACTCGTCTGGTTGCTCAACTAGAAAACACTCCTCCTTCAAAAGCTCATTTAGCTGTTTATTCTGGATTTTTTGTAAAATGTGAAAAAAGAATTGTAAAAATTTATGCTTTTGGCGAGGATGATGAGGAAGAAAATGAAGATGAAAATTTGGCAAATGGTACAAATGAAGATGAAGAAATGGAGGAGGATGTAAAACGAGGTTCAAATTCGGCTGTGAAATTGCCGTATGTATTTTTTTATTTTGGTTGGGGATTAGGTGTCGTTTTTGGAGACTTTACCATTTTTGAGACCTAGATGTGTTTCGGAAAAAAATTTCGAAAAAATCTCGGTTCTCGTACGACTTCACAGACCGGTTCTCTTCTTATAAGGCTTTAAATTTTTAATCTCCTCTTTTTCCTCTACTATGATTCGGTTATTATTAATTGGTAACAATATGTATTAGTTGTTTATTCTTTTTCTTGACAACAATTTTCAAGAGCATATCCAAGGGGGTCTATGCCTTCCAAAAATTCAAAAATTTTAGTGTGGTTGCGCCATTGTCAATTTCCTCGCCCAAACAATATTTTTTACTTTTATAATTTTAAAATTAAGTAAACGTCGTGAGTACCATATTGATGCTAAATTCGATGTTGTTGATCAAAACCTTGTTGAATTTAAAGAAGTTGTTATTGCTGGAAATTCGTTGTATGCTGTGTTGAATATTGGACGTGTTTATTGCTGGTTTTTATTTTTTAAACTATTTTTAAAGCTTTATATTTTAGGACCGATTTTACAACGAGAGGCTTGTCAACTTTCAATCTTTCTCATTTTACTTTGTCTGGGTATAATTTTTTTTTAATTTTTTTGAGGAAATTTTTTTAAAGATGCTTCTAGTTTTTGGGAAATAGTGAATGAACAAAATTTTTTGGATATTCGGGCTTCTTTTTTCTTTTTGGGTATACGGAATCAACGGCACGCGGACATATTGTGACGGACATATTAGGTTATTTAAATGTACGAACATTTACCCTACTGATTTCGGGACCTACGGCCACTGGTGTCTTGGATAGTATATTGTCCTGTTGAGGAATAGAGTTTTTATGTTTAAAACAAATGTAAACACGCAATAAATTATTTTTGTCACCTCAATCACGATATGTCCGTTCCGATATGTCCGCACACTGAACCAACACTTGTATTTCGCGATGTTTTTGAAAATTTTTGGAAAACAGTTTTTAATTCTGTCATCTCTTAAAATTTCATTTCTAGGTATGAACCAACAATTTGTGTTTCGGATATTGGAACTTCATTTATAGGCTTTGGAAATACACAACTTTACAAATACAATTTAACTGCTTCGAGGTTTAAAATTAAATTTCAATTAATTAATTTTGTATTTTTTAGTGGTGTTGGCAGATGGATTTCACATGAACATTTATTACTTGAATCACCACCGCGTTCTTTGCTGCTTTGTGGTGATTTTACTAAAATGGCTGTTTTGCTGAGGGATAACACTCTTTGTTTTATTAGTACGTCGCAAATGCAATTAATTTCACGTGCAGAGGTTTCGTTTGATTTTTATTGTTTTCTTTCAAGTCTCTTTGGGAATTCTGAATTTTAAGGTCCTCATTTTTATGAAAATTTATCTTTTTTTAATTTATTTAGTTTTTATGTGTATAAAAGGAGAAAATAGATAAGAAGTGAGGTGAGGTCCAAGGGATTAGGTGAAGCGAGCATGCCCACTCTTTCGAAATTCGCCTTCTGGATATCAAGGGCGTATCTAGGTGGGTTGTTAACTCCATTAAGAAATTAAAATGTGCCAAAACTATCCCTTTTTAATTTATTTAATTTCCTTGGGTATTACAAGGGAGAATAGGAAAGAAATGACACGCGTATCCAGAGATTGTAAGATTTTTGGAGGGCCTTCATCCTCGAAATCCACTCTCTGGATATTCCATTGTTAAATCAAAATGGGCCCATAACGTTACAATTTTCGGTTATTCTTTCATTTTTTAAATTTATTTTTTTATAGGTTTTACACGTTTTGTGTCTTCCTGAACAATACAATACTGAAAATTATCGTTTTTCAATTACTAATGATCCGGCATTGGAAAACGAATTATTATTTGTTGCAAATGCACGGCTTGGTCATATTCAATGGATTGACCCTCTTTGTTGGCAAACTACTCGTATTGTAAGAATTTTTTTGGAATTTTTTTTTGAATTTTTGAATAGTTGGACATTGCTGAAGAAAATGGCCCTCCACCACAAGATACTTTTAATATGCCTAAATTTCAATGGTTAAATACTTATTTGGTTTGTTTAAGTATGCAAATGCTTGTTAGTTGTGAATCTAGTCGAGATAATACTGAAAAGGTTTTCGTTTTAAATTTTATTTTTTTGTTATTTTCTGTTATTTTGCCTTTAACGGGGCTAAAATTGTGTTTAGCTTCTCCAGACATGTCGCCAGGCTGAGGAAGGGAAGAATCCCTCTTTTGAAAAAATATTTTCTTTCTTCCGCTTTTTTGTTAAAGATATGAACCCTCTTAAGAATTTATTAGTATTTTCTGTTATTTTCCCATAACGGGGTTAAAATTGGGTTCCCTTGACGGGGTTAAAAAGACACGTCGCCAGGTTGAGGAAGAATCCCTCTCTTTAAAAAAATTTTTCTTTTCCGATTTTCTGTCAAAAATCTAGAAACCCATGCCATGTTGGTAGTCTGCTCAATGAGACCTATTGAAAAATAAAAACCCGAGGCTTCTATTAGAATATTTACTTTCCAATCCTTCATTTTCCAGACATTAATAAAATTTTGGAGACGATCAAAAAGCAAATCTTTGGCAAATGCTTCTTTTAAATTGGAAAATTGTGTCGAATTATTTGATAAACGTATAAAATTTTTGCGTTCTACATTTGATGAATTTACAAACATTCCTTCGTCATCTAATGCTAATGAAAGGGAATTATCGACAAACAATGAAGAATTTATATTTGTTTACTCAACTGGATTAATCGACATTTACAAAAGAGATGCTTCAAGAAGGTTTTTGTTATTATTTTTTTTTCAAATGGCTTTCAAGGGAATTTAAAATTTTTGTTTAAATTAGGGTAGCTCACAGTTTAATTAATCAGTCTCCTGTAGGTTTTGGATTAGTCTGATTTTAAAACGAAAAGTTTGTGTCGAATGGTCCTGGTAGTTTGAACTTGAAAATTTCTAAAATTTTTGGAATTAAACTCAAGTAATGAGCGTTAAGAGACGGGCCGGGTTTGTGTTAGAATGGTCGTGGTAGTTAGAAATTGAAAATTTCTAATAATTTTTGGAATTAAGCTCCAGAATGATTAACGTTGGTAGATGGGAAACTGAAACAAATTTTTAAAAAATTGCAATTACAAGAAATTATTTTAGTGGATATTTGTAATATGGTTCCTAGTTGTTTCTTTCATTTTTGCATGAGATATGGGGTTTTCAGACCATAAGTGTTTTTAAATTTTAGAATCTTAAAATTTGGCAAATAAATTATTTTCCAATTTTAGATCATCTCATTGGTCTGTCGATTTAAAAAGGCGTGAATCAAACTGGCAAAGATGTCTAATAACTTCATGTTCTAAAGTTCGTAAACGCTTATTTGCTACAATTCAAATATTGAATGATTCCACATTTATTGTTTTGAGAAATGTTGATGAAATGAAAATTACTCGAGTGATTGATAATCTTGTGGATGCAAAACAAGTGCGTTTATATAATAATTAGTTTAATATTTTGTAATTTTCTGATCTTGGTTCAAAAACTTTTTTTAATTTTTACGTGACCCAAGGGTTAGACCTGACTTGCTAATGGACATGGATCCAGAAGCACATAAAACAATAATGTCTCCAAACTTTATTATTGTTTTATTTGCTTCTGGATTAAACATGGATCTTGATATCCGGATATCAACGGGGGTACATGAGGATATCTGCAGGCATCGATATTCCCTGTATCCGTATCCATTACCAAGTCTGTTTTAGACTCTGAAAGCCCATTAAACACAGAAATCCCCAAGCTGCTTAAAAATGACAGATCCAAGGTAGAATCCGGTTCTGGTTCGAACATAAGAAGAGTTTGATACGTCGTTCTTCTCATAATCAGACATTGATTCAAAAAATTATTTAATTCCAAAATAATTTGCCTTTTTCTTTTTTGTAAAGGTTGAATGGTCACATTCTCCAAACATTTTAATTGTTTTATGTGCTTCTGGATTAGTTGCTTTTAATTGCAAAAAAGAAAATCAACTAAACCCTCTTTGGATTATTAAACAACCCAATTTTGTTGATTTAGGCTCTAGTCGTTCTTTCACATTTACACATAATGGACAAGAAGGTTTTGCTTAAATTAAAATTTTATAAATATTTAATTTTAAGTTTATCTTTTAAACCCTGAGGATGGAACTAAAAATAATTTTATGGAAGAAATTCGGTTTAGTCAACCACAAAAGAGGATAATTGCTCTACAAAAACATTCAAAAGATAAGAGAATATGTAACAACATTTATTTTTGTGGAATTAATGATCAGGTAAATTTTTAACTCATTGATAGATTTTAGAAAATACGCTGACTTCAGCATAAGATATACCCTATATTAGACACGTTGGATGGCCACTGGGTTTGGCGAAGTTTTCTAAGAGATACTTTCAATTAATTAATTTTTTACTCGACCAAGGCTTTTCCGCTTCGAAAACTACTAACTCCAGAAATTCCCGTCCTATAAAAAATGTCTGGTTGGGAGTCAGACTGGTTCAGGTCTTAATGCATACTCGGCCTTCTTTATTAAGTTTTCTACCGACCCAATGTCTGCAGGTCCCCCTTGATCATCTTTATGTAGGAGCGACAATAATAGGGTACGATTTTTCCGACCCCAATATTTTACCTTATACTGAAGTCTGGATATCAGACTCTAATCAAAATTTAATTTTCATTTATTTTTAGGGTTCTTTCACACTTATTTCACCAAAATTGCCTTCTATTGAAGAAAAGAATTCAATTCAAATGGAAGAAGAGAATTGCAATAATATTATTAACAAAAATTCAAACAAAAAAATAAAGTCAGAAAAACAGACAGCATTCTCTCGATTAGTTGAAATAGATGAAGAAAAGAAGATTGAAAAGAAGAAAAGAAAAAATAAAAAGAATGAAGAAAATGAGGAAGAAGAAGATAAATCTTTAAAGAAGCCTCGATATTTATTAAAACAAGTTTCTATCAAAAAAATTATTGATGGCCCAGCATATACTCTACCTTCAATTTCGGTGTTGGCACAGCGGTTTGTTCAAGCTTGTCTGGTAAGGAGACGGTCTTAAAAAATTTTTTGAAGTTTATTGTTAAGATTGTTAACATTCTTTCAGAATTTTTTTTGTTGTTGTCATTGTTTTGTTCCCTTTATTGTTACGTTTTTTCTATATTTTATGTTGAAAAATGTTTTATAAGTATTCCGTTGCTCCTTCTTTTAGTATTCTTAATTTTTCGGATTTTAAGAAATTAAACCATAAAAGATTTTGGGGGTAGAAACAATTACAGTTACTCCTCCCATTAGCCTTGGAGGGATCACAACTGGTGTAGTGCCTAGTGGTGCGCTTTGAATTTGCTGACAAAAATCCTTCAACGCCGACAAAAAATCTTCAATCATCGTTTCCAAAAGTAAAACTGCATCCACGCGGACTAGGTCGCCAACCTTTTGTTTGTGGATCTGGATCTGCCCAAAGCAGATCCGTTGCAAATGGACCGCTTTTTTGGGGTCCTTTAAGCCTCTTTTTAACTTTTTCAAATCTTTAGCGATCCTAAGTGCTGTGAAATCCCTCCGTGCATACACAAAATACGGCCTGTAAAAAAGTGTTGAAATTATTTTTATGGAGGCCGTTCCGTTATTCCCTCGAATCAAAAAAAATTTTTTGAAAATCTGGATCTGTACCAAGCAGATCCGTTGCAAATGGACCAAAAAAAATCTTTGAAAATTTGATCTTGTAACAACTTTTTTACAGGCCGTATTTTATGATAATTTTATGATAAAATACGGCCTGTAAATAAGTTGTTACAAGATCAAATTTTCAAAGATTTTTTTGATTTGAGGGAATCACGGAACGGCCTCCATAAAAATAATTTCAACACTTTTTTACAGGCCGTATTTTGTGTATGCACGGAGGGATTTCACAGCACTTAGGATCGCTAAAGATTTGAAAAAGTTAAAAAGAGGCTTAAAGGACCCCAAAAAAGCGGTCCATTTGCAACGGATCTGCTTTGGGCAGATCCAGATCCACAAACAAAAGGTTGGCGACCTAGTCCGCGTGGATGCAGTTTTACTTTTGGAAACGATGATTGAAGATTTTTTGTCGGCGTTGAAGGATTTTTGTCAGCAAATTCAAAGCGCACCACTAGGCACTACACCAGTTGTGATCCCTCCAAGGCTAATGGGAGGACCAACTGTAATTGGTTCTACCCTCAAAATCCATGTTATGGTTTAAATTTCTTAAAATCCGAAAAATTAAAGATATGAAAAAAGGAGCAATGGAATATTTATAAAACATTTTTCTACATAAAATATAGAAATAAAATTAATAAATCTTTATTTAATAAATAGTTTCGAAAAATAAAATTTATTAAACATTGACTTATTTTTTATCTAATCTAACAAAAAATATAAACAGAATTAAATCCTGTTTATCTAGTAATAAGTTCTCGCAGTGGTTAAACCTTTTAACTAGGGCCACAAAAAACATGCAAATGCATTTTTGTACACCCGGATATTCCTTGATGAGATAAGCTCAAAAATTTTGTTTTTATGTTGATCTGACCACTTTTAAGCTTGGTTCTTGATAATTAATAAAAATTTAAAACCGAAGTGAGAAAGAGTAGGAAGAAGAAGGGATAGTGGGAAATCTTTTGGATAAAAATATTCCTAGGTAACATATGAAACTTGTGTCTATTTCGAGAGTTTTGTTTTTCAAGTTTAGGTCTCCACTTTTAACTTTTAAAGAATTAAAGATTAATTTTTAATTTTTTTTAAATATAATATCTTTAAAAAATTGATTTTTAATTTTCTCTCCATTATTTTCACCTATTGCGCATCCTATGACTTTTAATCACCTGCCAAGATTAAGGAGGGGGCGATATTTTTTTTAAATGCTTAACACATGGGCTAAAGCATGACTATGGATTTTTAAAAAATTCAAAATGCCTATCTTCTCCCCCTCACTTCTCCCTCTCTAATCCCCTTCCTTCCCCTACAATCAATCCCTTCCTTCCCCTACAATCCCCCCTCATTCCTTCAAATTATTCTTCTCCTTCTCCCCTTCCATTTCCCTTCCCTCCCTCCCTTCAAATTCCCTCCCTCTCGCTTCAAATTCCCCTCCTCACCCCTCCAATCCTGCCTCCCTTACAATCCCCTCCTCCTCTCCTCCATTTGAATCCTCCCTCCCTTACAATCTCCTCCTCCCCCCCCCCCCCCATTCGAATCCTTTTTCCCTCCAATTTCCTCCCTCCCTTACAATCTCCTCCTCCTCCCCCCCCCCATTCGAATCCTTTTTCCCTCCAATTTCCTCCCTCCCTTACAATCCCCTCCTCCTTCTTCAAATTTAATTCACCCCGCCCCAAGGTTTATCTTTGAACATTTATATATATATTTTAATTTTTTAAATTAACTCATTCAATTTTAAAAATCCCCAGCTTCATTCCCTCTCCTCCTTTTCCTTGTAAAAAAAACAAATTAAGGCGTTAAGCAATGCTTTATTATTTAAACTGGCATGTTGCCAGACATTTATTCAAACTTGGGTTATTTGTGTCAATAATTGCTTTGACAGCTTCGTTTTGTCGTTAGTAAATTTTTGAAAATTTTTTCCAAAAGTTAAAAAATTATTTTTTTAACAATTAAAGATTTTGATAATATATACCCTCGAAAAGATGACCATGGAAACAATGTTTATTTTGAGTGTGATTATGATGATAGACCATTTCTTGACTTTTATTTGGTTGGCGATATCGGAGGTAACCTTAAAGAAATTTTTTTCTTTGAAATCCGTGACAGTAAATATTTTAACGGACTAAACAAAGGCTTGCGCTAGCTTAATAGATAAAACCAGTCGATCTTGGGAAGATTATTGGGTAAAAATAAGCTTGGGAGAACTCTTAGCATTTTTTCTGGGATGGATTCGCGGTCTTACTATAACAAAAATGATACAAGTTTTACAGGAATGGAGATTCTAGATGAACACAAGAAACTAATTGATCACAGACCATCTGAAGGACAATTCATGGTAGCAAAGGAAATGAAAAGATTAATTGGACGCACTGATTTGTTTGAAGAAGAATTTCTCCCTAAATTTGTTTTGAGTGTAGGAGATAATTTTTACGATGAAGGAATTAGTTTTGATAATGCTAAAATACGTTTTAAGAAGGTGTTTTTGTTTGTTTTTTCGAACAGTTGGGAGTATCGCTTAGTTATTCTTACAAATACTAGGCAACACCGGAAGGGGGGAACAATTTTCGGGGAGGCAGCCCCACGAGAGGAGGAGGGGGGGGGGGGGGGGGGACTCAAATTCCCCGAGTTTCGGGGACGGCGACCAACCCTATTTCATGCTCATATTTTCCATTTCAATATTTATTTCTAATGCCATAATTCAGACATTCTACAAAGCTTATAGTCGTGTCGGACTACAATGGATCACACTTGCCGGTAACAATGATTACAAAGTGCCTAAAAACGAACAAATAGGAAAAAATGAAGATTTTGAAAATGCTAGAGAACGTGTTTTAGCCCAAATGGCACACACAAATAGTATTTGGTCGGTTTTTATCAAACTAATCGGTCACCTCCTCCTTCTAATGTAAGGCAGAAATAGGATTAGGATATAATAGTTTAACTCTCCCATTGAATTTATTATCCATAGTCAATATAATCTAAAGTTACGCGAAGGAAAGATTAGACGTTTTAAGCAATTCCTAAGGGCATGCCTGATCAGAGGAATTAGTCGTCGTCATTGGCGTTCAGGATGTCAAAGATTATATGTATCTTGACATAAGGACTCAATTTAAGATACCTCTATAAGAATAGAGTAGCTCAAATGCCTAGAGTTTTGATTCTGAAAACGAAGGTAATGTCAATTGATGGTTCGATTCCTGCCTTCTGAAATCGGAGCTTTTGCTAAACTCCTTCAAAACTTAATCACAAATTCAATTTACAGGAAATTTCCTTCTGAATATTATGTACATACTCACTATCTAAAAGGCTTCAATGTAGTCTTTATTATGATAGACACATTTTTGTTGTGTGGGGGATCACGCAAGGATTCCTTAAGTTTGCAAAAAGAAGATGGTTTAAGTGAAGAAGATAAATCTGCCAAAAAATTGGCACAAGAAAAACATTTTACCTGGCTAGAAGAAGCTCTTGATAATTATAGCGGGTAAGCCTTCCTCTTTAATTCTGGTTAGAACAGTCGTACCTTCTATAAGATTGGATTCTGGATATCCGAGGAGTTCCGAAGATCCACAAACCCTAGTAGGATGTTAGGCAAGGTAGCTATCCAAACGATACTCCCAATTTAAGCTACCTTTCATTGTGATATACGATTTTTCATTCTTAAGAGGATATTTTCTCCGTCAAACCTCATTGATGTATAAGCCCTCGGAGCTGAAAAAATTGTAAACTAAAGTTATGGGTATCCTTAAGTTGTGAGGCATAATCTTGACTGCCTTTGTCTAAAAGCTCTGATCTTACGGGTCAAAGAAATAGCCGGGTCGGGGTTTTTAAATTTTACTAGGATCGGGCTTTGGGTCAAAATAATCCGGGTTTCGGGTACCCGTGACATCCTTAACTGGTCAACCTCGCTTAAAAAGCATACACAAAAAGAGTAATAATAATAATAATTTTATAGAGCCAATTATTTATTTGTTGCTGGCCACTACCCGCTATACATGTCTGTAGGAGACCGATCATATACCTGTGCAAATAGATTGAGAAATTTGTTTGAAGAAAATAATGTATATTAAGTAGGGTTGTACCCCGAACGCTCGGGGGCGGGTATGTCGGGGTACGGGGTTTTCCAATTGTTTCGGGGCGGGGTTCGGGTCGGGGGAGCAAAATATGGCCGGGGTTCGGGTCGGGGTACGGGGGTTTAGTGGAAAAATTTTTAGAGAAAAGAATGCTCAAAAATAATTAGAAATCGATATATTTTCGTTGATTTATTCAAAAATTAAGTAGGATTTGAAGAAATTAGAGGGGATTTGAAGAGATTAAAGTGTATAACTTGGGATATAAGTGGATCTGGAGGGATTAAGTGGGATTTTTAAGGATTAAATCCTCCGATTACCATTCAGCTCCCATTAACAGCGCCGCAGGCAAAATTTTGAATATTTGGAAGATCCTTAAGGCAAAAATCTTCCATTTTATGCACCGCATGCGAAAATTTTGAGAATTATAGAAGGCTAGAAGCCAGATTTCTTCCGTTTTTTACGCCGCAGGCGAAAATTTTGAAAATATTGGAAAAATCTTCGTCGGAAATTTGCCTTAAAAATTCATGGAAATCGGAAATTTTTCCAAAATTTCGGAAATAGGCAAGAAAAAAACGTCGGAAATCGGAATTTCGACCCTCCTCTGATACAGGGGTTGAAGGATTAAGGGTGGTTCAAGGGATATCAGTTAAAAATAATATTAATATTTTCAAATTAAAATTTAACTCGTTAATAATTTGTTTTTGTAAAGAAATATAAAAACAATAGAGTTCTCCTTATATGGATCCAAACCCACTCCTATATTAACAAAATATCGGCTAAAACCACCGACTAAGCCACTCAACCACAAGTCTTTTAATAAAAAAGGAAAGAAAATTATGATATTTCATTCATTTTTCTTTCACAAATAATAAAAGTAAAGTAAAATGGGTGGAAATTTTTTAAATTTTCTCCATTAATTTCTCCAAAAAATGACATTTTTTAGGGGTATAAAACCCCGATAACCCCGAAATTTTTTTGGCCGGGGAACGGGGTTTTCACTTTTTTTCGGGGCGGGGTTCGGGTCGGGGAGAATCGTGAAAAAATCGTTCGGGAACGGGGTCGGGGTTCGGGGTACGGGGTCGGGGTACAACTCTAATATTAAGCAATCTATAGTATCAAAAAAATTTTTCCTGTTTAGATCAGTGCTTATTTAGCTGGACATGAACATTCTCTTAAATATATACAAGTTCAAACGTCAGAAACCTTTACTTTCAATCAGATAGTTTCTGGGGCTGCCACAAAAATGGAAAACTGTTTGCAAGAGAAACATGTTTTGAGTCATTATAAAAATGGGAATAGAATTGAGACTATAAATATGACACCACATTTCATGATCTGGTAAAGTATATCTTATTTTAATACAGTCGGACCACATTATTAAACCCCCTTATGGTAAAATTGTATTTAAGGGAGTAGCTTAAATAGCGGGCTTTGCTTAGATAGTTTCTCACCTCATTGCAGGGCAGGGAAGCCGAAATAAAAATGAAATTCCCTTTCTCGGGAAATCGGAATTCCGACTCAAAAAAACTTAGGGATCCCAGTTGCAGGTAGTTGTTGGGTTGAAAAGATAAGTCATGTCAGTTACAACCCTCATTATAAGTGTCCAACTGGGTGGCTTGCCTAATTTATCAGTCATCTCTATAACGCCTAAAGTTAGCACGTCTCCTTTGCACTTCGGTTCAATTCGTCACGACTGTAGAAGATTACTTTAAAACAAGGAGGGATGTTTTAAAAAACGGATTTATTTTTTTCTTCAATAAAAAATATCTTTTAAGCCACCCTGCTGGGTTAAACGAAATACAATTTGAAGAGAATAGAAAAATATTGAACTTCGAACAAACTGCAAAGAGAGAACTCGAAAAAGAGATTAAAAAAATGGCTGCAATAATTGAAAAAATTAAAAATGATCAAGTAGTACCCGGGGAATTAGTGTATGAACTAGAGAATAAAAAGGCAGAATTAAAAGCCTTGGAGGAGCAGTTAGATGCCGATACTTTTGAGAATGGCGGATTTGTGGCTGTTAAAATAGACAAAAAATTTGCCCGTTTTTCCTTTTTAACTGTTGGAAATCATGAATTGACAAGTTTTGCTAACGAACAAATTGTGAATGGTAAACAGAGTAATCTTGGAGTGGTAAACATTCCAAATCGCTTACCGGAAACTGATGAAGACTACTGATTTAACCAGTAAATGTAATACTTCGGCTGACCCTCACTCCCCCTTCTTTCCTGTTTTCTGACCATTCTGGGCTTTTTTGCTTGACATATAATTTATTATAGTATATCATTCGAAAGATCTGGCCGAGCTGGGAAGATTAATACCACGATGGGATAGATTTGGACTCAAAATTGGACTCACATATAGATGTATGACTTGCGAATCATCTCGAAGATTCTTTCGAATGTATAGTATAATTTGTCATAAAAAATAAAAAGTATAAAAGAAAAAACGGAGGGGAGGGGGCATCAGCCGAAGTAGTTATTATCCCAGTAAACTTGAAGCAAAATTTGACGAGAGAATGTGTACATATTTTAAAAACCAAAAGACTATTTTATTTTAAAATTCCAGTTCATTATTTAAATTTCTTCATACATATTTTAAATTATTTTAAGAAATATTTTCTTTAAATTATTTTTAAAAACAAAATTTTTTAGTTTAGCCTTGTATTTTGTGATAAAATTTATTTACGATCAAATAGCCAATGGCTGTAAATACATAATTACCCTTAAAATGTTACCCTCTCTCTATTAATTACCCTCCTAGGGTCAAAATGAGTCAAAAAATGACGGGGTTTGGACAGTAAAACAGCTGGGCTACAACTACATATTTCTCTCCTTTAGCTAGTGCAAAAGGTTATTCGGCGGCTGAAAGCGAACCAGCATCTTCAGTAGACCGGACTGATGTGTTATCTATTGCACCAGCCGTCTAATGCATAGCCTTAGGAAATATTACCCCCTCTCTATTAATTACCCTCCTATATGCTTTACATAACTTTGGGTTAGACTGGGTCGGGTTCCAACTAGGGTTTTGCGTTGATTTTTGGCCTTGTGTTTTGTGTTTTTGGAAATTGTCTCTTGCTTCCGCCCCTGATTCCAACCCTAATATATTCATAATAATATTTTAAAAAATAAATTTTTTGAGGAAATTTGGGAAACTTGCAAGAAGTTGTGCCCCAAAAATTTTTTTTATTAATTTTTAAAATTTATTTTTAAAAAATAATTTTTTCTATTTTATTCTCCTCTCAATGCCTTTTATATTATTGATAAGAAAGAAAAAATAGGAAAAATTTTAAACCGTCGGGAGTGAAAGGCAAGAATCATCATCACATCGATTTTGGTAATATTTTTTCTCCTTTCTTTTTTCCTTCTCTCGTCGATTTATTTTTTTACGTCTCTATTTTTAAATTTTTATTTTGTGACGGTTTGGTGGAAAAGGGGTTTTTTCATTCATTTACACCCCCTCCTTTTAGGGGCAAACAAACCGATTAAAAAACCTTGCGATCTAGAAACGTCTCTTCTTTTTTTTATTTAACGGTTGTGTGCAACAGAAAAATTTTTTTCTTTTCGTTCGCACAATTTTGAATTGAATTTTACACCTTATCTTTATAATTTCGACCAAAGGTTGCATAATGGTCAGATTAACAAATATAAAGAATATAGCTATTTAATTTCTGAGGCTGTGCAGTAGGCGGCGTGTTGTAATGGATAACACATCAGTCCGGTCTAATGAAGATACTGGTTTGCACCGAGTAACCTCTTGCACTAGCTGAAGGAGAGAAATAGCTATAGCCCTGCTGCTTTACCCAAACACTCTTACCCGTCCGTTCTGGCAAGTTAAGCAACCTTGTATTTTATGTTAGCAACTCGGGTTAAGCAAACTAAGCATCTAGGAACCCTTTTTCGTGTTTTCGTTTGTATTTTTCCGTTGATTTTAATTTCACACCCCCTACCCTCTCTCTTCACATTTTTTCCTTTCTCAAAAGACGCATAATGGTCAGACTTTGTTTTTTATCCCCAATTTAGCAATTTCCCTGGCATTCAATCAGTCTATTAAGGACTAATCTGTTTTATATTATCATAAGTATTTGAGGACGGAAGAAAGTCTGACCATTATGCGTCTTTTTCGAAATAAATTTTTTTTTAAAATTTTAAGATTTTTGGAATGATTTTTGATTTTAATTTGGAAAAACTTGTTAAAATTAAATTTATTTAATTTAAAAATATTTTAATTAAAAAACAAAAATTAAAAATTAAAGTTTTCTCTCCCTAATTTCTTCGCCAAACACCTAAAAACAACATTAAAAATAAAAACATTTTTGGGGTTTTTACATAAATTTTTGTTACTTAAACTATTCCAACAATGAAACTAATCGGATCAGTTGATGTTCAGAAAAATGGAGAAAATGTAAGTTTGGGGGGGGGGAGGGGTCGTTTTGGAAAATATTTTGGGGAGGCCTTTTTAAGGGGAATATGTAGGGGAGGTGTTGTTTAGTATATAATAGTGATGCTCGGGTATCGCGATCCCGACTCCGAATAGGGAAATTTGTCCAAGTTTTTGATCTGTCGACTCTCGAGGTATTTTCCGACCCGCCTCCCGATTCCTAATTCCCGAGTTTTTTCTTCTTCGGTAGTGATGTTCGAGAGTTAAAAAAGCCGAGAACCGAGACCGAGAATCAACCTCGAGACCGAGAATCAACACTGAGATCGAGACCAAACCGAGAGTCGAGACCGATAGATTAAGAGGACATCACTATTCTCCCGAGCATCACTAGTTTATAGGTTGTTGTTTCTACTTAATATATAAAATATTTTATATTATGCAAAAATAAAAATTTTTTTTTAAATCTAATAAAAAATATTTCTTTTTTGTGATTTACGATTTGTGTGATTATTTCTGTCATGATTTAATTTAAAAAATCTTCTTTTTGCAAGAACAATTGAACACAAATTAAGAATGAAACATAAATTGGGGTATTTAAAGTTCTTGCAAGAAATTGAATTATTATTTTCCATTTACCCACCTCCCTCCAATTAGAGGCTTACCAATAAGGCTCGTTAGAAATATGAAAGCTTATGCCACAATAGAAGTCCGTGCCTATTAGAAGCCTTTACTCAATGAAACCTACCTATTGAACTCTTCTCCAATAAAAGCCTAGGGCTTCTATTAGGACATCTACCGTATTTTTATTTTTCCCCACAAATTTAAACCCATTATAGTCGAAAAATATTTTTAAAAAATATTCAAAAAAATATCCACGTGCCATAAAAATTGATTGATTAGAGGGGGACAAAAGGAAGAATAAAACTCTAAAAACTCTTCTCTTCCATTTCTATCTTTCCTCTTTTATTGTTAAAAGCTTTTAAGTATTTATTTAAAAATTTTATATTTTTCAAAAACCTTTTTAATGGAAAAAAATAAATAAAGGAAGAAAATTTATAGGAAAACAGGAAAATAGTGGTTATAGTGGTTACCGTATACCTTCTATTGCCTTATGACTAAGGTTGGCCTTGAGACTAAGTCCTGCCGGATCATAGGAAATCACTGGAGACTAAGTCCTGCCTTGAGATTAAGGTTGGAAGGATCATAGGAAATCACTGGCTAGCCGGATCAGATATACCAACCCAAGTCTTTCAGATCCGGATCCGCTAACCTTACTTTAGATACCTGATAGTCTCGACTCTTGATAGTCTTGAATACCTCTTGAATGCCTTTTCCCTGATCCCTGGTTAATAGGGTTTTAATAGGGTTCTCCGAACCGAAAAACGGTGATTTTTTGACTCGGTTCCAGATATCCGTAATTTTAAAAATTCTTTAGAATGCACAAGAACAAACAACAACATCAAATTTAATGGGTATTGGTCACTCTACTGCTAATCACTCTACTACCACTAATCATAAAAATGAACCAAAAAATGATTTGGAAAAACCGAATAATTTAATTAAAAATAATATTAACAACAATAATAATTTGGTGAATAATATATCACGGTCAGAATTTCAAATTCAAATTAAATTTTAATAAAGCTCATACCTAGATAAGCCCACTCAAAGAGGCTACCGGGCAATAAAAGTTCAAACCCTCTAACAATTTTTAGTTCTAATGAGGTACCTTATAGAGAGATTTAGCTGTTTTAATTAAGGGAAGAGAAGTCCGCAAAAAAAGTCCGCAAAAAATATGTCCGCAAGAAAAAGTCTGCAAGAAAAATTTCGAAAAAGTCGTCCGCAAGAAGATGTCCGCAAAAAAGTGTCCGCAAAAAATATCCGCAAGAAAAAATGTCCGCAAGTAAAAGTCCGCAAAAATGAATTGCGCCACCTTTCCTTTATAATTCTCCTAACCAAAAACCAAATACCAAAAAAAGTTTAAAAAAACTTTTTTTTATTTTTAAGTCCAACCAATTTATTATTATTACCCACAACAACAACTTCCCCACAACCATCATCATCATCATTAAAATCACTAATAACTCCATCATCACTTTTACCTCCTCCCCCAATAAATAATCAATCAAAATCATTACCTTCCTCCCTTCTACCTTCCCCTTCTTTAAACCCTTCCATTCCTCCTCCTTTTTCTTCATCATTAAATTCAGAATCTTCCCCCTCTTCAAATATGGCGGCAGCTACTTTTTTATCAAATTGGCGTAGACAATCAAAAACAACCAAAAATAATAATAAAACAATTAATTGTGTTAATGAGAATAATGAAAATAATAATAAAATTAATAATGGATATACCCTAAGTGAACTATCACACGATGTTTTAGCGCAGGTGAATTACCCCTGGTTTTTTGATTAAAATATTTTTACGAATTTAAAGTTCATATATGTAGACGTAGGTATGGGGAGTACTGAAGACTTATTAGGGGCCGTGATCAGCTTTTAAGACGATTCTCTGTCCAGACAGATTGACCTTTTATAATCCAGTACCAGATACACTATAATATTAAGGAATAACTATTTAAAAGGGTATCGATAACCTCTATAACCTCTATATATTCGATGATTTTTTGGCCGGATTGGGTTAGGATTTAATAACTAACCTGTGGGACTATATGCTTCTTGTTACAGGAGAGCTCCCCATAATTGGCGGGGGTATATTGGAAAGGTGGGAGTATATTGGAAAATCTATACTACATCTCCCCTCTCTTGGGCCGAATTCGGGCAGAAAAACTCCCTCCCAAAAAGTAAACAAGATAAGGACGTGTGAAAGTGTTATAGAGCGATTTACACTACCCCTCCCATTGCTGAATTAAGGCCGAAACCCCCTCCGAAACCCTACCCCTCGCGTTCGAAGGGAACGACGTTATAGAGAGCTTCTACTGTATAACCTTAAAATATCCGTTGATTTTATAACGGAATCCAGTCACTTTACTAATTTATTTTTATCATTAGATTATCCGACTTTTCCCCTTCTCCTCTTCCTTAACACCAACCCCTTCCTCCTCCTCCTCTTCTACTTCAACAATTATAAACAACAATAGTTCATCCACTCCTTCCCAACGTCATATAATTTATAGAGCATTATCCCAACCTAACCCAACAATAAATACAAACTTGAAATGCTCTCCTTTAAATGAAGAAAAAAAGAAAAAAGAAGAAAATAAATCCTTAATTAATATAAATAAATTAAATAATAATAATGAAGATGAAGAAATATTAAATAATAATAGTTGGTAGCTTAGATTAATTTATTGTTAAGGCCCCTTTATCGGCTCCCCAGCTGTACCCCTTAACTCCCCCCAGTTTTACCCCTTTATCGACGTCCGGTTTGGTCCCCTACTCCGATTCCCTTTGGCTTCCCCTCTCCTCCTCGTCTTGTCCCTTGACTTCGTTTCCTTGCCCGACTATGATTTTTAGGCGATTCCCAGTCACCCTAAAGTCTGCTCCCCCAATATCTCCGTTCCCCGAAATTAAACAGCAATTAGAGTTGGTCCCTTTATCGACTCACCGTCCCGTCCGGATCGGTCCCCCCGAAATTAAACAGCAATTAGAGTTGGTCACTTACCTCGTCTTCCCATCCCGTTCCAGATCAGTTCCCCAACCCTGATTCCCTTAGCTTCTCCTCCACGCCTAGTTCCGGGCTTTGTTTCTTCGATTGCTCGCCCAAAAGGATTTTTAGGCCATCCGCAGTCCCCCTAATGTCTGGTCCCCCAACACCCCAGTTTCCCGAGATATAGCGATTAAACTAGAATCGGTATAGCTTCATGTCGTAAAATTGAAATATGCTATAAACAAATATGAGATCCGGTTCTTAATAATGACACATCTGGGATGTTACCTTTAGGTCAGAAATATTCAAAGGGAAGGTCACAAATTTAATGGAGCATTAAGTTTTCATTATGAATAGCTAAGTTGGGGGGGGGGTGACAAAAGCGTTCGGATCCAAGTCTAAATTTTAAGGATGGATACCTTCCTCTTCAATACTTTTTCGGAAGAATAATCCGGATTAAAAAATTATTTTCCAGAAATTTCCCCAAAAAAGCAACTTTTGCGTGATTGGCATACTAGAGCTGGCAGTTCCTCCCTCGGCCGTAAATTAAGGAGGGCTGCTTCTACCTTCTCTGGAAGTAAAATGATTGAAGGAATTTCTTCTAAAGAACGCCCAAAAAATTTGTCAATATTTGGGAAATCGGAAAAGAATAGTAGAAAAAATGGAAAATCGCCAACATCTTGCAATGGGGCATTAAGCCGTCTATGCAAGGTGGGTTGGCAAAAAAATTTTTTTAATTTAATTATAAAATTAAAATTACTTAAATATCGTACTTGCTTGATTCTCCACTCTTCCAGGAATAATTTTAAGAAATAATTATAATTTTTTCAATTATTCTTAATCTTCCTTAATTTTCTTATTTTTTCTCTACCCTTAAATTAAATCAAAAATTTTTTTTCATAAACTTGCGGACAAAACTTGCGGACAAAACTTGCGGACACTCCAAGTAAGTAAGAGTAGCTCTCGATTATGCTCACAAAGTCAGCTTATTTAATCCACAAGTGATACTTGTATTTTTTCGACGAGGTTGACATGATGATCAGGGGTGGGCGCCTTGCGTTATTTGCGTTAATTTTGGCCTTGTGTTGCGTCTTGCGTTTTTTTGATTGCCTCTTGCGCCCACCCCTGATGATGCTTGGCGTTTGCGGACAACACTTGCGGACTTTGTTAAGCTTAAGGAAAAAACTCAAGAGGTGTGGGCTAGGTTCATGGATGTAATGGGTACACCCCAACGTACCGCGAGCCCAACCTACCGCCGAGGCTATAACTTCGTTCAAAATTGTCGAATCTGAGACAACTTAGTATGGTTGGATTTAGCTCGTCGAGGCGTATCGAACCATACCAAGGCGTCCCGGATTCGACATTCTGAAAGAAGTTATAGCCTCGGCGGTAGGTTAGCCTGCTCCCTAATTGCACATACATCGTCTACGGATTTTTAAAATTAAAAATCGTCGCTAGCGGCTGCTTAACTTAAAATTTTTTCGATAGTGTCTCACGTATTTTTCCTATAATTTTAAAAAATTATTTAAAATTTTTTTGTTTTAATTTTATTATTTTTTAAAAATTTAAATTTAAGCATTTTTAAAAAACAAGTTTTCATTTTTCCTAAATTGGCGGAATTGTAAAAATTTTTTTTTGCTTTTTCGTTGATGTAAATTCACGTCATTCTCACATTCATATTTAAGAGGGGGTTAATATAAAATTGTTAAACCGGAAAATTAAAAAGAATTTTTATTTGATCAACCAATTAATCTTTCAGAAAGATTAAAATTTTCAGGCGATTATTTATTCAAATATTTTTGTTGTAAAATTGATCAGTTATACATACATTTTTTAATATTACTACATTGGAAGCCCTCTTCATTACGTTACCCCTCGTTGTTAAATTTTTTTGATATAAGTAGGGGTGAAATGATAGTGAGAGGATAATGTTATAGAGGAGAGCTTCCACATAAGGTTGGCGGTTCCGGTTATCCGGAACCGAAAAAAGGCCGGATAACCGAAAATTTTCGGTTCGGTTATCGGTTCCGGTTCCGGATAAACGAAGATTTCCCAGGAACCGCCAGCCTTACTTCCACAGTCAAAAGAAGTCGTTATAACATACTTCAAAAAATTTATATAACCCAGTTTAGTGACCAAATTTGACTTTTAAAACCATTACCAATTAATTAAATTTTGATTCATTTCTAAAAACAGAAATTATTTTTAATCTTCCTTTCCATGAGTCCGCAAGTTTTATCCTCAAATCGTAAAATTTTATTTTATCAAAAATTCCTCCACCATCTATATTTTAAAATATATTTAATACTTTTTCCAACAATCACATACCTCAAAATAATCCCCTTTTTCAATAAAATAAATTTTATTATTTGCGGACAAAACTTGCGGACAAAATTTGCGGACTTTTAGAGGAAGAAAGGAAAATTACCATCAATCATCCACAGGTCATCGAAAATAAATTTGAAATCAATTTTTCCTTTTTTTCAATAAACACACCAAACTAACTTTTTCCCTAGACTATCAATTTCCTCAGACCATATTTAAAAAAATAAAATTAACAGTTAAATCAAACATAAAGGGTATTATCAATTTTACTTATTATTACTGTCAGCAAATCATTTTTAGTTTATTTTTTTTATTTTTTAATTTAATGTTAACGTCATGTTTATAGTAAAAACATTACTAAAAAAATTATTTTTTATTTCAAAAAATAGGTACCTGGGTATTTTAAATCACAAGGTACACTACACACCTTTTGGAGGCTATTTTAACGATTATTTATTTTTTAAAAATTATTCTATGAATATTTAATTTTAAAAATAAATTTATTATTCTCTTATACTATTCAGAATAATTTAAAAATAATTTAAAAAATATTTTACCTTAAAAAAATTTTTTTTGCGATTTTTAATGTCTGGCCGACATTTGCGGACATTTGCAAGAAAATTTTAAAAATTTTCTGATTTAATTTCTGATTTTTTCCTTGGGGTTTTGATAGACAACAAAATGTCGTATTTACTGCCTGGAAATGCTACTGAACAATACCTTTTCGTTCCATTTTCCCATTCCTTAAATTTTCAACACTTTCGAGTTTGTCCGCAAATGTTTGTCCGCAAATACCAGTCATCTATTCTCTTCATTTTTTTAATTATTTAATCAGTCATTTACTTTTTCCTTTTTTAGATTTACGTACATATTTTTATTGCCTTTTATTGTCATCGTAAAGTGTACACATAAATATTTTTCTAATTATTTTTTTAACTTTTATTTTTCTTACTTTTTAACATCTATAAATTAAACAAATTTGTAGTAAAAATTAATTTTTCATACTGATTTTAATTTTTGCTCTGATTTAACTTTGGGGAGTAATTACTGTCGGACCTCACAGTTCATTTCCTCCTCCTCCCAATTTCATCAGTCGGACTTCGATTTTAAACACCCCAATTTTGGATAGCCCTCGAAATACGATTTCTACTAAGGTGTATTTAAAACCGAGGTCAAGGCTCATTATAAGCTCGTCCTTTAAAAATAAAATTTAGTGTATTTTATGATGAGTGTTTTAAATGAGGTGGTGGGGTCAAGGAGTCTCTAGGGTCTTTCTCTCTCTAAGGGTCTATCTCTCAAGTCGGTCAAGGGGTCTCCTTGATCAATCGACTTTTAAATGCGGTATCGCCTTCCTTAGGGAGTATCTTAAAACGAAGTCCGATTCTTGAGGTCCGAATCAGCGTTGACGTACCTAGAACAAAGTCAGACTTTCCTAATTTGTTTAACTAACTTTCAAAACATTTTTCAGACGTTCTGATTTTTAATTCTGATATTTTTTTAATTTTTGAATGGGCAATACAATAGACATCAACAAAGACAAAGTCCATTTAAAATCGTTTACCTGCAGCAAAGCTTCCCTTCATTTTCCTCATTCTTCTTCACCCTCCAAACAACCCTCACCCTCCAAACAACCTTCTTCACCCTCCAAACAACCTTCACCCTCCAAACAACCTTCACCCTCCAAACAACCCTCACCCTCCAAACAACCTTCTTCACCCTCCAAACAACCTTCACCCTCCAAACAACCTTCACCCTCTTCTACTACCAAAACAACACCCAACAAAAAAGCCTTGTTTTCAAACTCAAAAGAAGAATTTTCTCAACCTTCCTCCCCTTCCTCCTCTAAAAATCAAAATTCTTCAACTCCCCAAAAATCCCCAAAAATTCCCAGTAACCCTTCAAAACCCCCTCAACGTCGCCGCTCTGCTGTTGAATTGCTCCAATCTTTATGGAAACAACGACAGAGGAGGGAACACAGATCAGTCTCTAGTTGTTCTCTGTTACAGATTGAAAGCCCCCCAAATGTGGTTAGTCCAGATTCTGTTGTGGCTTTGGAAGCGAGTTTGAAGGAACCTGAAACTTTTGATGCTCTAATGAGATGGGGATTACTTAAAGTTTGTGTTAAATATGGGGAGCTCTGATTTATTATAGTCACGTGGACACTGATTTTAATGCGGATATTTTTGCGGACATTCCTTGCGGATATTTTTAGCGGACAACTTTTTGCGGATAAAAATTGCGGGCAATATTTTGCGGACAAATTTTTGCGGACAAATTTCTGCGGACAAATTTTTGCGGACAATTTTTAGCGGACAATTTTTTGCGGACAATTTTTTGCGGACAGATTTAGTAGACAAATTTTTTTGCGGATAAAAATTGCGGACAAATTCCACAAGGTCAATATCCGTGCTTCTATCATCTATCCACTGAGCTTGCGATATATCGGTCTGCTCGTAAGAAGGCAAGAAGGAAGAGAAACTATTTTACACAAAATATTCCCTAAGCTTAGGGGATAAACTTTTTATAAAATCAATTTCTTCTTTATTTGCCCCCTATTTATCCATATCCTTTGTTTATTGTTTTTATTCTTTTCATTTTTTGTAAACAAAAACAATACTTGAGAGCCATTAAAAAAATTTTTTTTATTAAATTCTATTTTAATTCAATCATCTTTTTTGCAGGTTTCAGTAGACACAATGGCAATAACTGCACTCCCACTTGATTGTTGGTTAAAAGAAAGGCTAAAAAATTGGGTTCAGCTATCAGGGCATCAAGGCTAGTTTATTTTTATTGAGAAAAAATACTCCGTAAAAATTATCCGCGCAAAAATTGTCCGCAAAAAATTTATCCGCAAAAAATTTTTGTCCGCAAAAATATTTGTCCGCAAAAATTTATCCGCAATTTTATTTTTTTATTTATTCCAGGTACAATAGTTCCAGCATCCAATCACAGTTTATGGAAAAAGCAACCTCAAGGTAGTCATACCGAAGCAAAGGCATATTCACAAATTATGCTAGATCCAGCCTTGAAAGGAGTTACTCCAAATTTTATAAGGGAAATTCAACACAGAAATGAAGGTGGAAATTAATTAAAACATACTTTTTAAGCTTTTATTTTTTAGTTTTCATCGAAATCCAAGATTTATTAGCTGAGGTGAATAATTTTCTTTTTTAAGCCAAAGTTTACAGTTGAACCTCATTATAAAATAGGCTACCTCCAAAACCTCATAAGATGCCTCAGGGTAAAGAAGGGGTGTCTAATTAATACCCCCAATTTAGTATACCTCTCATTATAAGGCACAAGTGGTATACGGATCTCGAGGGTGTAAAATTCTATCTCGATCCGGATTAAGATAGCTCGAGGTGGTACAGTCGGAAACAGAAATGGTCATGGATACGGATATGGATACAGATAATACCAAAATGCCTGCGGATATCCGCCTGTATCCGTCTGTATTCGCCGTAAATATCCGGATACGGATACCAAAATCAGTATCCGTGTACTAGTCTGGTCGGAACCTCCCTCGGACCTCCACGGGTTCCTAAATTTGTTTGACTTATGGCTGTGAGGTAGGCTGTGGGATTTGACTGTGGGATAGGCTCTCTTGGCTTTACCCCCAATTTTTAAATACCCTCACTCTCAAATAGGATATCTCCCTCGCCAGTGGGGGGTATTTTATACTGGGATCTAACTCTTTATAAGGGATGTTCGACTGTATTTAATAATTGTATAGCTCAAAACCTCTTTTATTTTCAAGTTCCCCGACCCCTCAACAAGAGCAATAATGGACATAAAAATAGGAACTAGAACATTTCTAGAATCTGAAGTAGCAAATAAACATAAAAGAGTTGATTTGTATAAAAAGATGATTGAATTGGCACCTAATGAACCTACTGACCAAGTAATTATCGAAGGAATTTTTAGTGTTAAATCAAAAATTTTAAGGAAAGACAAGACGAAGCAATTACAAAATTAAGGTACCTAATATTAAAATATACTACCTAGTCAGATCTTAGCCGCTTAAGTGATCCCTTTACTCCTCCTTACACCTAAATTTTATACTTACACTTTTTGTTCACATAACTTAACTGAGAGATCCGACTGTAGTAAAGCTATGATTTTTAAATTTATTGTATTTAGATATATGCAGTTCCGTGAGAGGTAGAAAGAAATTTTTATTTTAATACTTAAAAAAATTTTTTTTGGAAATAAAATGTCCGCAAAATTTTTGCGGACAATCCGCAAAATTTTTGCGGACAATCCGCAATTTTTTTGCGGACAATCCGCAAAAATTAACACTTCTAATTTTTAATTAATTTAGTTTAAAAATTTATTTCGTTTTTCCTTTTAAAGAAAATCTTCATCAGCAACTCTAGGTTTTCGTATAGAAGCAGCTCAACTCACTGGAGTCCCTATTCAAAAAAATTTTAAACAAGTTAGAACACGTTTACAAGTAAGAAGAGCACTCAGACATTTTTGTGGGACAGACAAAGTCTGCAAACAATTAGCTAAACGTTTGAGGCATATTCGAGATTCTGTTGAAGCTAGTTCTTTTTTTGCATGTCATGAGGTGATTTTTAAGGATTTCTGGAAGGAAGAATCTGGGGGAAAATTATAAGGCTCCTGGCCCTCATCTTTTGCCTACATACGTCTTTTTGTCTTTGGCAAAAATTATCGAGAAAAAATTGTCCGAAGGCTCCGAAAAAATTTTTTTTGCGGATTCTGGGTGTGTTTACATATCTTCACGAAAACCTATAATCGAGTGACATCGATTTCGTTATCTTAGTCTTGGACTCGGTTCATCTTCCTTCATAGTAAACGTTCAAGTCCTGATCATTCGAGGTCCAGAAAAAAATTTAAAAAGCAGGAATTCTCTGTTTTTCTGGTCCCTCTAGGAATTCCCTGTTTTCCTGGTCATCCTAGTTTCCTGATCCCCTAATTGACTTCCTGCCCCATTGAAAGGAAACTGATACCTTTCCTGGCTTCTAACCTCTAACGACCGTCTAAAGCCCCTAATTTAATTCCCCTTAATTTTTAGATTGTTGGATCGTCAGTATTATTAATTCATGATGGAGGCACTAATTCCACAAATAATAAAGAAATAAAAGTAGGCGCATGGCTCATCGACTTTGCAAAATGCCACAGAATTGAAGGAGGGGGAAAATTAACACATCGACGCCCCTGGGATTTGGGTAATCACGAGGATGGATATTTAATTGGGTTGGATAATTTAATGGAATTGTTGGAGGGAAATGAAGAAGAAGAGGAGGAAGAAAGGAATGATGAAAATAATAATAATGAAGAGAGGATTAATTTAAAATTTAAAGGAGAAAAGGAAATTATTAATGGAAAATAGCGAGGGGGATTTTGACACAGAAAACTCCAAAAATTTAAGATTAGATGGGGAAGGGTTGATATCGAACAGGGACGAGATCTAGTTCAAAAATTTAGTTGTAAAGATAGAAATTGTTCAAGATTTCGATTTCAAAAAACTTCGAAGTTTCGATTTCGAAGCTCTTCGAAATTTCGAGTTCGAAATATTTCGAAATTTCGAGTTCGAAACTTTCCGAAATTTCGAGTTCGAAATATTTCGAAATTTTGATTTCGAAACTTTCCGAAATTTCGATTTCGAAATTTCGAGTTCGGATCTTGATCTATCCCTTTGTCCCTTAACACCAATCCGTGTAACACAAGTTAGGAGAATTTACACTAATATCCTTGTCTTAATCAGCCCTCTTGGGAAGACCCCCCTCCCGTTTTTTCATTCACTTGTTTTAAAGTCTCTCCCCATTTGTTAATTTTTTTGACTTTATTTTAAAAATTTTGTTTAAATAGGCATTGAAGCTCCCTATAAACCCTTCCTGCAATTTTTATTTTGTTTAAAATTTTATTTTTGATTTGTATTTCATTCACTTAATCTTTAGTTCAAATGCTTTTTCTTGCCTTTTTTGTATATTCATTGATATTTTTCACTTAATTTTTCTATTTTAGTATACTTATATTCTCGCTTTTTAATTAAAAAAAATAAATTTTTTAAAATTTTTATAAAGATAATATCTAGACTAGCAAATAAAACAAAATATCTGGGATGGGATATTAACACCAGAGATCCTACTAGAGATCGAGCTTGGCCTGGACCAAGACCTGGGTTTTTCTGTACCCAGGATCCCAAGCTTTCTTGACCTTCTTGGAGTTTTCCTGGGCCTGGGTTTTTCCTGGACTACAGGCCCAGGATCCGACCCAGGTTAATAAATCAAACCCTGAGTCCAGGAACAGGCCAGGCTTTTCAAAAATCTCGATCTCTAGATCCTGCCGTCTCGAATTCCCGAAAATCGGGAGATCCAGATGCTTTTTGGAAAAGGAATCCGATTCCTAAAATCTCAAGTGATCACGTCAGCAGGATCCCTGATATAGATACAAAGCTATGTCGAAATTTCGTATTTCGTTTTTTCGAATTTAAATAAATTATTTTTAGTTTCGACACAGCTCGGGGGCATTCCAATATCCGCCATTTTCCAGACTAATGGCGCCATCTGTCAGAATTTTTGACAAGCCATCCCCTAATTTGACAATTGGCAGATGTTGGAATACCCCCTTGGATTTGTGTTAATATTATTAATTTTTAATTAATATTAAAAATATTTTTTTTCTAAGTTCCGCCAGCAACAGAATCATAGCTGGCCCTGAAGAGTCTCTTATGCAATTGAAACTTAAAGAAATTTGGTCATAAAAATAATTTTTTAAAAATCACCTTCCAAACAACGCCGCTCAACAAAATAAGCAAAATAAGGAGAACAAAAACAGAAATTAGCCTAATAAAAAAATATTCAAAAATCAGAAAAATATTTTTAGATTACGTGCTATTTGTAGATTCGTTTAGTTCTGGTCCGAATGTTGGCTGAAAAATATAAAATAATAATATTCTGTTTTGAAGAGAATATTTCAATGTTTTAAACAAGTCAAAAATCAGAATAAAAAATCATAATTAAAACTTTACCAAAATTCTGATTTTATATTTTCCCCTCTTTCAGTAAACAGAATTAATAAAAACCAGAATTATATTAGATTAAATAAGGCTATAAATCAGAAAATTCTGGTTATAAATCAGAATTTTGAAAACAGAATTATCAATCAAAATTCAATTCTGATTGAATTATTCTGTTTTTAAAAATCAGAATTTTAGTTAAACTATTTTTAAACAAGTCAGAAAGATATGAAAACACAATTGTATAAAATCAGAATTAAAACAAAAACTAAAAAAAGAGCGAAAATTCTGGTTATAAATTCTGATTAATAATTCAGGTTAAAAACTGCACCTTTTCAATGATATAATGTTGCGCTTTCTCCTCCTTTGCTCCTTCCTTCCCTTCATTCTCTTCCTTTTCCTTTTCTTCCTTCTCTTCCTCCTCCTCCTTATCCCAATCATCCTCCTTCATTTCATCTTCATTATTCTCTTCTTCCTCCTCTTCAGAAATTTTTTCTTCACTAGAACGACTTTTAGTCTTTTTCCTTCCTTTACTTCTTGCTCTATGCCTGGCAACAGCTTCCTTATCAAAGGTCTTTAAAAATAAAAATTATAAGTCAGCTCTAAGGATGACAGTTCTTGGGGAATCTTCGGATATACCGAACCGGAACTGAAATTTTATCCACGTAGTAGTGGAAATAGTTCGGTGACGGGGAGGGACTAGGAAATAATTTATATGGAGGCAACACCACTGTATTAGACAATAAGCCATATTTCTTTCCTTTTTCTCGGCGCCAGGCGAAAATTTTGTCAACTTTGAAAGGACAAAAAGTCAGATTTCTCCAATTTTTCCTAGTTCTAGTAACAAACCGAAAATTCCGGCTATCTAGGTCTTGGTAGTCCACTGGTTTAAGGGAGCTAATGGACGGCGTCCTAGCATTACCCTCTATTTAATCTACCTCATTATAAGTAAGGTACGATCTCTTTCGATCCTAAGGTGTTACTGTAAAAATCTAATTTTTTACCCTAAAACAAGCTTCAACAAATAGCTTTTCTGAAGAAAAACTGGCACATCCAGTAGGTGATAATTCTTCTGGAAGTACAGATTTATCAACAAATGAAGCACAACCCATCTTAATTTTTTAATTTTCAAAAATTTTTCTTTCTTGGTCCAACCGATCTATATTCTTTCATATTCCCAATTTCTGACCGAATTTCCACTTTAAAACAAAATTCCCCTGTGCATTTGGCATTACTTTTGCTAGTCATATTATGACCCATAACATCAACGTGTACCATTGCTTCACATCTGGAACGTTCTGGCACTCGAATTTTTGGTTTTTTCTGAAAAAGGAATGAGGGGGATTTGGAAATCGAATACTAAAGTTTGTTCCTATCGAACTTAAGTACCCTGACTTAAGTTGGCTCGGGTTTTGAGGCCGTCTCCTAGAAGGAGGAGAGGTCCATTTTATCCTCTCCCTCCTCTAAGGTTTCGAACCGAATATAAAGTTCGTTCCTATGGAACTTAGGTACCCTAACTAAAGTCAGGGTGACTAAAGCCCCTCCCCTAGAAGGATATCTAATTTTATCCTCTCCCTCCTCTGTTCGAGCTTAACCTCTCTTAGAGTGAGGGTTCTAATCTTACCCTCCTCCCTCTAGGCAGGATTCTTTCTAATGTCTTCAAAGAGCCCTCTAAATTCTTCTCTCTCCTCTTATAATAATTTATTTGAAAACTGACAGCATTGCAGTTCTTGCCCTCACACACACAAGATTCTGTATACAACAGTTCATCAGGTAGTTTAGAAACTGAACGATGCATAGCTCCAGTTATTGGCTAAAATATTTTATCAAATATTTTATACCCTCAAAAATATTTTACTGGAATAGTGCATGCCCCAGCACTTCTTCGTTCAATTAACGGCACAGATGCATTCACGCAACCCTGCTCGGTTACACCTGTCTTGTGATTGACTACATAAGTGCATAATTCACCGACACACTTTGTTTTGTCTCTACAATGATCGCCCTTACAAACACATGTGTATCTGAATATGGAGATTAGATTTTTAAGAAGGATACCCCTTAGGGGTTTATAATCCCCCAACCTTATAATATTTAAGGGATACCTTAAAGAGGGATATCGCTTAAATAGAGGTCCGGATCCCTTCGGATCTCCGGACTTTTTCGGATATCCAAGAATACGGAACCACCAACCCTAGCTAGACTGAATAGGAAGCTTACAATGGCACTTTTTCTGTTTCGAGCTTTTCAGCAACACTATTTTTATTGCAATAATCTCGATTTTTGCAGAAACATGCGAATGGTTTGTCTGCAGAAAGCTGTAAAGATTAATTTTAAATTTTCTTTAAAAAATTCCATCTTCACCTCCTCTTCCCCTTCTCCATCGCCAACAACTTCACAGTGCGAACGAAGATCACTTCTTATCATTTTACCGCCTAAACAGCCTTTTACTATCACTGGTTCGCCCCATACTGACGTTCCCCAACGAGGCTCATAACGAGACTAGAAAATAGAAACAGAATCAGAATTTTAATTAGAATATTTATAAATTTTAATCATTAGGGAGGACTTTTTATTAGAATGGCAAGGTTATTAAATAGACTCAGACTTTAGCTAAAGGGGGCTGAAAAGGAAGGGGTTAAAAAAGAAGGGTAATAAGGGATATCTTAATAAGGGATATCTCGTAGGATCCCCTCCTTTACCCAACGACGACCAAATCTAGAAAATGAGGTTCGATTCTCTCTAATGAACTCCAGAATAAGGTTGACGGATCCGGATACCGGATCCAAAGAAAGGCCGTATATCTAGAAATTTTCGGTCCGGATACCGGAACAAGATATCCAAAACTTTCCAAGTATCCGCCAGCCTTACTCCAGACCCTCCACTAGGGCTGAAAATCGTAGCAGCCCCCTTCATCATTCATTGTGAGCGCAGATCACCTCTTATCACTCATGGTCTATTAAAATAGGGGATAATTAGGTCTCGATTGTATTCAGATCCCTTGAGGACTTAAAATTAAGTTCAACAATTTTATATTTCCCAAACACTCACTCACAATCATACAATAGTCGCCTTTACATTTAGATCCCATACAATCCCTGCCTACACAATCAAAGCATGTTAAGGCTGCCAAAGAACCATTTGGAATTAAATTGATAATCAATAGAAATGGAATAATTTGAAGTAAATAATTAAATAGGCAGTAAAATGAAGTAAAATGGTGACGGTTGTTATAGACAATAATGGATATCATTTTAATTAAATAAAGCTGGAAATAAATGGGGTTTAAAATTAAGAGAGTTTCAAGCCTTTCACTGCTGTTTAAAATGCCAGACTTGCCATTTTTATGAGAACTGAGTTCAATTCCTAATAGTAAATCAGTAAATCGAACTAGACTTGACTTGGAATTGACCTGGAATCAGGTAGGTTAACTAAGGGATGTTAGCAACTCATTCTTATACTCATCCACTTTGGCAAACCTCGACAGACCCTAGGATATAACAGGATTTCTGTGCTTCTTGTACTAGGGAACTAAGAAATTGTGATGTTCGGGTATCCCGATCCCAACTCGGGAAATTTTCCTGAGTTTTTGGCCCTCCGGTTTCGTCGTCAATTCCCGAACTGACTCCCAATTCCCGAGTTTATTATTCTCCCGAATATCACTACTAAGAAACGTATAACTCTAGTTCGGTTGACAACAGTCCTGGTCTAGCCTACATACAGATATGTAAGCCATGACTAACGAAGTAATCCTTCAAGTCTGTAGGATTATAGTCATCCTCTACTACTAAAAGTGCAATAAAAGCCTTTAAGACTAACTTAATCTCTTGAAATAAATTTCGAAATATTTTAATTTTATTATAATTTATCCTCAATATCCCAACGGGGAGCCTCTCATTATAAATAAAAAATAAATATGAATGGCATAGACTGGTAATAAATAAAATAATGGCTTCGATGTTTTGCTTAAGTGCATATATATTATTTCGTAATACGTAGATAGTTAAGGGAAAAATAAGGAACGTAGGCACTAACGGTGTTTGAAAAATGACAAACCCAAAGTGGCATAAACCAGTGTTAGAGTAACCAAGCAAACTTTTGACGTGGGAATGGCACGAGCAATGAAGTGTGGTTAAAATTGTGGAAGAAAATAATACGAGGAAGAAATGAAGTGGAGGAAATTAAAATTTTAATAAAAGGCGATTTAAAAATATTTTTTAGTTTGTTTAGGTTAACGATAGAAAATTTTGTGCATAAAATTCGAACGCCTCCTCATTATTTGATACACCCTTGGGGTTGGAAAATTCATACCTTATAATGATTGGAGGGTAATGAAAGTAATGGAGAGTATGGAGGTAATGGAGGGTAAAATGGAGGGTAAAATAGAGGGTAAAGCTTAGAAAGTTCCAACGCTCAGTAGCCAATCTAATTTAAAATAAAACGTATTTTAAATTGGGGTATCTAGTATTGGGTGTATCTTATAGCGAGGTCTATTATACAGAGGTGTATGATCTTATAGTGAAGTGTGCTAAAATTAAGTTTGATTATGAGCTCTTCAGCGGGTAATCAAGGTTTGAAAAATATACCTCAAAATTGAGGGTGTCTTATAATGAAGTCTATTATATAGAGGTAGATCCTGTAGGCGTGGGGAAACAGGATTTTCTTAAACGTTTCTAGTGCCAATCCCAATTTTCTCATAAAAATAAAAAAATTTTAAAGTAAAATACCAAATAAGGCCAATCCCAAAAAGGAGTGTATATATCCCCAAAATTGAGGTAAAAATGGGGAAAACTGCCACCCGTGAAAAGCAAAAAAAAAGAATTTATAGATTTTTTCCTCTCTCGAAGTTTCCTTTTTTGCTTTTTTACTAAGCGGTTGGCACTTTGCTTCAGAGAGAGAAAGCATTTTAGCTCTGTATTGTTATAGTGGCTAAGTATATGGCAAAAAGCATGCTTTATCTATCTCTATCGACTTTGAAAAATAAATGGAAAGTGGAGAGGACGTGCTAGAAAAGGAATATATTATGGCAAAAAAAGTATTTTGCGTTCATACAGTCGTGGAAAAAAGTATGGAAGCGCTAGAAAATTTTTTCTCAATTCTTAATTTTTCATTCAAAAAATACGTTCTATATACTAATCGAAAGCTCTATTCGTATCTCAGTTGACATGTTTCTGCATTTTTCATGAAAATGAAAATTGGCCGAGATAATCCGGATCTACCGGATATACCAAATCCCACTTTTTCGGAAAAATTTTTCGGAACAAATTTAACAAACCCTTTTGATAAAGCATATTTTTCTGAGTATTTTCCACAAAACCGCTTAGAAATATCTTTTTCCGGACCATAGATATGATTTTTTGAAAATCGCATTTTTCGTCAATTTTTGCAAAAAATTCAATTTTTAAGGGAAAAATGCGATTTTCAAAAAATCATATCTATGGTCCGGAAAAAGATATTTCTAAGCGGTTTTGTGGAAAATACTCAGAAAAATATGCTTTATCAAAAGGGTTTGTTAAATTTGTTCCGAAAAATTTTTCCGAAAAAGTGGGATTTGGTATATCCGGTAGATCCGGATTATCTCGGCCAATTTTCATTTTCATGAAAAATGCAGAAACATGTCAACTGAGATACGAATAGAGCTTTCGATTAGTATATAGAACGTATTTTTTGAATAAAAAATTAAGAATTGAGAAAAAATTTTCTAGCGCTTCCATACTTTTTTCCACGACTGTATTTCATAAAATAACAAAAATATTGGAAAAATATGAATATTTTTGGCTTTTTAAAAATATTTTCAATTAATCTTTAAGAGGTTGAAATTAACGGTTAAATTTTAAAAGGAGTTTAAGTAAAGCTTAAGGCCTCCAGGCAGGAACCGAAGGACCTAGAACTCTCTAGCAGTGGATAAACAAAAAATGAAAGCATTAAGTTAGGGCCTCCAGGCAGGAATCAACCTAGGACCTTTTGGCAGTGGATAAGGTACAAAAAATGAAAGCAGGGCCTTCAGTCAGGAATCAACTTAGGACTCTCTATGGTAGTGGATAAGGTACAAAAAATGACAGAGCATTATTAAGTCGATGACTACCTAAGACCTCCCTCCGAAGACCTCCTTAGGCCATAAATCATTCATTCGGAGAACTTTTCAGGATCAATCTCCAACAAGCTTTTCTTGTTAATTTCTATGATGAATTTTGGGTGCCTTACTTTTAATTTTTGAACCTTCTTTTAGTTAACAAAATTTTGTGTTTAAGCAAATACTTAAAAATAATGTTCCTCCAAACATTTTTATATACCCTAATTATTTATTTTTGTTTGTACAACTATTACACAATCTCTCAAATAAATCTAAAGTAAATCTGAAAAAAGCTGATTAGCAAACAAAACTAAAAAAATACGTTTAAACTGAAAAAAATTACTTGTACTATTTTTAGTCAAAATTTATTAAAATAAAATTTTTGAGGTAGCAAATTAAATTCTAAAATTAAATTTTAAAAAATTCTAAAAAATTTTCTAAAAAATTCTACTTAATTAAGGCATCTAAAAATTATTTAAGAAACATTTTTATAAGGCAAGGAACTTCTAAAAAAAATTAATTTTAAGTGAAAAAATTTAAAAAATGGAGCTTAAAATCTTAAATCTCTAATATTTTTTTCTATTTTTATTTTCTAAAAATTCAATTCATTTTTCTTTATTTTTACATTTTTGTTGGTGGAAGCACTGAAGCAGCAAAATTTGGCAAAACAAATGAGGCACTATGCATTTGACTGTTATAAAATTGTAAACCCATAGCTTTACATTGCTCGTTGTTAAGTGAACGTTGAGGAATACGCAAATCTTTTTTCTAAAAAAATATTTTTTTAATTAAAAAAATTCCTTCTCATTAATAAACCCTTCCCCCTTACGTCAAAAATTGTTTTTGCGTAAATATAAAAAAAGGGAGAGGAAAATAGAAGAGGTCTTTTCATCAATTTTTGTTATGCTTCTTATATTGGCCGGATGGCGCAGTCGGATAGGAATCAGAATTATATAATATCGTTCCTTTTGAGTTTGATTCCTAGCGCCAACTTGCCTACCCACCCCGGCCGTGTACTTTTTACATATTAATTTTTATAGCATTTTTATAAAAATTTTTGAAATATTCATAGCCACTTCTTGTTCAATACATAAAATTCTTTTCTTAACAATCGCATAACGCAGTCGGTTATGAGTCGAGCTAGAAATTTTGCTTATCATTGAGTTCGATTTTTAGCGCCACAACCACCTTGTTAAGTCGCAGGGGGAAAATTTAATTATTTTAACCTGTTTTCCAGCAATTAAATAGCCAATACAACCAGACGGATATGTTGGAACACTAGAAGAAGCATATGCCACAGATGGGAATATTTTCTGTACACATTCAACAAGTTTGGTGATTAAAGGTAAATGAAGCCAAATACTTTCTGCTTGACTGGAGAGAACACCATCATCACGTAGAGCATCAAATACAAGTCTAAAAATAAATTTATTAAAATTATTAATCAAAAATAAGTTAATGATAAATCATTAAAGATTATAAATCTTATTTAGGGGTTTCCGCAAAAAAATTTTTTTTGTCCGCAAAAAAATTTTTTTGTCCGCAAAAAAATTTTTTTGTCCGCAATTTTTTTGCGGACAAAAAATATTTTGACCGCAAATGTTGGCGAGTCAATTTAAATTCGGAAAAAGCCCAAAAAATATTTTTCTTCAAAATAAAAATGAATAGAAAAAAAAATTTTTTTACTCGTAATAAGCACTTCCAAACAAACTTTCTGCTGGGCCTATAAAAATACAAATTAGTGTTCTTCAAAAAAATTAATTCTGCACAGATTCCCTAACAGTATAAAAAAGTTAAAAGTAGAGATATCTCTATAACAAAAGATCAGAAAAGACAAAAGACATGTAAGAGAGGGAAACAAGAAAATGTTTTCTCTATTCATCAAATTTTGTTGTGGCATTTTAGGTGGTCGCATAGCGCACACGGTTAAGTTTCGGACCATTAACGATGCAGGCTCTAGGTTCGAATACTGGCGCTTTCTCGTAAACTGACCCGCGGCCACGAATTTTTTTTTAATTTTTAGAAATATTAATTTAAAATAATATTTAAATTTTCTGACAATTTTTTGAGTAGAGAAAAACTGTATTCCTTTAAGATTAAAAATTTTATTTAGGTTTTCCGCAAAAATTTTTTTTGTCCGCAATTTGTTGCGGACAAATATTTTTATCCGCAAAAAATGTTGTTATGGCCTTTTTAAATTTTTTTCGACCGCAATTTTTTATATTATATATTTGATTCTTCGACAATAGCGCCTAATTGTAAACCCCAGCGACCACGTCTTTTTAAATTTTCAACATACAAAAGAAAATTTTTTAGGAACAGACCCTTCGTTCTCTCAACCCCTTTTTTCCAAACCCACTGACCTAGCATAATTTAAAAAATCGTAAAAAATTCAAAAAAACCTATAGGATCTGAAGAATCAGTAATAATAACATCAAATTGGTTTTTGCGTTGACGTAAAAATTCAAAACCATCGCCAATATGTAACTCCAATTTTGGAGAATTAAAAGACGAGGAAAGACCGTGGAGATATTCTTTTGCTACATTGACAACCATTTCATCAATTTCACTAAAAAAATTTTTTTCAGATTTTTTGAAGGGGTTTCAAGTTTATGAAAAAAAAATGCAAAAATCAAAAAAATTTTATAGTAAATTAATTTTAGCTTCCGCATAAAAGTCCGCAACTTTAATCCGCAAATAATAACATCTCTTAAGATCAGATAAGTATACGTAATGTTTTACGAAATTAAAACTCGTTTCATAAAGTTTAGAAAGTAAATTCATTCAAAAAAACAAAAAATTTTTTGCGCATAAAAATTTTTGTCCGCAAGTTTTTTGCGGACAAAATTTTTCTTGCGGATAAAAAAATTTTTGCGGACACAAATTGCGGACATTTAAGACATCCATGAAACTACTCAAAAAAAATTTTCTGACTTTCCTACTTACAGACCCACTAATTTTAAAAAAAAACTAACCACATAACTACATGTTCAACACTTGCATGTTTGAGAACTTCACGTAAAATACCTCCATCTCCCCCACCAATAATTAAAACCTAAACATTAAAATTAATTCAATTAAAGTTTAAGAAACGTTTTTTGGATTTGGATGGGAAAACATTGGTAAATGTGCAAGCATTTCCTGATAAGCAAATTCATCTCTATCTGTTGTTTGTATAACTCCATCGAGGACGAGAACGTTTCCAAAGGTTTTGCTAAAAAAATTTTTTTGAGAAAAAGGCCGATTGAATACAAAAGGCAAACCGAAAAGAGGAAAGTCCGCAAAAAGAGGAAAAGTCCGCAAAAATGAGGAAGTCCGCAAAAAGAGGAAAAGCCCGCAAAAATGAGGAAAAGCCCAGAAAAATACAAGCCCGCAAAATTAAGAAAGGTCCGCAAAGTATAACAATCCAAACAGAGGGACTGGTAAATAAACGGACAATCCCAGACCCCATAGCCGTAGATGACTTCTCTTATTCCGACTGTACCCAACTACTTTATCAATCAGACACATCCCTGGCTGTAGATCTAATAGACCCGAAAACAGGCCCAAAAATGAAAACTAGAAAGGGGAAAATAAACGCTACTACCAACGTCCGACTGTTAGCTTAACCACCCACCAGACCCCTAATAAACGAATAGAACCCCCAAAAAGAAAAACCTTTTCAACACAAGAACGTCCTGATATTTTGATTTTTGATGAAACAAAACTTTGTCAATATCCAAAGAAAATGCCTGCCCAGTCCAAGCACCAGACATTTCCTGCCCGTCCAAATGCATCATTTTAGTACCACCATCAGAGCCAGCAATGCGATCAGCATCATCTGGAGAAAATTCTGTAAACCATCCTTTATGTAGAGAATCCATCTAATTTTGTCTGCAAGATTAAAAAAAAATTTTATTTTTAGTCGAAAAACGCGGAAATTTAATCTCAAGACAAAACCGGACACGCCCAAAACGGCGCGCGCCCATAACGGCGCAAGGCTATAACTTGCTTCAGGATTTCCGAATCTTATCAAATTTAGTATTAAACGATTCCTCTCATCGAGATAAAAAGATTGGTACCAAAATTGAAAAGAGCCGGACATTTTCCAGCAAGTTATGGCTTTGCGCCGTTATGGCCTAGCGCCGTTTTGGGCTTACTCCTTTATGACGATTTGTTGGCTTTTGTCTTACTTGACATTTTGTCTTTTGGTATTTTGTAATTTCAATCTTCATACTTTCAATCTCTCTTCCCTGTTGTATTTTTCAATTGTTTCTCTCTAACCCTCTCTTATTTTTCTCTAACTATTCCAAAAGTGGATATTTATAATGCCTATTGACAAAACGTCCAGAAAGACAAATTTGTACAAATTGTAGAGGAAAAGAGAAAATTGTTTCTCTTTATATAATTTTAAAAATTGAAAATTCATCAGTGGTCGCATAGCGCAATCGGTTAAGTTTCGGACCATTAACATGCCGGCTCAAGGTTCGATTACTAGCGCTTTGCTGTTAACTGACCCGCGGCCATTTATTTTTAATTCCTAGGCAACAATCATTTTTTGCTGTTTTCTCCTCCCTTGCCTTTCTTTCCTTTGATTAGTTGACAGCTTGGCGCATCTACATTTTGGACCATAGGACCTTTATGTGCATGTACTAGTCCAACTGAATATTGGTTAATTTTGAGTTGTTTTTCGCCCGTAGACTGCTAATGAACGCTGGGACTTTTTTCACAAGGATCATCATTTCTAAGGATTAAATGCCCCCTAAGCAGGGGACCGGTCCCATGTACAAATCGGCACATGGACACTCCAAAATTTTTCTCATGGTCACCAGCGCACTGCCTCCGCACAAACACTATTGGAAGAGCCACCGAAGCGCACTGCCACCAATAGTGCTGCCAGAACGCACAGCCACTGGTGTCTACCGTCCAACAGCTTCCTACAAGCTTAAGCCACCGAAGCGCACTATCACTAGTATTCTGCCGAAGATAGTCCGCCGAAGCGGTCCATGGGTGAAGCGAAGGAGAATACCCAAAAAAAAGATTTGGGAAGGAGAAATTCTTAGACGGTTAATAGAAAGGTTATAGAGAACACTAATTATTCTTGCATTTATTCTTTCATTCCTTTTCTCTTTTTCTTCTTCTCTCCTCTACTTTTCTTCTCTCTCCTTTACTCTCTCTCCTTTACTTTTCTTCTCTCCTTACCTTTAATTTTTCATAATAACAACTCGCTGAAATAATTAAAATACCTACAGCGCGTTGTATTTAAAAATGGTCAGAAGAGGGTAGTTTTGCAAATTGTCGAAGGGACTTTTAAATAAAAGGATCGAATTAAATATAAATTTATTAATAGAAAAAATGGTGCAGTTTCTCAAAAATCTCCACGTCTTCATCAGAATTGTCTCAAATATTTAACTATTGAAAAATTGAATTTTATTTATTTTGGAAATATTGGGTCTAAATCCAGGAATAGAAATAAGACAGACTGACTGATATTTTTCTGATTTTCTCCGATTTTTAAATAATTTTTAGAAGCAGTTTCTGCTTTCCAAGAGCTTCTGCTCTCCAAGTACAGGAGCTCTACTACTAGGGCATTTTCACCTTTAATTTTACAAACTCCTGCTTAATTACCATCTAAATGCTAGTCAACTTGATCTCCTTTCCCCCAAACAAAGCAAAAGCCTTTGATTTTCCTCTATTCAATTATCTCCTTAAACATAATAAACAAATCTTTTTATAAAATTATTCCCCTCAGCATGCTTTACGTAATAGTACAAAGCTTTAATTTGTTGAATGGACTGCTCTCAGTGTGTGATTTTTGGAGTGATTTTTGTTTTTCTTTATGGATTTGTTTTAAAATTATTTTTCTTTCTTTCCTTAACTATTACAAAAGATATTCTTAAAAATAAAATTAGAGTCATTTCTCATATTCATTTAAAGCCTTTTACAAATGTCCGCAAAATTTCGTCCTCAAAAAAATTTGTCCGCAAAATTTGTCCGCAAAAAATTTTGTCCGCAAAAATTTGTCCGCAAAATTTTTCCGCAAAATTTGTCCGCAAATAATGCTAAAGTATAGTAACAAGTGAGGTTGTAGTTGTGCCCAGTTCCCGTCCCCTTAAGTCGATTCTCGTCCCCTTCTTTCGTTTTTTTTTCGTTCATATCTCCCTCTCCCCCGTAGGGAAACAACAAAAAAAGTTTGCGGAAAAGTCCGCAGGAAATACATGATTCCTATAAAGATTCCTATGAAAAATCGAGAAAAATTTTATCCGCAAGAATTTGTCCTCAAAAATTTTATCCGCAACAATACTATCCGCAACAATTTTCGCCAGAATACAGTACCAAGGAGAAAAGTCCGCAAAAGTCTGCGGAAAAGTCCGCAAGAAATACCTAATTCCTGTGAAGATTCTCTTGTCCGTAAAAATTTTGTTCACAACAATTTTCACCAGAATACATTATCAAAAACAAAAATCTGCGGGAAAGTCCGCAAGACTTCCATTTTTAGCAATTTCATGCCTACAAAAATTTTTCAGAAAAATTTTCAGTAAAATATTTTCCTGGAAAAATTCCAAAAAAATATTCCAAAAATCTTAAGGCAGTAAATAATTTTTAAAAATTAATTTTTAAATTAAATATAAATCAAAAAATTTAACTTTTTTCTACTAGTTTTTATTACTTTATGTTGTTGTGTTGATTTATTCTCGTCTGTTTAATTGATATAAATAAACTGACCCAATTACGCCCTAAAATCGTTACTTAATCAAATCAAAAGGCTTTCACTTTTATTTTTAATTTTCGATTAAAAATGTTAAAAATTTATTTATTAATTAATTTATTAATTATTTTAATTTCTTCTACTCCTTTAAAAATTAAACAAAAAAATAATTTTTTAATTAATGAGAAAGAGGCCTACAAGGTTTTTCGAATTTATGCAAAAAGTTGGGAGGATGTTGAAGCTGTGGGGAAATTGAGAAAAATTGCTGAAGAGAGTCAGGAAGTGAGAGAAAAATTTTTTTGGAAATTTATAAAAATTTTTAAAAATTCGGGACAAATTTTTAAAAAAAAATTTAAAAAAATTTTTTGTCCGCAAAAAATTTGCGGACAAAAATTTTGTCCGCAAAAATTTTGCGGACAAAAAAATTTTTCTTAATTTTTACAAAAAATTTTTTTTGAAAATTAAAAAAAAATTTTTTTTTCATTTTTCATCGTTCACACATTCATAAATCAGAATTTCTGAAAAAATTTATTCAGAAAAATTATTTTTCCCTAGCTTGACTTCTGGCTAGATTCTTCCGTTCAGCCTGGCCAATTTTCCGATGTGATGGTATCCCCTTCTGGAATGATAATTTTTGAACAATTTTTGGAAGAACATCCTTCACTTAATTTTGAAATAACTATTGAGGATGTTCAAAAGTTTGGAAAAAAATTTTTTAAAATTAAAAAAAATTTCAAGCTTAATAATTAAAAATGAGCTTCATCCAAAACTTGAATGGAGGAAGAGAAAAAAATTTAAAAAAAGTGGAAGGGAAAGTTTGGAATATTCTAGTGATGAAGAAAATGAGGAAGAGTTAAATTTGCATCGTAAAAGAAGAAGTGATTTGCCTAGTAAATTTGGTAAAAATTTTTTAGAAAAAATTTTTGTCCGCAATATAATATGTCCGCAAATTTGGTTGCCCGCAAATTTGTCCGCAAAAATTTTGCGGACAGCGTATACTCGCAAATATTTTGACTAAAAAGTAAAAATATTCTGGTCGCCACGGGTAGACAATCCTTTTGACGCATTACGTACTTAAATTAACAAAACTGGTCAACTGAAAACAAATAGTTTCGTAGTTCGAACGTAACCAATTGCGCCACACGACCACTGAAGGATAATGAGAGAAAATTATTCAAAAACGAAACATTAATAGAGGAAAATAAGGAAATCTTAAAGGCTTGTGAATAAAACATTATTTAGAAAAAATCAGAAAAATCTAAGTCAATTGTTGATTATTTATGCGGATTCATTCATGTCCCTAATAGACAAAATTGCCCCTAAATTTTGTCCGCAAAGACAGTCCGCAAAATTTTTCCGTAAAAATTTTGCAACAAAGTACAGTATTTATTCTCTCTCTCACTTTCTATAGGGAATTAATTAACCTTCACTAATGCAATTATAATTTCAGAACAACTTCGAGGTGTTCAATACCCTTTTGGTGAATATACAAATTACAATGAAATGGTACTCTATTTAAAAAATATTTTAAAATTCGAAAAATCAAAATTTGCCTATTTTTATAGGTTCGATATATGCGCACGTTAGAGTTTTATTATCCCCATTTGGTCCAATTACTTCAAATTGGAACAACACATGAAGGTCGTTCTATTGAGGGTGTTAAGGTGTTTTGATTTAAATAAAAAAAATTTTGTGACATGTGGTGTAGTGGGTAGTGTTTGTGTCCATAGGGGTAGGGGTCGTGGGTTCGAACCAGTTTGGTAGTCATTAATTTTTTTATATCGTTTTCTAAGTCATACTATCGAGGGTGTCAAGGTGTTTTGTTTTAATAAAAAATTTTATTTCTGAATATATGGTGTAGTGGGTAGTGTTTGTGTCCGTAGGGGTAGGGGTCGTGGGTTCGAACCAGTTTGGTAGTCATTAATTTTTATTTTATTTTCCTTTATTTTCCAAGTGTTATTTCGACTTTGGTCTCGTTCTAAAAAATTCCCAGCATTATACACTCTCCTATCTATCCGGTCTTATGCTTGTAGTCATTTAGAATTTACCTTAGATTATTTATAGATAGGCATTGATATTAATCCACCACCCTCTGATTTTGAACAGAATCATAACGAATTTGTAAATAAAACACAAAAAAGGCAAAAACGAGCTTTTTGGATTGGTTGGTTAATTTAATATTTCTTGATAAATTTTTAATCAACAGATGGAAATATGCATGCTCGTGAATGGGCATCTAGCCATACTGCTTTATTTATTGTAAAAATAATTTTCTTATCAAACAAAAATTTTATCAAAAAATTTTTTTTGAATTTTTTTGCAAATTTTCTTGAATATTCAGATACGGTCAGACCTCACTATAAGACACACCCAATATTAGATACACTTCTATTTGAGATACATTTTTTAAAATTTGGTTGATCCACTTTATTGTGGAGCAACCCTATCCTATACCCTCGATTTAATAGACACCCCATTATAAGCTACAATTTATTATGCCCAAGGGAGTCTCTTATAGCGAGGTTCTCGGCACTATTAAATTTTTCTTACATTTTTTTTCAATGTTATAGATCAACCAATTAATAGCTTCCTATGGTAAAGACTCCTTTTTAACCAAGGCGCTCGAACAAATTGACTTTTACATTGTCCCCTGCGCAAACCCTGATGGTTTTGAATTTTCTAGGTCTTCTATAAACCCTAAAGTTTGTCGGAAAAAATTTTAAAAATTTTTTAAAAAATTATTTTTCCGATTCGTTTGTGGAGGAAAAATCGTTCACCAGAACAATGCACCAGAACATGGAATGGTCTATTGTGTTGTAGAGGTGTTGATTTAAATAGGTTTGGGGGAGCTTATTGGGCTTGGATTAGACTCTTATTTTATTCAAATTTAAAGGAATTTTGATTTTCATTGGGCGGAGACTGGCTCCTCTTTAAATGCTTGTTCCAACCTCTATTCAGGAAAGAGGGCTTTTAGTGAGCCTGAATCTAGAGCACTTGCTGAATTTTTGAGGAATAATAATGAGGAGGAAGGAGAAAGGGTGTTTTATGCTTTTGTGAGTTTTTTCTAAAAATATGAGATAAGTTGAGGGGGTTTATATGGAAGGGGTGAAGGTGTTATATAATGGATAAAGGAAAGCAACCTTGACCGCTTCCTCACATAAAAATGATTCCAAAGATATCCTGCCTCGTATTCAAGTCGTCTCGGTCTTTTTGAAAGAAGAGAGTTGATTAAATCTAGAAGGGTTTATATGGGTATGTGAAGGTATATGGGATAGAGAGAAACAATCACCTCTTCTCCACTCATGAAAGATTCCCAAGATATCCAGCTTTGGGTACAAGCCATCGTTTCAAATACCTAAGAAAGTCCAACGTTGCTTAACTTGCCAGATCGGACGGAATGTCTAAAATTAATAGATATCAAACCTACATCCTTTGGAGTCCTGTATCCTCTTAAAGTACAAGTCTGCCGTGACAAGACTTGAACCCTGGCTCACTAGATCATTTTTAAAAATAAAATCTTCTCTTATTTCAAGATGACTTTACATACATACGCCCAAATGTGGATACACCCATTTTCTCATGAATACCATACTTACCCTTCTGATGCCGAGGATTTAAAGAAAGTAGCTTTACGGGCTACAGAACGTTTAGAACAAATTTATGGCACACATTATAGAATTGGAACTGGGGCTGATTTACTTGGTAAAGAATCATCATTTGACATAAATTAATTATTGTATATTAAGCACCAGCTTCCGGAGGGTCTGATGATTGGGCTAAAGAAACTCTTGGAATTAAATATGTTTATTTGGTGGAGTTGAGGCCTAAATTGGAATGTTAGTTCATAATTTAATTAAGTACAGTAGGCACTCATAGGTACACCCTTAGGACTGAAAAGTCGTATCTTTAATGAGGGATGAGTGGGTTGTTCCGGAACGGGTGAAGTTTGTTCCAAGAAGGCTCTGGTAAAGTTGTTTCTCCTAACCCTTGTTCAACATCATCGGAAATTGAAAAAATTATCGGCGGTACCTTGGGCCCGCGGTACCTTGGGCGGCGGTACCTTGGCCTGTTCCCGAGTGGGCTACCTAGTGAGCAACTTTTTTAAAGCCCGTCTATTAAATAGAGGTGACTATTATTGGGTGTACCTTATAGTAAAATCCGATCATTTTATATTTCAGTATCTAATGGTTTCATTCTTAATCAGGTAAAATTGCCTATAAATTATTAAGAAAATAAAAACAGGATGAACTGATTCCTACAGCTATCGAAACGTTTGAAGGAATTAAAGAAGTAATTCGAGCTGTGACGTCTGAGCCTAGTGAAATTTTAGAGATGAAAAATACAACAGAAACGAGTACTGGATTGGCTAATGAAACTTTGAAGTTGGAGGAAGATGAGGAGGTGAAGATTAATTCGACCGGTTTAACCACCGACTTGAAGCAGTACACGGAGAACAACAACAGTACTGGGGAACAGTTTGAGTCAACCCTCACCGAAACCTCGTCTTTGGGAATGTCTGAGAATCAAACTGAGACAACTACAACGCCTTTAACAACTATGGAAGAAATCAAAGAGCCCGAGCAGTACACGCACCACACCACAGAATCTTTTGATTTTCTTATCGGAATTGGAGAAGAGAAAGTCAACATGTCATCCTTCTCTTTATCACCTCAATTTCTCTTCCCATTGTTTACAATTCCAAAAATTCAAACAATTCCGATCGGTTCTGGTTTTGGAGATGAACAAAAAAGAGAAGAACCTGAACTTTCGACAACCAGTTTTTCGACATCAACAAATTCCCTCCTTTCTAAAGATCAACTAGAAAGCATAGAAACGACTGAAACAGCTAGCAGTGAAAATATCGAAGCAACTTCTTCAAGCATTACAGAAAGCAGCAGTACTCCACAGACTTCTAGCAGTACTCCAAAGACTTCTAGCAGTACTCCACAGACTTCTAGCAGTATAATAACCGATGAGACTTCATCCTCAGAGCTTGTAATAAATTTAGAGGAAGACCCCGCTAGCACAACAACAATTTCAAGTAGTACAACAAAGTAAAGCAGCTGGGCTATAGCTATTTCTCTCCTTTAGCTAGTGCAAAAGGTTATTCGGCGGCTGGGAGCGAACCAGCATCTTCAGTAGACCGGACTGATGTGTTAGCCATTACACCACGCCGCCTACTGCTCAGCCTTAGGAAATTAATAGCTATATGCTTTACACCTCCATCCCCAGGGAAGACTGTCCCTAGTCTTCTTATCTGCCCTCTTCCCGCTTTTTCTCTCACCTGCGGGGTAAACTAAATCATCGCCTTCTCTGGCGGAATTTCCTATCTCTAACCCAGGGCCTATGGGATGGATCGTCATACGTTCAGCGTTCGCTGAACCATCCGGTGCTACCAGTAAAGCAGCTGGGCTATAGCTATTTCTCTCCTTTAGCTAGTGCAAAAGGTTATTCGGCGGCTGGGAGCGAACCAGCATCTTCAGTAGACCGGACTGATGTGTTAGCCATTACACCACGCCGCCTACTGCTCAGCCTTAGGAAATTAATAGCTATATGCTTTACAACAATAAGCAGTGAACCACCATCCTCTAGCAGTACATCACTATCGGAAATATCAGAAATTACAACATCAAGATCAAACAGCAGAATAAAAACTACAACAAATAGAACAACGTTTTCGAGCAGTACACCAAGTAGTTCAAGCAGTACAAGCAGAACAACTCCAACTTCTGCTACAATACCTATCCCACCTATCCCAATACCAAAACAGTATACTCCTATAAAATTTGTAGCATTTGATGAAGAGAAAATTGAATTGAAACCTTTAAATGACCTCAAGAAGTACCAAACAAGCAGGTCCTCAACAAACTCAGTTAATTTCCCAATTTTTGATAATGATCTAGAATTGGCAATAGAAAATGACAAAGAAAGTGGAGAAACGGGGAAAACGAAAACTAAGGCAAGCGAGAAAACGGACAGGTTGTTGGAACAGGAAACAGAACAAAACGAGAAGTTGAAGCAGTACAACAACGCACAAACGGGGAAAACTACGGAAAACGTTTCTGAGACAACAGGTACGAGAAATTCAGCAACTACAGTTCCTTTTGCATCAGAAATGGTTAATAATACAACAGCAAAATTGCCCCATCTCTGGATGAAAACCCAAAAAATATTTACTTTGCCGTGGGTTCAAACAAGGCGTTTGTCTCTTGCAAAGTGTAAGTCTAAATTTTTTTTGGAAAAATTTTTAGAAAAATTTTTTTTGAAAATTTTTTAGAATTTTTTTTGAAAATTTTTTGAAAAATTTTTTTGAAAAATTTTTTTAAGTGCTAAGAATTCAAAAAATTCCTACACTAACCACAACTCCTTTAAATACAACAACTACTACTACAACAACACCAACCTCAACCAGCACTAAATTACCCAATAATATCACTCCCACAACTAAATTAGCTACAATGTTGTTTACTGCAGTTGATCAGGTTGACGAGAAAAATGAACTCGAATTTAGTAAAATTTATTTAAAAAATTAAAAAAAAATTTTCCCCCAAATTTTTATCAGTTATTTCACCTCCTCAGCTAATTTCTCCTCCAATCCCCCCAAAACTGTATTTAGCGCCTAAATTTCTCGGAAGCGCCTTTTCTACCTCAAACGAAGAAAATTTTTGTTGTCTACATAAAATTGGAAATAACGGGCAAATAAAAGGAATTCCGCTAAAAGGGGCTTCTGCTATTAATTTATTAAAATCTGCATTATTGGAGCAGACTACAACAACTAAAATACCTTTAATTACAACTACAGAAATGTTAACTAGTAATAATGATGATGAAATTGTACAAATTATGCCTAAGAAGTGTTCAGATAAAAAGTAGGTGTATTACAATTTGTAAAATTTAATTTTACAAATTCTGATTACTATATGTATAATGATTATTTCAGAATTAAAAGTAATAATTACAAATTCTGATTTTTTAAATGTTTTTACAAATTCTGATTTTTAAAATGTTTTTTACAAATTCTGATTTTTAAAATGTTTTTACAAATTCTGATTTTAAAATGTTTTTACAATTTCTGATTTTTAAAATGTTTTTACAAATTCTGATTTTTTAAATGTTTTTACAAATTCTGATTTTTACAAATTCTGATTTGAAAAATAAAAATTGTAAAAAGATTCTAAAAACCATAATTTGTAAAATTACAAATCAGAATTTGTAAAAACATTCTAAAAACCAGAATTTGTAAAATTACAAATCAGAATTTGTAAAAACATTTTAAAAATCAGAATTTGTAAAATTACAAATCAGAATTTTAATTATTACAAAATAATTTTTATTTCTACAAATTCTGATTTGTAAAACTATAAAAATGTTTTTAAAGGTCTTCCTGTGCCTTCTGGATAAGAGCGCATTCCCCTGTTTGTGCCGAACAGCACCACTTTATGGAAAGAAATTGTGCTTTTTCCTGTGGATTTTGTTCTTAGAAAATATTTTAGAAGATGTTAAAAACTAGTCAAAATATTAAATAAATTGTTTTTAGAATTTAATTTAGATTTTATTTAATTACCTAAATGTAAGGGTTTCACCGGAAGTTACGGTTCCGAAAAGTTCAAGCGTTTTTTGGTTCCCGTTCAGGGATCCGGAACTCAAATTGGATTCTGTTCCGATTCCAGTCAAAATTTCGGTTCCGGCCATTTACACGCAAGCAGTTTATTTTTTGTAGACCTCCAGAGAGTTTACCTCTAGTGCTGATCCCCAGAGTATTATTTGAAATGAAGAAGTCGGAGGATTATTTATTTTTTAAAGCCCCGTCTTGCTTGCATTTTGGAGTTTTGCCGATAGAATTTTTTGAAGTTTTTTAATAAATTTTAATTTATTCAGGCAAATTTAAAATTAATATTTAATGCATTATTAATTAAAAAAATTTTTACTTCCTCTTTAAAATTAAACAAAGGAATAATTTGAATGCCTCTTTACTTCCTCTTTAAAATTAAACAAAGGAATAATTTGAATGCCCTTTAAAAATGGCAAGTGAGAGTAATTGATTAAAGCAAGAAGGAAATAAATTGGCAATTGCTATGCTTTGCAAAATTGAAAAAATTTTTTACAATGGACAATGAAGGATTTAAAAAAAATTTTTTTTAATATACAATAGATTTTAGATAGGCCCTTCCTGCTTCCTCCCCCATCCACTCTTATCTCCCTTCCCCCATCCCCTCAAGTTCCTTCTCCCTTCCCTCCCCATCCTTTCCCCTTCCCTTCCCTTCCCTCCCCATCCCCTCCCTTCCCCCCCTCTCCTCTCCCCCCTTCCCTTCCCTTCCTGCTTCCTTCCCTCCCCATCCCCTCGAGTTCCTTCCCTTCTCCCTTCCCTCCCCATCCTTTCCCCTTCCCTTCCCTTCCTGCTTCCTTCCCTTCCCCCATTCCCTCAAGTTCCTTCCCTTCTCCCTTCCCTTCCCTTCCCTCCCCATCCCCTCCCTCCTCCCTCTTCCCACTCACTCACTCACTCCCTCCCCTCCACTTCCGCTTCCCCTCCCCCACCCCATTACTCTTATGTGTGTGTAAAATTTTTTAAATATAAAAGCCGGATTGAAATAGAAGATTTTAAACATTCAAAAAATTTAAAAAATCCCCAAACAAAACTACCAACTCAAAAAATGTCAAAATTATTTATTAGCTTTGTTATATTCACAATTGCTTTAATTCAAGTTTGTGATTGTGTGAGAGAAAAGGGAACCCCTATTAGATCTCCTAGGGGTGATCATACAGGTACCTAATAAAATATAATTAATTAATTAATTTTTTTAATAATAAAGATAATCTTCCAAAGGATCCTAAACCGGTAATAATATTTCAAATTAAATTAAAAATTAATATTCTTCCATTTTTTATTTAATTATAGAGTCCATTCCTGAAGACCCACACTCCGAAGATCTACACTAGGGCTCGAACCCGGGCCGGGTTCGAACCGGGTTTTCCGGGCCCGGCAGCCCGAAAACCGTGTATTTTGATAAAATCCGGGGTTTTCGAGGTTTTAGCCCGGAAACCCCGGCCCGGGTCTGCTGAAGCCTACAATATTTTGATTTCCTAAAGGTCCTGAAGTCCTTCCTACAAACATTTTTATTTTTTAATCCTTTAAAGGGTTAATCTTGGGGGATATTAAGTGATTAAAGATATAATGAAGTCCCGCAAAACCCCTTAATCCCGCCAAATCCCTCATTATCCCCTTTAATCCCTCCAGATCCCTCGATTAAACTTTAAAAGAAATAAAAGGCAAAAATGGTGTTGATCTCAAGTTTGTAGGTTTTAAGGGTCAATAAGTCTTCATGATAACCCCTAATTAAAATTATAAATTAAATATACTTTTTTTTGTAATTGAAATTTATTTAAGAAAAATGAAGAAACTAAAACTCCTAAATATGGTGAGTAAATAAATCCTAAAATTTAATCAATCTTCATTAAAATAAATTTCAATTTTTTAAATTATTTTAAAATTATTTATGATTAAGGTACTGATAAAGCAGGGTCTTCTACGGTTAATGAAGGAACTCCTAAGAGGGTAAAATTAATTTATTTTCATATTTAACAAGATATATTTCAGGGTGTAGGAAGACCAAGAAAAAACTCAAATTAGATGATTGAGATGATCATCACGAGAAGACTTCAGGCGGATCTAATTGGATATTCTGAAGTTGTGTTTTAAATTAAACTGAGATAACTCGATTATTCTAAGATATTTTTCAAAAATTTGTATTTTTCATTACATTAGTATTTATTAAAAGACTTCTGGTAATTTGACTAGTTTTGTAAATAGGGTGGCACTAATAAAGGTCCCATTTGCCATCTTTATTATCTCCTTTGTCGTCTTTTTTGTCCCCCACCTATCCCATTTCGCCCCCTTTTTGCTCCTTGAACATTGAACGTTTTGCCCCTTTGAACTTTCTGAAAAGAGAAATCTGGTCTATTAGCCTCCCAAAATTATAGATTCATTTACATGTAAAGTTGGGTGTGTCTGTCAATAATCATTTTTCATCCACATATTTTTTATCAACTTTATAGAAAAGTTCCCCCAAAATTTTGATTTAAAAAAGTCAAAAAGGATGATTTTATAATGATGATTTTAAGTTTTTAAAATTTTCTCAATTGTCGGATATATTCAACTAAGATAAAGTGATATTGAGGTTGCCATACATCAGTTATGTTTTAGCATACCAGAAAGAATGTTTTGTAAAAACATATACTATGTATTGTCAAGTTTAACGAATAATGGTATCCTATTTCTGATTTGTTCGGATTTTATTACAAAAATACAATTCTGATTGAATCAATAAGAAAGATATTACAAATTCTGATTTTATAATTCATTTTACAATTTCTGATTTCTAAAATTACCAGGGTGACCCTTTCCAAACCACTAAAATAGGGCGCAGCCACTCAAAAATGTGGCATAAATAGGGCGAAAATGGCCAAAAATAGGGCAAAAAATAGGGCATTGTTTAAAACACTTCAAAAATAATTGGACATTACGCATATTTTTCACTATTTCGGACTAAATTAAGTAAATTCAAAATTATATTATATCCAGCTTAATCTTACATTCACCTTAATCCTCCTATATATAAATAATCGCTCAAATCCATTGATCTCTCTTCATCAATGCAAATCAGTTGTTATCTAGTCAATTCCCCCATAGTCCTAGTATATTCTCCTAATAAAAATCCGCTTATATTCCAATCGAGCCTTTCTTTATCTTTTTTTCAGCTCCGCAGGCCTTCGATTTCACACAAAGTCTTCAAAGATTCCTTTTTCAGCGCCGCAGGCGAAAATTTTAGGAATTTTGGAAGGATAACGGTCAGATTTCTTCCATTTTCAGCCATTTCATTGTAAAAATTGTAAAAATTTTACAAAATGGTAAAAATAGGGCAAAAATATGGCAAATGAAAAAATAGGGAAAAACTAGGGCGAAAAAGTCAAAAATAGGGCAAATGCCCTATAAATAGGGTAAAAGGGTCACCCTGAAAATTACATATTCTGATTTTTAAGATTTTACAAATTCTGATTTTACCCTATATAATTTTATAAGCTTCTGCAATTCTTTTACAATTCTTTACAATTTACAATAAAATTTACAAATTTATTACAATTAGTGTTGTCGGTTTCAAACAGAATGAACCGAAGAACCGAGGATTTTCGGTTCGGTTTCGACTAACCGAAGGTCCCCACCTGGCCTCCCAATATTACCAAAATTTGCGCCTGCAACGCTGAAAAGGAAGAAATCTAGAAGGTTGTTTTTCAAAAATTCTAAATCCTCATTAATGCCCCTTTAAGCTACTACATATCCTTCTTATCCTTCCAAATCTTTCTTAATCCGATATCCTTCAAACATCGAGGTATTTAAGGGACTTCCCTCTTATTAAGTGACTTCCCTCTTACTTCCTCTTATTCCTCCGATATCCTTCCCTCTTACTTCCCTCTTATTCCTCCGTACTTCTCTCTTATTAAGTGACTTCTCTCTTATTTCCCTTTTATTCCTTCGTATCTCCTCGAATCCGTTTATATCCTTATATGGGCGTGATATCGAAAGATCAAAAGGTTATCCTCCTCTGATATCACCTAAATCCCCCTTGATCAATTCAGAACCCATTTTATCACCCGATATCAAACCATTTATATCCAACAAATTCACTTATACCCCACCGCCAATCGTTAATAATATCTTAACCCTCGAAAATATTTTCGGTTCGATTTATCGGTTCGAATTTGTTAACTTATGAATCTGTTGAAACCGACAACCCTAATTACAAACATAATCTTTAAAAACAAGAAGGTTATCCTATAGGGTTTATTTTCAAAAAAGTATTGTCTAGATGAAGAAAAATCAAAAGATTTTGAGGCAGTAACCAAATGCGGGCGACAATTCCGGATATAAAAAATTTTTTTTTAAATTCAAGATTTTCAAAGTTTTCATTGCCGTATTAGTCTAGAAATGATTCGGAAACCGTCAGAAGTCAGAAACTGACAGACTGAAACTAAAACACAGGATCTCACTTCAATAATTTCTAAGAGAATTTTAGACCTCAATTGTCACATCTGGATTAACGTCCGCCGCAATCATCGTAAATCCCGTTTTTAATCCCGTTTTTAAGCCTATTTTTGTTTGTATTTTTGGAATTTTGCGATAGAATTTTTTGAAGTTTTTTAATAAATTTTAATTTATTCAGGCAAATTTAAAATTAGAATTTAATGAATCAATATTTAAAAAAATTTTATTTCCTCTTTAGAATTAAACAAAGGAATAATTTAAAAGGGCATTTAATAAGCTTTGCGAGAGGGGAAAAATTTTTCCTTAGACAATGAAGAATTAAAAAAAATTTTAATAGACAATAGATTTTAAGACAATAGATTTTCCCTTCCTCCATCCTCCTTCCCTCCCCATCCCCTCCCTCCTCCTCCTTCCTTCCCGATACCCCCCTCCCCCATCCCTTCTCTCTCCCCATCCCCTTCCTACCTTCTTCCCTTCCCTTCCCTTCCCTCCCTATCCCCTCCCTCCCTTCTTCCCTCCCCATCCCCTCATCCCATCCGACCTCTCCCTCCGCCCCCTTCCCATTATTCTTAAGGGTAAATTTTTAATATAAAAGCCGGATTGAAATAGCAGATTTTAAACATTCAAAAAATTTTTTCAAAAAACTCCAAACAAAACTACCAACTCAAAAAAATGTCAAAATTCTTTATTGCTTTAGTTATATTCACAATTGTTTTAATTCAAGTTTGTGAAAGTAAGAAAGAAAAGGCGAGCCCTAATAAAGCTCCTAGGGGTGATCATACAGGTAGCTAATAATAAAATATAAGCTACTAATAAAACTTTTTTAATAACAAAGATAATTATACGGGCAATACTGGCAATGAAGGTAGGTATTTTTAAATTATATTTATGATTAATATATTGATAATCCAGATCCTTCTACAAGTGGAACTCAAAAGAAGGTAAAGTTTATTTTCAATTTGGAAAAATGATATATAGAGCTCGGACGGTACCGTAATACCAACGGTATTTATTGGTATTCTGTGCAGGGCTGTCCGCAATTGAAAAAATTTTTCCGCAGCCATCCGCAACTCGCAATTTTAATTTAAAATCCGCAAACGCAATCCGTAAGTCAAAAAATAATATGGTCGGAATATATACGCGGTATAGTCTTGTTCAGTTTAATAATTTTAAATTGAAAACTTCAACAAAAATATTTGATTAAATACTTTAAAATAAAATATATGTATATGAAAATAATTCAGAAGGGAGGAAGACCAAAGGGTAGTAGGAATCATAAAGTAGAGGATGGAGATGATCAACGTGATGACCCCAATTACTACCCAAGTACCTAATTGGGCATTGAATTTGCGTATAAGTAACGGAAGTAACAAAGAAATTTTTTAAAGAAGTCTGAGATACATATTCTGATTTTACAATTTCTGATTATTCCAAATACTATGTATTTTCAAAAATTTGCATTTTTCATTATGTAATTTCGTATTTATTAAAGAACTTTGGGAATCTGACTAGTTTTGTAAACAGGGTGGCTTTTTGCCAACTTTAGGGGGCATTTGCCCCTTTTGCCTTTTTCGCAAAATTCTTTTAATTTTCGCCTGAGGCGCTGAAAATATGAGAAATTTGGAAATTTCATTAAATCGCCGTCATGAGGAGACACTTGTAAATAGTTGCCAAGTTTACTCAATAATAGTATCTCATTTGTTATACCCATTTCTTGTTTGTTAAGAGTTTATTTCAGAGATGTAGTGTACCGAGGTAAAAGTTCGGACATGACATACGTCATTCGATTCGTCTTGACGAGCTGAGTCGAACGGTACCACTCACAATTTCAGGAAATGATTTTGGACCGAGTTATAGGTCCCGAAATATTTAAAAACCATAGGGGGGAGTAAGGTCGATTTTGGTATAATAACTCGGTCCAGAATCATTTCCTGGAATTAGGAGTGGTACCATCGACTCAGCTCGTCGAGACGAATCGAATGACATGCACTTCCCGAACTTTTACCTCGGTACACTACACTACAGGCGAAAGAAAAAAAGGGGAAACACAAACTTAACTACTACCCGACGGTGTTTTGTTTGGACGGTGTTTTGTCCCGAACAATTTTCTTTTTTACATTCAAAAAATTTTTATTAATTCAATTTATTACGTCATGTTTGACGCGCGATCAAAAAAAAATATACAGAAGGTGTGGTCAATAATATATAAATTAAGTACAGATGAACTGATATTTATAAATAGTTCAACTATTCTTTAATTAAGTTTTAAGGGAGGTTATGTGTGAAAACAAATCAAAATTATCCAATAGTTTTTTAAAATTTGTGGGAGTATTTTTGCGTATTTCTATCGGTAATGTAGAATATAGTCTAGCAGTTCTGATAAAAAAGGAGTTATATCTAATTGTGGTTGCGCAAGCTTGTGTTTTTAATTTATATTCTTCCCCACGTGTTTTAGTGTTAATGAAATAGAAAGATGAACTATGTTCTACTTTTATATTTCCCCAAATAATTTTATGGAAGAGAATTAGATCAATTTTATATCTCCTAATTTCTAAAGTTTCGATTTTAAAAATTTTCAGTAGGTTAGAGTAGTTTGGAATATTAGAGAAATTAAATCCTTTTGACTGCCCATGCTTCCTTGCATAAATAGACCTGAGGAAGTATTTTTGTATTTTTTCTATGTTAATTATATCTTTTTTTAAGTGTGGGTTCCAGATTGGTGAGGCAAATTCTAAACCGGTTCTTATATAAGTATTAAACATGTGTATAAGTATATTGTGATCTTTAGATTTGATAGAGTGAAGTAGATTGTACATGGTCCTTCGTGCTTTAGATGTGATAATTTGAGTGTGCTCCGAAAATTTAAAATCATATGAAAAATATACTCCTAATCATTAAATCGCCGTCATGAGGAGACACTTGTAAATAGTTGCCAAGTTTACTCAATAATAGTATCTCATTTGTTATACCCATTTCTTGTTTGTTAAGAGTTTATTTCAGAGATGTAGTGTACCGAGGTAAAAGTTCGGACATGACATACGTCATTCGATTCGTCTTGACGAGCTGAGTCGAACGGTACCACTCACAATTTCAGGAAATGATTTTGGACCGAGTTATAGGTCCCGAAATATTTAAAAACCATAGGGGGGAGTAAGGTCGATTTTGGTATAATAACTCGGTCCAGAATCATTTCCTGGAATTAGGAGTGGTACCATCGACTCAGCTCGTCGAGACGAATCGAATGACATGCACTTCCCGAACTTTTACCTCGGTACACTACACTACAGGCGAAAGAAAAAAAGGGGAAACACAAACTTAACTACTACCCGACGGTGTTTTGTTTGGACGGTGTTTTGTCCCGAACAATTTTCTTTTTTACATTCAAAAAATTTTTATTAATGCTTTTCTCCCCCTCATATGTTCCTTCCCTTCATTTGCCCCTATATCTTTCCCCTAGTTATTGGAGTAGAACAACTAGATGCTGGACACAACCGATTGTAAAAAGCAGTTTGGAATGAGAGAAAATTTATTTTTATGTGATTATTGAGCGATACGGAGAGTTCGTATATGTGAACACAACACATAAAACAACAAAACTTAAAAATATATTCTGTTAGGCTCCCAAAAATCTTTAATTTAGTTCCAGTTTATTAATTTTATAGTGGGACAGTGCCCGATCAGTTGCCTCCTCCCCCTCATTCAGTTTTGTTTACTCCCTAACCCTTCTGGGTCGAAAATGGGTTTGTCGGAATTAAGAATAGATAAGGGACACGCTCAGAACTGCGCGCGGCCACAACGGCGCAAAGCCATAACTTGCTTCAAGATTTTCGAACCTTACTAAAATTAATATTAAAAGATTCCTATCATCAGGGTAAAGAGATTGATAACAAAAAATTACAACAGTTAAAAATATTCCAGCAAGTTATGGCTTTGCGCTGTTATGGCCGCGCGCCCTTTTGGGTGTCCTATATTTGAAAGAACTTTTGCTCCCTTTTAGCTACTTCGCGACTAAGTGGCCTGTGACTAAGTGGTCGCGACTAAGTGTCCGTGTCCCTACCCGAAATTCTGTAGTTATACGAAATTTTGAAGAAAATTTTTAAGATTTCGTGAGCTGTTTCGAACTTTCGATTTTTATTTAGTTTTTAAAATAATTTTTAGAATTAATAAATGCCTCGCTTTATTAAATCCGAAAGGTGTAAACCCAAACTACAGCATGTGCAGAACGAATATAATTACAGGGAGAAACAAAAAATATTATTTGTGGCGCTGTGTGCAAAATAAGACCATTGTTGGCTGCATTGGCGCTGTTGGAACGACAAGTACAACAGATGAGGCCACAGAAGTGATAGAAGTTAGGCCCCACATATGCGACGGTCATTTTTTAAATTAAAATTTTATTCCGTTGCTGTATAGTTTGGTATGTAAAAAATTTAGGTGGTGGAGGAGAATTAATTGATGAGCCTGAAAATTTTGAAGTTGAAGCTGTACAGCCGAAAGGCGTGGAGACAAATTACAGCACGGCGACCACGAATACAAATACCGGGAAAAACAAAAAAATACCATCTGTGGCGCTGTGTGCATGATAAGACCAGTGTGGGTTGTAATGGTGCGGTGGGAACTAAAAGCACCACAGATGAGAACACCGAAGTGATAATTGTTAGACCCCACACTTGCAATGGTCATTTTTTTAAAATTTTATTTACACACGGCTAGGAGGACTACAAAAAATAAACCTGTTGTGTTTAAATCCCATATCCAAAATTCTGTCAGCTTCATCAATTACAAGATATAAAGTTGGTCAAAACAAAAATATCCGTTCTAGTCCATATGTTGTAAAAGCCGTCCTGGTGTGCATATTAATATAGAAATACCAACTAAACGTTCCTCTAATCGAGCTAGGGAGATTGGTACCAAAATTAACAAATGCCAGAGACATTTTTCAGCAATTATGGCTTTGCGCCTTTATGGCCCGCATGCCTTTTTGGACTAGCCCGTTTTTGGCGTTGTGTTTTTTAAAGCATGGCACAGTTCATTGCAAATTTTTTAGTGCGGTTACAGTAAGATTTGGCACAGTTCAGTGCGAGACTTTCAGTGCGGTTACAATAAGATTTACAAGGATTGAGTGTTATCTATGGAGTTTGAGAGAAGTATTGAGTGAAATAAGGGGATTATTGGATTAATGGATACCGGAAGATTAATAATTTAAAAATCTGTTGATGTAGTTTGGTATGTAAAAATTTAGGTGGTGGAGGAGAATTAATTGAGGAGCCTGAAAATCTTGAAGTTGAAGCTGTACAACAGCCAAATGAAAACAATTATCAAGTCGTCGATCCCCCCACACCAAGACAACAAAATAAAAATAATAAAATAAATTTTCTACCTGAAGTTCAACTAGATATATTTAAATGTCTCAATTTCAACCAATTATTAAATATCCAACAATCAAACTCCTATTATAAAAATTTCGTTGATAGATATGATAAGGAATTGGCACGGAAGAAATTCCTTTTCCTTAAATTCGTATCTTCAGATAATTATTTTAAATAATAATTTTAATTTTACAGCTTGATCATAGGGATAGCTTTTTCTATCTGGATACTTTTGAATTATTTGAGCCTGAACCCGAAAATTATGAGTTTCAATTGAGTGAACAACTTGAGATAAAAGTTGGAAATTAAAATTTGTTTTTTAAAAATATCAATTTTAGTGGCTAAGTGCTATTGAAAATTCAATTCCTATGTTTATAGGTGATAATATTGAATATGCTTTAGCTCCCATTGATATACATGACGAGAAACGTTAGTTTGTTTTTTGATGATTTTATTGGAATATATTACAAAATCCCCCCAAAATGCCCCAGTGTACAAACCCCCCCCCCCCCCCCCCCCCCAAAATGCCGCAGTGTACAAACCCCACAAAATGCCCCACTGTACAAACCCCCCAAAATGCCACACTGTACAAACTTTTATATTTAGTTCACACTCTGAAGTTATAAAGAATTCCAAAAAATATTGTAGAAATGAAAATTGCCTGTTATTTATTCCAACAACTTTTTAAATGTGTATTTGAATCATTTACTATTCATGATTCAATACCAAATCCAAAAACCGAAGTTGGTCGCTTCCTTATTTTTCAAGCTCTATAATTGCTATTCTCATTCTATAGAAACTACACTGTTCATCGATCAGTTGGACAGTGAATGCATTAAATTTTTCGTGAATAATTTAATTACGAATGAATTCGATGTTTGGAATTATGTGCGCTATAATGTAGAGCGCTGTTTAACTGCTTTATTTGACCTTTTAACTACTGGAGGCGACCAATTTAAAAATATTACCTATTTCCAGCTTGACCCGAGACTTTATGATCGTATTATAGAGGTACTGATTTTTTGATATTATAGAAAATATGGCCCTATACGCAAATAAGGGTGAATCGTTTTTTCCTTTGGATAATTTTCCTTATTGGAAAGGAGAAAATGAAGGCCCAAAAAAGGAGCTTGGTCCACCCTTTTATTTTTCAATTTTCGGGGGTCTGTATCTCGGCCCAAAGTTAAGACCTGGGGATGATTTTGGTGTTATCCTACACAGCTCGACGATTTCTATAACCTAAGACGGACTGACCATTTTTTAATACTTTTAGAAAGGAAAACAAGGGTGGGGTCTCATCCGAACTATTACCTCTTTATCTAATTTTAAAAATTAATTTTTAAAATAATTCAAAATAATTCAAAATAATTTTATTTCAGCATAAAGAAACATCAAAAAACTTTTCAAAAATTATTTAAAAAATTAAATTAAATTTGGTCACTGGTCATTTAAATATAAGTGAAAGGGCAGAAAATATTGAAAGTTGGTCGCTTCCTTGTTTTTACAAGCTCTATAATTGCTATTCTAAAGCTATATTTAAAGAATGGAGGATGACAAAAAAGGAGGATGACAAAGCTGCTATTGAAATTAATCTGGACAAAAACAATTTTCAAAATAATTATTTAAAAACTACAAAATATCAAATTTCCAATAAATACAATACAGAAATGAAGTTTTCCGTTTATATTAAAAAGACGGACAAAGCTACTGTTGAAATTAAGAGAATTAATTGACTAAATTTTAATTGATTAGGATTCGTATAGAAAATTTTATTAGATTTTTAAAAGATTTTTTTATTAAATTCCGATTAAAATGTTTTTGTTTTTTAAATTAACATATTTGCATTTTAAGCTTGAATTAATATTTTTAATTGACATTACGAATTAATTACAAATTTAATTAATTACGAATAATTGACATTACGAATTTTACAAATTCTGGTCTATAATATATTACACAAATATTCTTCATAAAATTACAAATTCTGATTTTTAACTGATTTTACAATTCTGGCTCTTTAGAATATTACAAATTCTGATTTTACAATTCACTTTACAATTTCTTTTTTTAATATTTTACAAATTCTGATATTTAAAATATAATTTTACAATTTCTGATTTTTATTAGAATGTTTTTACAATTTCTGATATTTATTAGGATGTTTTTACAAATTCTGATTTTTAAATATTTTACAAATTCTGATTTTTAAATATTTTACAAATTCTGATTTTTAAATATTTTACAAATTCTGATTTTTAAATATTTTACAAATTCTGATTTTTCAAATATATCTAATTTTACAAATTCAGATTCTTAAACATTTTACAAATTCTGGTCTATAATCTATTATACAAATATTCTTTACAGACTTACAAATTCTGATTTTTAAATATTTTACAAATTCTGATTTTTAAATATTTTACAAATTCTGATTTTTAAATATTTTACAAATTCTGATTTTTAAATATTTTACAAATTCTGATTTTTCAAATATATCTAATTTTACAAATTCAGATTCTTAAACATTTTACAAATTCTGGTCTATAATCTATTATACAAATATTCTTTACAGACTTACAAATTCTGATTTTTAAATTACTCTTTGCTTAATTCTCTAAATATTTTATACAATTTCTATTATTATTTTACATACAAATTGAGAAATATTCTCAAGTATATATTTCATATTCTCATAAAATAATAATATTTTTTATTCTTGTATTTATATGTGCCTTTTATCGGATTGGTAATTTTCCACTCATAATTTTAATCCTGTTATGGCCTCTCCTCAAGAGTTGTGCTCAAGAGTTGTGTTGATTCAAGTTTATTCTCTCAGTCAAACGCTTGCTTTTCTACCTTTTAAAGAGGTAAGAATGATGGGGGGAATGATGGAGGGAATGACCAATTTTGGGGATTTTCTAGTTGGGTGAAAAATATCACACTTGTTCTTTTGGTCCATTTTTGCCTCCATTTGCAAGGCAATTCTTTCAGAAAAATTGATTCTTGAGCTGAAAAACTTGAGAGACTTGACAAACTTGAAATAACCAGTAACTACTAGTAATACGCCTAGAAATCCTTCTAATCAGCCTAGTCGATAAAGAATAAAAAATAATTTTTTTATTTATTCTCCACTCAATCCCCCTTCAAATAAAACAATCATTTTACTGGACAATAAAAAACGGAAGTATTGTAATTTTATTTTGATTGTGTCTTTCTTTGGTGTCCACCTCAAAAACACATTTTTTTTCCTAGCATTTAAAGAAAATAAAATAATTTTTGGAAAATTATACGGTAATTTCTTGTCTCTCCAAAATTAATAAAAAATACCCAAAAATCTCCTAAAAATCAGAAAAAATTTTTAAAAATCAAAAAAAATTTTAAAAATAATTTTTTAAAAATTTTAAAAGTCGAATATTAATGTTTATGCCGAAATTTGGCACTTTTTCCCCCTCTAAACAACAAAAACAGACATTTATTAATTTAAATATTTCCTTAAAACTCTCTAAAATTAATTGGATATTTTTCCTTAATTTATTATTTTTATTATTTATTGATGTGATAATAGCAGAAGAACAATCTGAATTTAATAATCGGGCAAAAAGGCAATATTATGATGAAAATTATTATAGCAGCTATTATGGATGGTTAGTTATGTAAATTGGGTCTTTTACAAATTCTGATCTGAAAATATAATTTTGTAAAACTTGATTTTACAAATTCTAATTTAAAATTCTGATTTAAAATCAGATTCTACAAATTCTGATTTTTCCTTTTACAAATACAAATTCTGATCTGTCAGTTTTGTGAATTCTGGTTTCAAAGATTGATTTCACAAATTGTAATTTGTGATAAATTCAGAATTTACAAATTCTGATTTCTTCAAATTCTGATTTTGCAGAATCAGATTTTTCAAATCCTGATTTTTTAATTCTGCTTTACAAAGTTGATTTTACAAATTCTTATTTGCAAAATTCTGATTTCTGCAAGCTCTCATTTTACAAATTCTGATTTCTGTAAATTCTCATTTTACAAATTCTGGTTTGCAAAATCAGCTTTTACAAACAGAAACCTTAAGCACATAATTATTTTAAAAATAAAACCAGTCCTTCCTCTACTTCAAGGCAAGCAGGGCGCATTGTCGGTTGGCTGATCGGATTCTTGTATGTATCCTTAACTTTAAAATTTTTTTATTCATTTTCAAAGTGTCCTCCTTCTTTTTATTTGTGTGCCATGTGTATGCTGTGCCGGGATTTGGTTTTTAGGCTGGTTTGGTGTTCGGCAAACAATGGCAAATAGGCGTGCTAGACGAGATGAAGGTGTTGTATCAGCGACATATCGCTCGCGTTTTCATTAAAATTAAATTACAAATTTTTGTTTTAATAATTTCACTTGGATTGGTATATCATGCTAAATAAATTTTATAGTTAATTTATTATTTTAACCAATTTCTTATACCTATTTATTGGTAAAATATTTATTTAAAACAGGCCGTGTGATATCAGCCAGAGATCAAAGGGAAATACATCGACGATATGTGGAAGGAACCCATTCACCTGTAGCAGCAGAACAGGTGTTTAATTTTCCAAATTCAAGCAAATTATAAAAATATTTCAAATTGTATATAACATTTTACAATTATATATCCATTTCTGATTTTATCAGATTTGTAATAAAAACATTTGTAAATTTACAATTCTAATTCTATACTTTATATTTTCTGATAATTATAAAAACATATATTTCTGGTATATTAAATGTTTTACAAATTCTGGTTTGTTAAATCTGATTTTACAAATTCTGGTTTGTAAAACATGTTTTACAAATTCTGATTTTGTAAAATCTGATTTTACAAATTCTGATTAGTTAAATCAGGTTTTATAAATTCTGATTTGCAAAACATGTTTTACAAATTCTGATTTTTTACAAATACTGTTTTTACAAATTCTGTTCTACAAAACATGTTTTACAATTCTGATTTTAGACTAAGTTTTTACAAATTCTGGTTTGCAAAACCTGATTTTACAAATTCTGGTTTAGGACTTAGTTTTTACAAATTTTAGTTTGTAAAACTTGACATTACAAATTCTGTTTTATTTTTTACAAATTCTGATTATTACAAAATCTGATTTTAGCCTAGTTCGATTTTACAAATTAAAGTTTCATTTTACAAATTCTGATTTTTTTCAAATACATATAACTCTCATTATTATTAGCGTTATATACACTCATCGGACCGTTATTATGAGAGAAGACCTCGAACACCACCACCTGTTTCTTCAACAGAAGCTGGTCCAATAAGAGAAACGAGGAGGCTTTAATTTTTTATTTCTAATTTAATTTTCATTTATTTTTTTATCGAAAATTCATTTTAATTTTCAAAACAATTTTTTAAATTAAAAAGCACGAAAAAAATTATTTTCCCAATCAACGTCCAAACTGCTCATTTAATGGATATGCTTTCACTATTTTTATATCAGTTGACGGTCTTAAAATTTCTTTTTATTAAAAAAATTTTTTTTCTCCCCACCTATCATTATTTTCTGTATTTACGGCCCCAATTTTTTGAAGAGTCTAAAATTAATTTTTTATTTTACCACTTTAAATTTCAAAAGCAGACCCTAATCCCAGTAGATAACCGTCCAAAAATTGTATGTTTTCCATCCAGATGTTGTGTCGGTGCCAATGTAATGAAAAATTGGGAGCCGTTAGTGTTCGGTCCAGAATTTGCCATTGAAATCTTTTGTAAAAAAATTTTTAAAAATTTCAAAAAAAAAATTTTTTTCTCACAATTCCAGCCCCAGTATGTCTCAATTCATCGCTTATTTCATCTTGAAAGTGTCGTCCATAAATTGAAGTTCCACCCCTACCCGTTCCTGTTGGATCGCCTCCTTGGATCATAAAATCGGCAATAACGCGGTGAAATATTGTGTTGTTGTAGTAACCTATTTTTTAAATAAAATTTAGAGAAATTGTAACTTAGAATGATAAGTTAGCACTGTGTTACCGAAAATAGGAGGGTATGAAAGTTGCTTTTTTGTTAACAGAAAATCGAGAATGCCCACTAACGACTTAGCCCAGTTAATTTAACAAGTATAGACTAACGTTGGATCTCTCACTAAAAGTTATCTGAGGAATTACTTGACTAGTACCGTTGTCAGATACTTCTATTTAAGACGTTTATTTTTGAGAATTTTGGTTACGACTGGTTAGAGAAAATGCTCCCTTATTGTCTATTAAAGAGAAAAACTCATTCGAGGATAAACTCAAAAATGTACCTTATAATGGGGTTAAATATAGTTAAATGGTTAAATAATTATCCCACCTTTTCTCGCCAATTCATAAAAATTTTGACATGTTTTAGGTGCATGTTTCCAATAGAGCTCTATTGACATTGTGCCCATTCTACAAAAAAAATAGAAAAATTTTTATGTAATTAAAAAAAATTTTCTTACGTTGTTTCTAAAACAATTTTTGAAGAATTTGATGACATTTCTAAAAAATCTAATTTCAAAAAAAAAATAATTTAGGCTTAAAATAATTTAAAAAATATTTTCTTTTGAAAATAACCAAAAGGCAATGACAAAAACGTGAAAAAAAATTTAAAATTTTATTAATAAATAAACAAATTTCGTATTAAAAACATCGAGAAAAAATCTGCTCTTGCTAACCCTAATATTGTAAGAAAGAAAGAAGATCCAGTTGGATAACATGCTTACTAGACGGGTGGTTTAAAATTTATTTTAAAAGACTTGGTAGAGAACCTATTACGTGGACTGCTCCCGCTCCAGCATTTCACTTGGTAGACCATATGTATGTGGCAAAGAACTGCTAAAATGTCGCAAGACGCGATTGCCTGCCAGGAGCCAAACTTAGACTTCCCTCTCTTACTATATTACAAATATTGTCAAAATTTTAAAAAATCTTTTAAAAATTTCTCCTCTATTTTCCATCAGAATATTGATAATTATCAGCAACATAATTGAACAATAATCCACAAGGGACACTAGCTTGCAATTTTGTTGCCAACAAGAATGAACCAGACAATTTTCTATGTAAAGAATAAATTTCTTCTGGTGGTGCAGTTAAACGATGTTGAAGCATTAAGGGAACTAGACGATTAACTCTTGATGTTATATTCTTTAAAAGAAAATTTTTTTTAGAAATTGGAAGGATTCTAAGGAACCTGTAAGGCAAAATTATAAGACCCTTTAAATGTTAAAGTTTCTGCAATGATTGAAATTGAATCACAATGAGCATCTTCCATAATTTTTGTTTCTGAACCGGTTAAAAAACCTATAGCACGGGACCATTTTAGAATCTAAAAATATTTGAAAATAACTTTTTATTTTTAGATTTTTTAAGCTACGTCGAACCGTACAAAATTGAATGGATTCGGCCTCTATGAGCTTGGTTAATAACCATGTGGTAAGGTGGGCTTGATAAGGGACCGAAGAGAGTTTTGTATAACTACCCTACTAGAACTTCTTAGAAAATCTCAGAAAATCCGGAATCGAAACGGAAATCCTTGTTTCCTCGGTTCGGCCTCTTATCAAGCCCATTCTACCGCATGGTTATTAACTAAGCTCATAGAGGCCAAATCCACTCAATTTTGGTATGATTTCGACGTAGCTTGTACACAGAATTAAAGTAGCTTTGCATCAAGAATGAGTTACTCGAAACACAAACTTGTTTTCGATCCGAAACCCGATCCGAATAAAATTTTGATAATCCCGACCAGATCATTTCTCAACCAGACCCATCCTTGCTTTACGTTAAATTGGACTTCTAATCTCTTTTTTACCCCTACAAAATCCCTTTTTTTACCCTACACTTCTAATCCCTCTCTATTTACCCCACAAAAATATTACCTCTTCTCTATTATTATTAAAAGCAGCTTTTAAAATCCGCATATATTTATCAATAAATGAACTGCTATAAGCACGTGTTGCACCAAAATCAAGAAGAATTAAACGGGGATTATTATTAATATTGCCAAAAAGAAAATTAGACCAATTGGGGTCTGTTTGCATAAATTTCCATCGAAAAACTTCATTTAAGCATAAAGCCATACTTTTTGTTGCTATCCAATCTCTGACCTTTGAAAAAAAATTTTTTTAATAAATATCTCCAAAAATCCGCATATTTTGTCCGCAAGTTTTATGCGCAAATTTTATGCGCAAAAGTCTTGTCCGCAGATTTTTATCCGCCAATATACATATGTCCGCAACTCAGAAAATTAAAAAAAATTTTTTTTAACTTTCCCAAAAAGTCCGCAAAATTAATCCGCAAGTTTTGTCCGCAAAAATTTTTATCCGCAAAAATGTCTAAAAATCTTGTCCGCAAATCGCAAATCAAACGATTTCTAAATTTATAAATTTTACCTGTTTAGGTTCATCCAAACACTGATTTACTGGTTTGCCTTCAACATATTCCGCTGTTAATACTTGTTTAGTTGAAAGATGTGGAAAAATACCAGGAACTTTAAAAAAACAAAATTTAAAATAAAATTCAAATTTTAAATAAATTTAACCATAATAATTAGTATCATCAGCCAATAATTTTCGAAATTTAACCATTGCATTAGCTTCTCTTTCATAATCGCATTCTGCCCTTAATTCTCTTCGAACAGCCTAAAATTTGCAATAATTCAGACCTCGTTAAGAGATAAACTTTTGGGACAAGAAAAATCGGACCTTATAACGATGAGTGTCTTAAATAGAGGGTATCGTTTAGAAAGCTTCTAAAGCTACAAGGTCCACCAAATTTTAGAAAAGGTGTCTAAAATTAAAGAAATCTAGTGGAATCTCTTTATAATGAAACCAGACCTGCTCATGGATACGGATACAGATAATATCAAAATTGCCTGCGGATATCCGCCTGTATCCGCCGTAAATAGCCGGATATAGATACCAAAATCAGTATCCGTGAGCAGGACTGAATGAAACCCCTTCTGGCTGAATTTTTCTGGCGTAAGAAGGTAAATGGAATGAGATGTGGAGTCGTTATAAAGAAATTTTAATGTATTGGGGTATCTTATTGTTAGTTAATGAGGTCTGACAATATTAAAAAATTAATTAAAAAACAAACAGCAGCAAAATTCTCCAAAAACAATCCTTTTGGCAAAACACGACCAAAACTTAATAAAGACAATAAATTATCAAAATCTGCTTCAATTCCATTTGCAATGCCTGGATATTGAACTTTAACGGCAACTTTTGTTCCGTCAAGTGTTGTTGCTTCATGGACCTAATTAGACAAAATATATGTTGAATATTATGGAAAATATTTTTAAATGACAAAAATAACATTGAAATTAGGTCAAAAAAAATTTTTTTTTAATTTCTAAAATTTTTCCTAAAAACAATTTTTTTGAAAATTTAAAAAAAATTTTGAAAAATATTTTTAATTCTAAAATCTCCAAAAAACAATTTTATTTCAGAAAATTCTAGAAAAATTTCAAAAATTTCCTAAATTTTGTTAAAAAAGATTTTTCAAAATTTTTAAAACCTGTCCAATAGAAGCAGCAGCAAATGGTTGAATATTAAAAACACGAAAAAGTTTAATCCAATTTGGCCCCAATTCTCTTTTCATTTGTTGTTCGACTTGCCACGCGGGGATAAAATCTGCACTTTGCCTAACACGCTCAAAAATTTCCAACAAAAAGGGAGGTATTGTTTTATCATCTGAAAATATAGAGAAAAGACTTTTTAGTGTTTTTAAATTTTTATTTCTAATAATGAGACTTTTTGGAAGTTCCTAGTTCAAAAATTCCAAAAATTTCACGGCCCGCGTTGTCTAAAATTTAAACAGCTCATTGTCTCTCTCTCTTGGTTTAAAAAATATTTGCTCGAAAAAAAGCTCGCATTCCAGTAAGGGAGAGGTAAAAATTTAACCCCAGGCGGTCATAGATCCTCGGTCTAATGGGAGTTATTGTTTGCTAGGAGCCTTCACTCCCATGTATAGCTGCACTACCGACTCTACACATCCTTACCTAAGCCTTGTGGACCTTTTAAAAAATAGCCAGATGAATCCCCCTTCTTCTTTATATTTCTAAATAAACCCCAAAAATCATATTAACCTTGAATTGAGATCATTTGTCCAAGTTTAAGAGCTGCACCCCTTACACGACAAAGCATTTGAACTATACGTTCAGCATTTTCTGGTGTAAATAATGGATTTGAAATTGAAGAAGTATTGTTGTTTGGAGTAATAGTTGGATTTGAATTCCCTCCTCCATCAATTCTTCTACGTAACAATTCTTTAGCTGTTCCAGTTCCTAGACCTATAACCAATTTTCCAAAATTAAATAAACGGCTAACACGGGTTGTTGGCACCTTTCTTTCACTACTTTTTGACATTTTATTTGTAGAATCGATGTTTGTTGGACGACAATCCTTTTTAATATAAAAAATGATTAGACAAAAAGTGAATATTTCTTAGGTTTGATACTAATGTAAGATCATAGGTTGAATATTATTACTGGGATGGAACGAGTTGAGAGAAAAAGCCGGGTCAGTTTCCAAGCCGAGATTTCAAAAATTTCTTCGGATTGGGTTTTGAGTCGACACAAGTCAAGATTAAGGGGTTCCGTGACTTTTGCGCCGTGAACATTTGCGCCGCGACTTTTGCGCCGCGACTTATGCGCCGAGCGACTTTTGCGCCGGGGAACATTTGCGCCGCGACTTTTGCGCCGGGCGACTTTTGCGCCGCCACTATCATTAAAAATATATAGATAACTACAGCCAAACCTCACTTTAGTAGTGTTGTCGGATAGTTGAAAATCTTCGGATATCCGGATCCGATATCCAAACTGAAAATTTCGGATATCCGGCTTTTTTCGGATCCGGATTTTTTTAAAAAATGGCGGCGCAAATGTCGCGGCGCATAAGTCGCCCGGCGCAAAAGTCGCGGCGCAAGGGTCGCGGCGCAAAAGTCGCCCGGCGCAAAAGTCGCGGCGCAAATGTTCTCGGCGCAAAAGTCGTAATACCGATTAAGGTCATCGGTTTTCGCTAACCAGTCCCAACCCTGGCCTATCATCCGTAACACATGCTGGTCGCATACCACACAAAATTAATTTCGAGGGTAATATTATTTAAAAAATAAAAAAATATTTACTTTAGGCAACGAAGGAATAATATCAACAACATCTGCATCGGTTGAAGAGACTTGAACAAAATTAGAAAATTCAGCACTTGAAGGGTTGACAAAACTTTTTCCATCAGAAAAAGGTGGAGGGTTGTCTGCTGGTTTAGAAGGGTAATTTCTCGTTCCATCGTTGTTTAAAGTAAAACCTCCTTGCCTTAAAAAATAATTTGATAAGAAATTATTTTAGTAAAAAATTTTTTTGAAAAATTCCCAAAAATTAAAAAAAAATTTTCCACGAATTTCGAGTCTAGGATTGGAATTCCTCCAAAAAAGTGAGGACGCCGAAAAAATATTATTATATTTAAAAAATTCTCGAAGAAAAAAGAAAACTAATCTGGCAAAACTCCTCGCAGAGCTAATTGAGCAAACGTTTGAATTCCAACCGCAACAACTTGAACGCGTTCAGCAGTGTCGGATATAACAGATTTTTTATTGGTCGACCTTCCAAAACTATTTTTTTTAATTTTAAAAAATTAAAAAAAAATAAACCTCAAATTCTGCCCTTTTTCTTCCTCAATTTTGTAAACATTTCCACCACCCACAATTAATTGAACAAGTCTTTGTCTAACAGGTTCATCCAAATGTCTAAAATTGTAACCAATTTGTGATTGAGCGAGTAAACGTAATAAATGAGCATGACGTAAAATAATGTTTTTTGGGAGGTTTGAAACCATCTCTTCTTCGAGAAAAAATTTTTTTCACTGAAAACTTTGATTATAATAATTTAAAAAAATATGAGAATGAACAGGAAACATTCTAAAAAAATTCAAAAATATTTTTAAAAAAATTTTTATTTCCTTGCAAAAATTGAATATACATAGTATTTAATGGGTACAGCCCATTACGGCGCGGGCCAAAACGGCGCGACCGAAACGGCGCGACCGAAACGACGCAGGCCGAAACGGCGCAAGGCCAAAACGGCGCACGGCCAAAAACGGCGCAAACCCAAAACTGCAGTGATAGAGTTATTAACGTGTTGTCATCTAGTGATCAGCCTATTTGTGATCGATCTGACCTTGCTGATCGATCAAAAATCGATATCCACCCTTGCGTACTCTGATCCTTCAAATTATTAAAATTCTGCAATAAGGTTTTGCGCATTGCGGGAAAATTGTTTCAACAATGTGGAAGATCGTTCAGACTGAGAAAAGTTGTTACAACAACGATGAAGGCCGTTCCGACATCAACGACCAAAATAAAAATAACTAAAGTCTAGATGGTTACAGTAGTAATATGGGGATAACTATATAGTAGTTATAGGGGGAACTAACTAGTAATATATGTAGTTATAGGGGAAACTAACGAGTAAATATAGTTATATTGGAACTATCTGAATCCCGCAGTTATTTCTCGCAGTTATACTTACTAGTACGTATATGATCTAAATAGTTTTGTTACTCTTAGTTTTTGTTATCACTCTTTGTTATCACGAGATGTTGTCCAAATGCGACCTTACATTTGTCATTTATTGTTCCAAAAGATATGATCACCATTCGAGCTTTATTTGTCCATCTTGTAACAATAGCCATTATTGGAAATTTTTGCGCCGTTTTGGCCGTGCGCCGTTTTGGACTTGCGCCGTTTTGGCCTGCGTCGTTTCGGTCGCGCCGTTTCGGTCGCGTCGTTTTGGCCCGCGCCGTTTCGGGCGTGTCCCGTATTTAATAATTAAAAAATATTGGTGGTACTTTTTGGATATCCTGTCCCCCTAGTTTGAGTCTTATTGTTAGAAGTTTTCCTTAAAATGAACACAGGGTGGCCCTTTCCAAATCACCAAAAGAGGCATGGCTTCCCAAAAATTGAAGCAAAAAGTGGACAAAATCGTTCAAAAAGGGAGCAAATGCCTCCCAAATGAGGCGAAAAGGGCCATCTTAAGCTGTACATAATGGGAAGACTTTCTTAATTCCACAATTTGACTCCATTTCCCTGTGACACAAAAGCGCAGCCAGGAGGTCGAGTTCAGGGAAGTGGGCTAAAATGGGGTATGCCCCAAAATTTTGGCGTTTACCAGAAGCCCACCCCCTGGCTACGCCATTGCTGTGACATATTCAAATGAGTGAGAGACATTAATAAAATCAAAAAATTCTTTCTCAATGAAAACTTTAAAACTACAACTAGGGGATACAGGATATCCAAAAATACCAAAAAATACAGATATAATCTATATCCATAATAAAATCTCAAAAATGTAAAACTTTTGTTTCTTGTAGAACAGATTCCAATGGACAATAGGGGCATCTAAAAATATCAAAATAAATTTTTAAAAAATTTAAAAAAAACTTTAAACGATTATTTCTGCTTTGTTGTGCCAATTTATTCATAGCATCCATACTTATTACGTGTCCACAACAAAGTCTAACAGGCGGATTCTTTAAAAAAATTTTTTTATTAGAAAAATATTTTTTTTATTCATGAAGAAAAAATGGACAAAAGTTGAATTTCTACATTTCGCTATCCCCACACCTTGTCCGCAAAGGGAATGCGCACTTCCTATCACCCCGACTGCCTATTACACTAATTTGTAAGGGATATCCGTTTTTGTTTTAAATGACTCTGGGCCGAGTTATTGCCATTCAAAGTCGGACAACTAGAATCTGAAGTTATAGGGTATACAATTAGCAGCTGCTCTCCTCTCTCCATCCCAACCCCTTTCATACGTTCCTCGTCCCGAGTCAGATTTTCGAAAACTTTTTGAGTCGAAAAGCCCGACGTTAGGGTATAAAGTAACTCGGCCCATCCCTCCTATTTATAGCAGTCCTACCAAATTAATTTTAAAAGATCTTTGAATTTTTGTGTTAATTTTACTAATCAGAAATTTAAAAAGAATTTCCTTTAAGAATTTAAAAATTAAAAAAACCAACCGTTTCTGTGCTCTGCACTTTTAATATTGGACAACAAAAAGAAGAATGAACTTGTTCAGGGATTGGCACATTACAAGGCAATTCATCAGACAATGTTGACGTACTTCCTGGACGGGCTGAAGAAAGAAATGCACGCATTGTTAGAAGAGAGGGAACAGTTTTTGCACCAGCTGAGAGGCTTAAAAAAAATTTTTTAATTAAAATATTGTTAAGAGATTGAATGGACCGTGTCCGGAAAAATGGGCTACAAAATTTTAAGGAAAGTGCGCCTAAAATTTTAGAGCCCAATTTTCCATTTTTATCACTTAGAGTCCAAATTTCCGCTGGAGCCAAGTTTTCCAAAAAGTTAGAGCGCAATTTTCCGAAGAATCTTGTAGCCCAATTTTCCAGACCAAATTTCCGGGACTGAATGAATAATCTCAGACAATAAATAGGAAGAAAATTATTTAATTTTACAAATAACACCCGTCCCCTTTCTTTGAAACGAATTCCCCCAAACTTCCGTGCACCGAAAAATCGGTTCTCGTCCAAAAAAAATTGAATTCAAATTTAAATTAGTGAACAAACTTTTTTGACCTAATCAAAATTTGGGTAAAAAATTTTCTTTTGATAAAAAAAATTTTTTTAATTTTTTGTCACAAATCAAATTCTGACATTTTCAAAATCTCGCCCGAAAAATAATAAAAAAATTAATTTTAAACAAACATTGCAGTCAAGGAACTTCGATAATCAGTTAATGCTTGTGCCAATTCCTCTTCTAACCCAAACCAACGACCAGAATGAAATAAATATTCATATGGGCCCTTTTGAGGGTATGAAATTACAACAAACATCTTTTAAAAAATAAAATTAGAAAAATAATTTTTATAAAAAAATTTAAACCAAATGTGACAATTCTTCTTTGTAATCCTCAAAAGGGAAAGATTGAAGTTCACGTACATATTTTAAAGCTGCCATTTTATCACCTAAAAGAATTAAATAGCGATGGTTTAATAAATATATTTCAGGATAAAAATGTTCCTTTAAACTAGAGTTGCGCCCCGACCACGTACCCCCACCCCCGTTCCCGAAAGATTTTTTCATATTTTCCCTGATCCAAACCCCGTCCATATTTTGCTTCCCCGACCCGAACCTCACCCCGAAACCCGAGCGTTCGGGGCCCAACCCTACTTTAAACAAGGTATTGTCGGATTGAGAAAAAGTCCAGACAGGCTACAAGTCAATCTCAAAACTTTCTTAAAATTAAGTTCAGGTTGAAAAAGTCTTGGTTTCAGGCAACCCGACCAATTCCTGCTTCAAACTAGAATTATATGAAACCTAATACTAATCGGTCTCTCAAGGACACAAGTCGATAGAGGCCCCACTAAAAAATTAGAACCAAATGTGACAATACAACCTGGTTCTAATTCACTTGCAAAAATTAGGACCAAGTTATGTGGAGTAAACTTCAACTAAAAACTCTCTTTGATAAACTTTAGGGATTTCGAAAATTATTGCCCTAGACCTTAGGTTCTTTAACAACCAAAAATTATATATACTTGTTTCAAGTAGCCGAATAATATGTTGACATTGTAAACGAAAAAGTAAATCTTTCTTCTCTGGAGCACAATCTTTGAGCCATTCTATAGCTGGAAGATAGTTAAATTGCTTGAAGGCTGACATAATCTCCCTTAAAGTTTCGGAATTTGAAATATCTGGCATTGAAAGTGACGAATCCGACTCCTAAAAAAACTTCAAATTTGTAACGAAAATTTTCCAAAAAGAAACCTTTATAAACGTCTCCGCCACATCTGTCCGCCCCAACCCTATTAAATGTTCTAATATCAGACGATTTGCATGTGCCAAGTTTTCTGGATCTGTCTCAATTTCTTTTTCGCTTTTGAGTAATTTACTGAGGTCAGAATAAAATTTATTGTCAATTGATTTCTGGAAAAAATAAAGAGACAATTAAGTTTCCATCCTCCCTAAAATCTCGATCTCCAGTCAGATTGACATGGATTTGATAATACTTACCAGACCTTTGCATGAATACGGATATGGATACAAATATCAGGATGCCTGCGGATATCCGTTGTATCCACCGTTAATATCCGGATACGGATACTAAAATCCGTATCCATGCACAGGTCTGGCATTACAATCAGACAGACTATACATAGCAAAGAATCGCAGTTGGCCCAGCCTAAACCTTTTTCCAGGACCTAGCCAGGATCCTGCCTTGTCCAGACAGATTCGAGAATCAATCCAGGCCCATACCCTCTAAAGCCTAATTCTCTAGTCAACTTCCTACATTTTCAACTTCTAATCAAAAATAAAAATTAAAAAAATACAACTTACCCCACAACGAGAAATTAAATGATGAATAGGATGTTTATGTTCTTGAGCCATTTCCCCCAAAATCTTTTTTAAATTATTCAACGCCTCTAAAAGTATGTATTGGGCATGCACCTAAAAATTCATTAAAAATAAAAAAACCTCTTCAAAAAAATTTTTTTACAGAAAGCTCGGGTTCTCCACAATTTTCTTCTTGTTGTTCCCCAGACTCGTTAGATTTGCCAGACTCATTAGATTTGCTCTCACTCAATTCAACAATATCTGCAGAATCCAAAGATTTATTTATTTGCTCTGGTTCAATAATTAATTCAGTACACATTGCGTCCAATTTTGTTGAATTTTTTGTTAATAGAGGAATAAATTTTGAAGTGAAACTTTGGGTTCTTTGAATTGCTTTGTTTGTATTGTCGCCAATTATGTCAATTTCAGCTCTTGATTGGACGGGAAAATTTTTTTCTGTAGACATGATTTCCATAAGATTTCCTTAAAATTAAAGGGAAAAATGATTAGAAATGTTCTAGGGATAAGCAGGGGATTTCCTACGGTTTTTCCACGAGATCTCCAGTAATAAATACAAGAATGCGGAAAAATCGCATTCCCGGGATCCCGTACCGAAATTTTTTTTTCAAAATTTTTACGAGACGGAATCCCGCGGAATTAACCCCGCTAATCCCGTTCAACGCGCTAAACACGGGATTTGGACGGATCTCGGGATTTCGGAACACGGATTTCGGGACGGGATCCCGCAACTCCCGTGCGGGATCCCGTCCCGTGTCGACTGAAATAACTACACTCATTTTTGGCACTCAACAGTCCTATTCATTTCAGAACGGGACTGTTTAACGCAGACAGTTTATCGTGTGATAAGCTTGGGGACATTTGAGTATGATTTATCTTCACAAATTTTGTCCAAGGATTTTATTAAGCCCTGAGTGGCCGTGAAAAGCTTATTTTGTGGGACACGCCCGAGTAGGCGCGGGCCAAGTAGGCGCGACCGAGTAGGCGCGACCGAGTAGGCGCAGGCCAAGTAGGCGCAAGGCCAAGTAGGCGCACGGCCCAAGTAGGCGCAAATCTTTTAGCTTAAAATATTCAAAGTAAAAAATAAGTCAGTATAAATATTTTTATGTTAATGAGTTAAAAGAAAGATTCTTGATAAAAATTAGAAGAAAGGTACCTATTTTAGAAGAAAGACACCTTAAATATCGATATCCTGTTAGTATACGTTCGTACTGTACGCATTAACTAGGCAGTTCAAAAGTGTATATTTATTTTTTAATCCATTAAAAGCTTTTAATCATCAAAAGACTCCTAACTGTAGCTGGACTTTTTTGTGAAACGCCTTGATAGTCGTATCTTGATTGTTAATTGTACCTTTGTATATACCGTATTATCTCTAATAGAATGGCCGGCCATTCTATTTTTCAATCACCCTCTAGGGGGCCATTCTAATAGAAGGGGCCATTCAAATGGAGACGGCCATTCTATTTTTCAATGAAAAAATTTTGCGATTTGAAAAAATTTCGACCTCGTTGGTTCATCTACCACAAGTTTTGATTTTAGTTATTTATAGGAAAAATGTAAAATCAAATTTGAATTCGAAACTCGAACTTTGAAAATGAGAATAATTCGCCAAAAATTGTCAAACATTCTATTGAGATTAATAGATGCAAGCGAGTAAGGACGATTTTGTGAAACTAAGTGGGATATGGATTGATTTAGCATTATTAATACAATAGAAGTAGAGGGGGAATTGAGAGGGATCTCGATGATTACAGAGCAGGGATTATGTGAGATATCAATGATCATCAAAATCCATCGCAGGATTTAGAGGGGATTAAGAAGAAATGGAGGAGATATTGAAGTAATTTGGAGGATTAGGATGAATTGGGTTGTAAAATTCTAAAAAGAATTTTAATAAATGGGAGGGAAAATACATTGAACTCAAAAATAACTTTAATCTTCAATGATTTAACAAAGCTTTAACAATTTTATTTCCAAACCAATAAGTAAAGTTAACAAAATAATCTCTTTAAAATCCAAACAAAAGAAGGGGACAAACAAATTTAAAGTAACAGAATATTATCTTTTCTTTTAACAAAATATGGGGCCAAATCTTTTAGAGAACAAACTTATATCAAGAAAATAAAAAGGGGCAAATCTTCAAATCTAACTGAACGGGGAACAACTCTTTTCTGGGGGAAGGAATGAGTAAGAAGTTCAAAAAACTGAGCCAAACTGCTCACTTTTCCATTTTTATATTCGGGCTTTAATGTGCAAAAAGAGGGAGGTGTTTGCACATTTTAATTCAAAATTAGTTGGCCAAAACAACCAGTGCAAAGGGTTGCAAAGATAGACGAAAGGGAAGAGATAGGACATATTTAAGGCCGAATCAAAATACACAAAAATACAATAGGGCTTTTCCTAGTTAAATTGAGCGGGCCTGAGATTTAAAAGAATGGGGAGAAAAAGAGCAGGGATGCAAGGTTCAAAAAAGGCCTTTTGGCCCGCCATAATTAACATTTTTTTGAGCGGGCTTAAAAATAAAGACAAAAATATATGGACAAAATTTCGGCCAAAGGTTAATAAATAAAAAATATATTTTCAAATCTGAAGGATTTGACATTCGGGAGAAACCCAAAAAATTTAGATGAAGGCGTAAGGGAGATGGTGGAATATGAGTTTAGGTGCAGAGACGGGTGGAGGGGGTCCGGGTAAGTATAACAAATTTCAACAGAATTGGTCATCTATTTTCCTTTCAATTCTTCCAAATTTCTGTCACAGGTTGGCTGATCAGCCCTTCTCGTCCTTTTCTATTTTCATTTATCGGCATGTTCTAAGATTAGAGGGGTCATATTCATATTCTTCGTATAAGCATTGTTGGTCCATTAAGAAAAGGGTAAAATTTTGGGGGAATTATTTCATATTTAAATTTAATTTTACCAATTTTTGTTGACGGTAAGTTTATTCTCGGTCATGTTCCTCATCCATGTCGTGGCCTAATAAATAATATGCATCAACGTATCGTGTTGTTTAATTTTCGAAAGAATCTCCTTCCAATTAATCACAGAATGATGAACACATTTTATTTCAAACAAATCAAGATTAGACAAAGTAGAAAACAGGGTTTTAGGGGTAAGAATATCATTTCCTTTTATTCGGGGCATTTTTAATGAAGGTAGGGAAAAGCAAGGATTCTCTTCATGGATTTGTTTAAAATCATTTAAAGGAACATTAAAATTAGAGGGGATGACAAAGTATTTACGGTTATTCGGAGGGGTTATTTTCAATGTCTTAGGATGTATTTGACAGGCAGTAACATCGGATTGGGAATTGTTTATAATTGTTGATTTTCGGTTTAATTGTTTGGGCAATTTTTTTCTTTGTCTTTTACGAGACATTGGGCTTTCTTTTCTTTTTTCTAGGCAAAAAATTTCCAGATAATTAAGAGTGGGGGGTAATGGTTTATTTTCTTCCAATATCTCTTCTGATATAGGAATATAATCATTTTCTGATGAATTAATATTCGTAGTTCCAATTGAAGAATTAAAAGTAACATATAAGATAGACTGTTGTAAATTTTCAAGAGATATAAGGGGACGTTCTGAGGATAAATCGGGAATTAAGTTGTCAGTTAAAACAAGGGGCATTTCTTTAGAATAATTATAAGCTCTAACTTCATTATCTTCATTTATAATCTCTTGTAAGGGGGTAGATTCTTCACAAATATTTTTAGTAATACAAACTTCATCAATAGGAGTAAAGCCGGGAGGGGGACTAATGGGACTTTTATTAATAATTTCATTTGTAAATCTTCTATTCAATACAACATCTTCACTTATCTGATTGTTTAACTCGTTAGGATTCTTTTCAACATTTATTTCTTTTATAGGGGAAAAGCCAGGAGGGATAGCAAGAGGGTTAAATCTTTCCATTTTATTATTTGGACAATTGATTTTATTAAAATGGCACTCGGGGAATAATGGTTGTTGAGGAGAATGGACTTGTTCATTAATAGACGGATAATCTCGAAAAACTGGAGAAATATAAGGTCGGGTGTGAGTAGGAGGTGAATAAAATATGTTTGGCTTGGGTTTAGCCGAATATGCCAGAGTCGGCGCCTCTTCTTGCGTAACGGGTGAAAGAGAAAATTGTCCTTTAGCTGGGGGATTTAAAAACAAATTAGATTGAATAGGTGGCCGGTTTCGATAAGAATTATCCATAGAATTTGCATAAACTGATTTTAATGAGGTTTGAGTATTTTCATTGAATTGCTTATTCTGGGAAGGGTTTAAAAGAGGAAGTTCAGGAAGGAGATGAGAATGGTCCAATGGGGGTTCAATTTTCGGTAAGTTACTTTCTAATTCATGTCGGGAATTCCGAAGCTTTCGTAGATACCGTTTAAGGTCGTACATAACTTTTATGTAATTTGTTTCTTGAAGGAATTTCTCTAGGATTTGGCTATCGGCTGCCCTTTCAGTTTCTGACATTGAAATTCTTAAATCTTGCCATGAATTATGGGCCATTTTAAAGTCATTTAGGATTTTGGTAATCTCTTGGGAGGTAAGGTCTATTTCATTAATTAAAGCCTGAGTAGATTCGAGAGATTGGGTTTTCAAATTATCATAATCTTCTATTAGAAAAGAGAAGGGGCTAGGAAGAAGTATTTCTTTAGTGAGGGAACAAAGCTGGGACAATTGATTTCTATAAGCTAGTGACATTTCATTTAAAACAAATAAATAACTCGGAATTTTAAAATCAAACAAAATATAACCTTTTAAATACTAACGGACAATAAAAATATCAAGGGAAAAAATACATATATTCTAAAAAGTGTGAATTAGAAATAGGTCTCGGGTGGTCACCGGCTGAGCTGTAAAATTCTAAAAAGAATTTTAATAAATGGGAGGGAAAATACATTGAACTCAAAAATAACTTTAATCTTCAATGATTTAACAAAGCTTTAACAATTTTATTTCCAAACCAATAAGTAAAGTTAACAAAATAATCTCTTTAAAATCCAAACAAAAGAAGGGGACAAACAAATTTAAAGTAACAGAATATTATCTTTTCTTTTAACAAAATATGGGGCCAAATCTTTTAGAGAACAAACTTATATCAAGAAAATAAAAAGGGGCAAATCTTCAAATCTAACTGAACGGGGAACAACTCTTTTCTGGGGGAAGGAATGAGTAAGAAGTTCAAAAAACTGAGCCAAACTGCTCACTTTTCCATTTTTATATTCGGGCTTTAATGTGCAAAAAGAGGGAGGTGTTTGCACATTTTAATTCAAAATTAGTTGGCCAAAACAACCAGTGCAAAGGGTTGCAAAGATAGACGAAAGGGAAGAGATAGGACATATTTAAGGCCGAATCAAAATACACAAAAATACAATAGGGCTTTTCCTAGTTAAATTGAGCGGGCCTGAGATTTAAAAGAATGGGGAGAAAAAGAGCAGGGATGCAAGGTTCAAAAAAGGCCTTTTGGCCCGCCATAATTAACATTTTTTTGAGCGGGCTTAAAAATAAAGACAAAAATATATGGACAAAATTTCGGCCAAAGGTTAATAAATAAAAAATATATTTTCAAATCTGAAGGATTTGACATTCGGGAGAAACCCAAAAAATTTAGATGAAGGCGTAAGGGAGATGGTGGAATATGAGTTTAGGTGCAGAGACGGGTGGAGGGGGTCCGGGTAAGTATAACAAATTTCAACAGAATTGGTCATCTATTTTCCTTTCAATTCTTCCAAATTTCTGTCACAGGTTGGCTGATCAGCCCTTCTCGTCCTTTTCTATTTTCATTTATCGGCATGTTCTAAGATTAGAGGGGTCATATTCATATTCTTCGTATAAGCATTGTTGGTCCATTAAGAAAAGGGTAAAATTTTGGGGGAATTATTTCATATTTAAATTTAATTTTACCAATTTTTGTTGACGGTAAGTTTATTCTCGGTCATGTTCCTCATCCATGTCGTGGCCTAATAAATAATATGCATCAACGTATCGTGTTGTTTAATTTTCGAAAGAATCTCCTTCCAATTAATCACAGAATGATGAACACATTTTATTTCAAACAAATCAAGATTAGACAAAGTAGAAAACAGGGTTTTAGGGGTAAGAATATCATTTCCTTTTATTCGGGGCATTTTTAATGAAGGTAGGGAAAAGCAAGGATTCTCTTCATGGATTTGTTTAAAATCATTTAAAGGAACATTAAAATTAGAGGGGATGACAAAGTATTTACGGTTATTCGGAGGGGTTATTTTCAATGTCTTAGGATGTATTTGACAGGCAGTAACATCGGATTGGGAATTGTTTATAATTGTTGATTTTCGGTTTAATTGTTTGGGCAATTTTTTTCTTTGTCTTTTACGAGACATTGGGCTTTCTTTTCTTTTTTCTAGGCAAAAAATTTCCAGATAATTAAGAGTGGGGGGTAATGGTTTATTTTCTTCCAATATCTCTTCTGATATAGGAATATAATCATTTTCTGATGAATTAATATTCGTAGTTCCAATTGAAGAATTAAAAGTAACATATAAGATAGACTGTTGTAAATTTTCAAGAGATATAAGGGGACGTTCTGAGGATAAATCGGGAATTAAGTTGTCAGTTAAAACAAGGGGCATTTCTTTAGAATAATTATAAGCTCTAACTTCATTATCTTCATTTATAATCTCTTGTAAGGGGGTAGATTCTTCACAAATATTTTTAGTAATACAAACTTCATCAATAGGAGTAAAGCCGGGAGGGGGACTAATGGGACTTTTATTAATAATTTCATTTGTAAATCTTCTATTCAATACAACATCTTCACTTATCTGATTGTTTAACTCGTTAGGATTCTTTTCAACATTTATTTCTTTTATAGGGGAAAAGCCAGGAGGGATAGCAAGAGGGTTAAATCTTTCCATTTTATTATTTGGACAATTGATTTTATTAAAATGGCACTCGGGGAATAATGGTTGTTGAGGAGAATGGACTTGTTCATTAATAGACGGATAATCTCGAAAAACTGGAGAAATATAAGGTCGGGTGTGAGTAGGAGGTGAATAAAATATGTTTGGCTTGGGTTTAGCCGAATATGCCAGAGTCGGCGCCTCTTCTTGCGTAACGGGTGAAAGAGAAAATTGTCCTTTAGCTGGGGGATTTAAAAACAAATTAGATTGAATAGGTGGCCGGTTTCGATAAGAATTATCCATAGAATTTGCATAAACTGATTTTAATGAGGTTTGAGTATTTTCATTGAATTGCTTATTCTGGGAAGGGTTTAAAAGAGGAAGTTCAGGAAGGAGATGAGAATGGTCCAATGGGGGTTCAATTTTCGGTAAGTTACTTTCTAATTCATGTCGGGAATTCCGAAGCTTTCGTAGATACCGTTTAAGGTCGTACATAACTTTTATGTAATTTGTTTCTTGAAGGAATTTCTCTAGGATTTGGCTATCGGCTGCCCTTTCAGTTTCTGACATTGAAATTCTTAAATCTTGCCATGAATTATGGGCCATTTTAAAGTCATTTAGGATTTTGGTAATCTCTTGGGAGGTAAGGTCTATTTCATTAATTAAAGCCTGAGTAGATTCGAGAGATTGGGTTTTCAAATTATCATAATCTTCTATTAGAAAAGAGAAGGGGCTAGGAAGAAGTATTTCTTTAGTGAGGGAACAAAGCTGGGACAATTGATTTCTATAAGCTAGTGACATTTCATTTAAAACAAATAAATAACTCGGAATTTTAAAATCAAACAAAATATAACCTTTTAAATACTAACGGACAATAAAAATATCAAGGGAAAAAATACATATATTCTAAAAAGTGTGAATTAGAAATAGGTCTCGGGTGGTCACCGGCTGAGCTGTAAAATTCTAAAAAGAATTTTAATAAATGGGAGGGAAAATACATTGAACTCAAAAATAACTTTAATCTTCAATGATTTAACAAAGCTTTAACAATTTTATTTCCAAACCAATAAGTAAAGTTAACAAAATAATCTCTTTAAAATCCAAACAAAAGAAGGGGACAAACAAATTTAAAGTAACAGAATATTATCTTTTCTTTTAACAAAATATGGGGCCAAATCTTTTAGAGAACAAACTTATATCAAGAAAATAAAAAGGGGCAAATCTTCAAATCTAACTGAACGGGGAACAACTCTTTTCTGGGGGAAGGAATGAGTAAGAAGTTCAAAAAACTGAGCCAAACTGCTCACTTTTCCATTTTTATATTCGGGCTTTAATGTGCAAAAAGAGGGAGGTGTTTGCACATTTTAATTCAAAATTAGTTGGCCAAAACAACCAGTGCAAAGGGTTGCAAAGATAGACGAAAGGGAAGAGATAGGACATATTTAAGGCCGAATCAAAATACACAAAAATACAATAGGGCTTTTCCTAGTTAAATTGAGCGGGCCTGAGATTTAAAAGAATGGGGAGAAAAAGAGCAGGGATGCAAGGTTCAAAAAAGGCCTTTTGGCCCGCCATAATTAACATTTTTTTGAGCGGGCTTAAAAATAAAGACAAAAATATATGGACAAAATTTCGGCCAAAGGTTAATAAATAAAAAATATATTTTCAAATCTGAAGGATTTGACAGGGTTTAATCCCCCTTATATAACCCCTTCTCGTACGAGATTGCTTGTCGTACTAGAATCGAGATCCATTGTACCGCCCTTTTTTGAAAAAATAAATTAAAATCTAAAAATTTTCAAATACTTTGTTTTGTATTTTTCACTAATTTTCACTAGTAAATAACTAAATTGATAAAATCGGGATCAGAAATAAAGAGTGTAATTAAGATGAGTTATATACACTTTAATCCTCCTATCGTCTATTCATCTTAACCCTCCTACAATCTTTATCCTTCTATCCTGCCTTAACTCCAAGAATCCACTGATATCTCTTAATCCCCCAATTTCTCTTCCGCCTTCTCTTTATCGAAACAAATCCTCCGATATCTCTCCAAATCCACCTTAATCTTGTAAATCCACTGAGATCTATACTGATTTCCGGCACTACAGGTGAAAATTTGAAACAAAATTTTATATTGGGAACATTTTAGCATTAAAGGGGGGGGGGCATTCTATTAGAAGGGCCATTCAAATGGAGACGGCCATTCTATTTTTCAATCACCCTCTAGGGGGCCATTCTATTAGAAGGGGCCATTCAAATGGAGACGGCCATTCTATTAGAGATAATACGGTACTTTATGTTCCCTTAAACTGGTTAGTTCCTAAAGGCTAACTAGTTAGTCCCTCTTAAACTAGTTGAACTAGTTAGAGTTAGTTTTAGTTTTTTGGTAACTTTGGTAAGCCACAGGAATTATCAAAGCAGCATGGCTTTCACTAATTAACAAACTTAGCAAATAATCCAAAACTTATCAGCAGCTAAGTATGGAGCTTTTATGAGAAAAATATTAAAAGATTTTTTTTAATTTTATCAAAAAATAAAAACATCAACGAGCTTCACTTAATAAATTTTTTTCCCTAAGAAGGGCAGTTTTAGAAAAAGTCCAGTGTCCACATAAAGTTGCTTGATTATTCAGCCAACTAATTAACAAAATTAGTTGAAGATTAATAAAAAAATTTTGGGTAAAAATTAAGAAATTTACCCTTGCGCCTACTTGGGCCGTGCGCCTACTTGGCCTTGCGCCTACTTGGCCTGCGCCTACTCGGTCGCGCCTACTCGGTCGCGCCTACTTGGCCCGCGCCTACTTGGGCTGTACCCTTATTTTGTATCTGATTAATCATTCATTGCCTAAACTTCCCTTAATTTTTAACCTTTCAGATTTATTATTTCTCTTTAAAGCCTAAATTATGTCTGAACAATTTTCACATTTGAGCTGCGAAGAACTTCGTCAGGAACTTGTCAAAAACGGTTTCTCCTTTTAATTTTCTTGATTTTATTTAAATTAAGGTATTCCATGTGGTCCAATTGGAACAACAACTCGTAAAGTTTATGAGAAGAGACTGGAGAAAAAATTGGCGGACGACAGGAAAAATCAAGTTAATACTAGTCGATCATCGAATCGCGAGGTTTGTTTCATTTTTAAGTTTTTTCAATCTTTTTTGGTATAGAATGTAGGAAGTTCTTCGGCAAGTTTGCGAAGTGTTCCACGGAGAAGGAGTTTTGAGGCGCCGGGTCGTGAGGTTTGTCAATTCTGTTTAGGGTTGGGGGCCTCGAGTCTGGCCGACGTTCGAGTCATTCTTTTCGGGCCGGCCCGACCGAGTCTTTTTCGGGCCAAAATTTGATGCCCGACTCAATCTTTTGGACCGGACCGGGCTCCCAACCCTACTTCAAATATTTGATTTTAGCGGTAATCCTGCAGAATCTGGGAGACACCTTAAAAACGCCTTAAATTATCTTTTGTTTTCATAAAAATAATTTTTTATAGGTAATCGACCATGCTGAGTCCGAATCTGAGCTTAGAATTTCTTTATTTCGAACCCCGGACCCGAATTCGACCAAGTCGAATTCGGGGTAAAAATTCGACAATGAAGATTTAGAGCTAATCTGACACGCCTATTCGAGCTGAGTCGAATGGCTAAGTCGAAAAGTATCAAAATTATTCAGTTTCGACCATTTTAAACGAAGTTATTGTCAAATAAATACACGTTGGTATACACTTCTTTGTAGAAAATCGGCATCATAACTTCGTTAAAAATGGTCTAAACTGAAAAATTTTGATATCATTCGACTCAGAATAAAGAGACGAGTCAAAATGACCATAATACCGTAATTTCGAATTACTACTCCGAATTCGACTTTGTCGAATTCGGGTCCGGGGTTCGAAATCGGCAAATTCTAAGCTTAGATTCGTGATCAGCATGGTCGATTACCTACACTGCTCCACATAATTATAAGTCCACCCCTTTTTTCGGGATTTTTTGACTTCCAGTGATCCAAATTTTCTGAAAATTTAGAAACACACCTTATAGTGAATAACTAACGAGATGTGAATAGATTTTTGGCTGATTTTTTATTTAAAAAATTTTTAGACCAAAATTTGCATTTTCGGCCTCCACAAAATTATAAGTCCACTTTCCAGAAAAGTTAGTTCCAACAATGGGAAAAATCTACAAAAATTCCAGTAAACATACATAATGATATTATTGAAAAATAAAAAAGAACTAGACCCATATCTTTACCCGGAGCCGAGATCCTGAGACCCCGAAAATCAACGTAAAACAGGGTTTTTCAAATTTAAAAAATTTTTTCGAGCCCTTATCGATTATTTTCAGTTTTGATTTTGGGCTCATTCGAAAGCCCTTGAAATTTGCTACAAGATAGCATTAACGATATTTTATAGAAAATTCGATTAGAAAGATACGGGCCGTTAATCTTCCGATGCAGCAAAAATCGTCTAAATGCCCCATAAAATGCCCTCTAATGACACTTAGAAAGTTTATCGTCTTGTGACTCTCTATGGAATTTTTCTGAGAAATAAGACTATTGCTATCTTGTAGCATATTTCAAGGGCTTTCGAATGAGCCCAAAATCAAAATTGAAAATAATCGATAAGGGATCGGAAAAATTTTTTAAAGAGTATTACCCCCGTTTTACGTTGATTTTTGAGGTCTCAGGATCTCGGTTCCAGGAAAAGATATGGGTCTAGTTCTTTTTTATTTTTTCATAATATCATTATGTATCTTTGCTAGAATTTTTGTAGATTTTTCCTAAACTTGGAAATATCTTTTTTGAAAAGTGGACTTATAATTTTGTGGAGGCCGAAAATGCAAATTTTGGCCTAAAAATTTTTTAAATAAAAAATCGGCCAAAAATCGATTCACATCTTGTTAGTTATTCACTAAAAGGTGTGTTTCTAAATTTTCAGAAAATTTGTATCACTGGAAGTCAAAAAATCCCGAAAAAAGGGGTGGACTTATAATTATGTGGAGCAGTGTATATAAAATTATTTTCAGAAAAAAATAATAATTTTAAAGGTGTTTTTAAGGTGTCTCCCAGATTCTGCAGGATTACCATTTTGGCGACTGTCTAGGCTGACTGGTTTTTTTCAACTGACATTTTTTGCGGACTTCTTTAATTTTTTGGTGTCTTCTTAATTCACATAGATATTGAAATGAAGAATTTTTTGACTTCTTTTCGAATTTTTATTTGAAAGATTACATCATCTTTTGCATCTCCTGATATGCTTACTATTGATTTAGACAAGGAATCAATTTAACAACGCCTTCTACTCATTAAAGTCCGCAAAAAATGTCCTTAGAAAAGGCCAGTCAGTCCACACAGTTGCCATATTTTCCTACTTTTTTTAACCTCTTTTTTCGATTCAGAATGTCTTTAATTCTTCAATATCCGCGCGTCATGTTTCTCAGCAAAGTTTTGTAGCGCCGAATCGCGAGGTTTGCCACTTTCAGATTCTGGTCTATTTCTTTTTTTCAGCATAGCTTCAGTTCCTCAATTTCCTCACAAAACGTTTCTCGAAAGAGCTTTGAGGGGGGTCGTTTTTTAGATGATGAAGAGGATGATCATATGGAGTCTTCACGCATTGTTTCACCGCAAAGACGATTTACTGGAGGCAGGAATGTTGTCAATAAAAAAATTTCGCCAATCGAGAAATTTAAGACTGCTTGGAGTTATTTTTCTCGTTCTGTTGGGACTTCTACGCCGTGTAGTGATGTATGTATAATTTTATTGGGTTAGGGCTTATTTAAGATTTTTTCAAAGATTTTTGAAAAATTAAGGATTAGTGTTGTTTAATGGGTTTTTTTGGAACCCTGAAACAAAACCTTTTTTCCGCCCCCTATTTCCCAAACTTTTTTCCTAGAAATGAGAGATCAATAGAGATACTGGAAGTTAAGAAAAATTAAACGAAAATTTTTTTGAGAAATATGTTCGTGAAAAGGGGACCCTGAAACAAAACTATTATCAAAGATTAGGGTTGTCGGTTTTCTTAAATTCTTCGGTAATCTAAGCCAGACCGAGCATCTTCAATTTTTCTGTTTGTTTTTGACTCCGACAACCCTTCCATAAATACTTTTCACCCAGAACAAATTTATTGGTCAGAAAATATTTTTAAATAAATTTTTAATTTTAGTACAATTATCACAATAAATATCCAACAAACAAGTATCGACGTTCTGATAATTATGCTAATTTTTCTGATGTCGGGACTAAACCTTCATTTAATTTTTCAACTATTTCGGACCATTCAAGATGGATTGTTTTAGCGGCTGTTGGAGTCCTTGTAACAATCTTTTCAACTTATATTTATAAAGTTCACACAGAAACTTTACATTCAACTTTTGTTTCTGTCAAAGGTTTTCTTTTTTTGGTTAGAAAATTTTTATTTAAATTATTTTTCAGATTTTTTCGTTTTTGCATTTGGTTATGCCTTTTTCCCTATTATGTACTTTTGTGGTGGTGAGTGTTTTTTTTTTACTTTTTTTTGAATTTTTATTTTATATTTTGGAGTTAAAATTTTTTTTCTTGAAAGGAATGAGTAAGGGTCATATCCTAGTAAATTTCAAAGCCACCCAGATATCAGACTCGGACATTTTTGGGCTACCCCCACCTAGATATTAGACCCGAACATTTTATGAGCTACCCTGTGTTTTTCTAGATCCCCACAAACTAAGGATATGATCCTTGTCATTGATTCAAAAATTAGTTTGTACTAGGATTGGTGTCTTCTGTGGGATTTGAAAAATTATTTGGACATCGAAATTGACGGTTCGTGTATTGGATTCAGGGAGGGTGTTTCCTGTGGGATTCGGAAAAATATTCGGACACCCTAAATTGACGCTTCAGAGATCTGGGAATTTCCTTGAAGCCGCCAACGCTAGTCCATACCCAGAATTCTAAAAGTTACCGTCTCTGTATTTTTTTATTTTTGTTAAAACTTCTACATTTTTAAAATATTTTAGCCGTTCTTCTCTTTCTTTTCTTTTACAAAGTGTTTTACTGGCGCAAAAATCGAAAAATCCAACATCAGGAAGCAATTATTCGACTTGTTGAAAGAATTACAGATCTTATTTATGATTCAGGATATGCTGGAATAGCAGAACCACATGTTCGGGATATGTTGATGCCTCCGACAAAGTTTGAATTTTTTTTCTAAAATTTTTAAAATTAAATAAAAAAATTTTAAAGACGATCAAATGAAGATTATGCCCTTTGGTTAGAAGCTGCTCGATTTATTAATAATGAAGATTCTCGTGTTAGAACAGAAATTCGTTTAATTAACGGAACAGAATGTAATGTTTGGATTTGGATTGGTGCTGGAAAACAACGTTGGCAGGGAACTGGTCGGTAAAAAAATTTTTTTAATTAAATGAAATGACAATTATTATTTTTTTAAAATCGTCTCAGACCAAAATTAATCTCTTTTGACCATTTTATAACAAAAAAATATTTTCCTGCATACCTATTAACCTATAAGTTTTGATGTTTTTTTGGCACGCGGATATATCGGGACGGACATATCGGGATATTTCAATGTAAGAGCAGTTACCCTACTGATTTCGGGATCTACGGCCAATAGGTCTTGGATAGTATATTGTCGGAATAGAGTTTTTATGTTTTAGAACAAAAGTAAACACGCAAGGAATTATTTTTGTCACCCTAATCCTGATATGTTTGTCCCGATATATCCGCACAACGTTTTTTTTAAACTTTTTGTAGTCAGATTTAAGTAGTTTTTTCAACATATTTACTTAAAAAATCCCTTTTAAAATTTTTAAAAATCAAGAGAGAAATATAAAGTCAAAAATGCTGAAAATGCCTCAAAAATGTCCCAGGTTCCCCAAAATTTTTTTTTATCTGACTACACCAAAAAATTCGGACCAATTTTATACAATTTTTCCTCGTATCAATAATTTAATTTACTCAAAATTTGATTTGAATTGTTCCTTTTTTTGACAAAATATTTTTTTAAATTTACATTTTTTCGATAAAAATTGGTGAAATATTTTTAAATCTAAAAATCGTTACGATTTGATTAAATGATTACCTATTAATTATTATTTGTTTAATCGTTAATGGGATTTTTTAAAGAAATTAATGCCGAGAACTCTTCATGTTTAAAAATTTTTGACTTTATATTTTTTTTACAAAATGACTAGGAATTGGTCGGTAAGCGATGCCTTATCAGGGATGTCACAGGTTGGGAGGAAAATGTAGGGACGGGTTTTGGACCGGGGTTTCGAAAATTCTCGGATTTTTTTACAAAATGATTAGGAATTGGTTGGTAAGCTATGGCATGTCAGGGATGTCACAGGTTTAGAAAAAGCCGGGTCGGGTCTTGGATCGGGTCTATCTTTTTCGGAAATTTCTCGGGCCGTGTTTCAGGTTTCGGGTCTAAAATAGTCTGGGTGACCTTCTCTCCCTTATAAATCTCTACCTTTCAGCTGTAGCAGAGGGTTCTCCATCTTCTCGAGTGCCAGAAGCTGCTCTGAGTCGTTGTTTAAAGCTGAGGGGCTTAAACTTTTCTGACAAGTTTGTTTTTCTTTAAAGACTTTTTAATTTTTTTCGTATAAAATTTATAGTAGAACAGACCGTGAATGTTTGCGAAAAGAATTGATGGAAAAAATGTCTGTTGTGCCAAAACATATTGATTTTTGTAACAATGCTATAAGCCGTGAAAGTGTTGTCTATCTAATGCTTAAGGTTTATTTTTTTTATTTTTATAATTTGACTTGTCTTTGGTTACTCTCCATTTTTTAGTGTCCTTCACTCACATCAGAGGGTTCAAGCTTTTTGCTTCCACCTCCCGATCCTTTCTCTACTTCCAAGACCTTTCGTTTTTTACTGAACTCCGATTTTTCTGCCTTGCGATTTCATCTTCCTTTTTTCCAATTTTATTCATTTTCATTCCACCCTTAGTCTTCCGTCTTTCAAAATCCTATTAAAAAATTTTAATTTCCTGTTTAAAGAAATAATTTTTTCGAGATCCTTGGTTCCCAAATTTTTTAAAGAATTTTTGAATTTGAATTTCATCCTTTAAAAAATTTAATAAGAAATTATTTTTTCAACTTTAACATAATTAAAATATATTTTTTTAATTTAACAGGATTTGAATGATGCAAAAAAGGCTTTCTCATCACTTCATTCGCAATGGTTTGATGGTTTGTTTTTTATCTTATTTTTAAATTTAAATAAAATTTTCAGGAAATATAATTACAGTGAAATATATTAAAGATGAACGTTATGCTGAAAGATTTCCTGAACTGAAATGATTTTAAAAGGAAATATTTCTTTGCAGGTTTCAACATTTATTCAATATAATGAATTATGTTTTATTTAATTTGGTGGTGTGACAATTTTGGGATACGAGAGGTTGAGTATTTACGGACAAACAACTTTTTATTTCGTGGCTCTGGTCTATAGTTTATGAATAGGGTTGCCGTTTTCGAGTCCATTTTTTGGGCCTCGTTTTTATCGAGTCAGGCCTATACGAGTCACTTTCGTGCCTAACTTCATCGAGTCGTCCGTACGAGTCTTTTTCGGAACAAATATATTAGGCCTTTCTCGATCTTTCGGTCCGAATTGGTCCATTTTGGCAACCCTATTTATAAATTCAATGAACTATAATTTTTTCTTATTTGAGTTCCTGTTAGGTATGTGCTGGGTCTAGTATAAAAGGAGTCGTTAGCGATCAGTCTTGGTCGACACCTGGGTCGACCGGCGCCGTCTGTCCTTCATCATTCTTGCCTTTTGCCACCTTTACTATTGATGTATTTACCATTTGGATAAACGTCATATTCTATTCCTGTGTTATTCTGTTTGTCACTAGGTAAGACCGCTACCCTAGGACATAACAATTCCTTTCCCTTTATTGTTCACGAATTTAATCTAACACAAATATTCTTAATTTTGGGTTCGCTGAATTGCTTAGGCAGACTTTTAGTCGTTTTAAAAAATTTTTGGGTTAAATTTTTTGCCATCCGTATCTTGTGTATCCATGATTGTCGTACAACCGGTTTATTGTTAGTATACAATTTCCCCCCTAAAAATTACAAAATTTTTGATATCTCTTTTAATTTTCAATATATAATGCTTTTTTCTTTAAATTTTGATTTATATTGGTTATATTAAAATGTTGAATAAATAAAGAAAAATATTTTTAAAGAATTTTTTATTTGATTATTTTTTCATTGAATATTTATAAATTTTTTTGTTTAAAAAATAAATTTAAAACTTTTTTCCATAGGACGTTTATTAATAAGTCAAACAATGGACAAACCTAGAATATTAAAAAATCTGCAACCATTGAAAATACATTATCCAGAAATTTATAATAGATGTAATAATTTGGTGGAGAGAATTGGAGAGGTTTGTTATTTTTTTGTAAATAAATTTTTGTAAGGAGTGGGAGACCTTCGGGTTTTTATTGAGTTTTCCCTTGATCGCTTTGGAAAGGCAGACTAATAGGGGTTATACAAGTATTTAGAAATTAATTTCCCAGAGAATTCTTAAGTATAAATCTTTATTAAGTTTGTTCTCAATATCTGGGTTTTGTAATTAAGATGGTTGATAGAGATTGTTAGTTCAGGTGGGCTGCCTTTCCTAATTATGTGAGTCGGTATGTGAGATGTATTAGTCAACTACTCACCTTTTGGAACTTTTTCCGACTATTTGATTTTAAAAAAATTTGTTTTAATTTTTCTAGAGACCCAGTGAAGTTTTTGATTCAATAAATAGCTCAGATGCGTCCGAAAAACAAGCAGGAATTTATTTAATTTTATGTTTGGCAGATGCTAGTTTTGATGAGGAAACAACAAAAATTACAAATTTTGCTAGAAATTTGCTTCGTATGTTAACAATGAATTCACAAGAGTCAGTTATTCGATTGGCGTCAAAAGCTGTTGCTTATCTAATTTTGGTTAGGAGGTTTTTTTGAATTTACTTGTCCAACAAAATTTTTTTGAAAAATTTTCTTATCTTAAAATAAATTATTTTTTATTTCACGGTTTTTGTTGCTTTTTGGGCCATTTAGGGGGGGGATGTTTTGGGCCGTCTAGCTCTTAATCTCACATTTTATATTCGCTTATTCCTAAATTTCAGTTTTTGTGTTTCTAATTGCAAGATAAATTTTATCGGCGTCATTAGTTCTAGAAATTGAAAAAAATTTTCTGATCTAAAACAAGTAGTATAGCCTGTCAGACATTTAGCCGGGAAAACTATTCGGGGGAAGGGGTATTTCTGAAAATATCGAAGTTTGTGTCCTCCTGGCTACGTGCTTATAGCCAACTCTAATTATCAATTTTATAGAGAAATATTTTTTTATTTTATTCAGACTTCAAAATCCTACGCTGTAGAATTAATGGAAGTTGCTTTAAATCAATGTTTTGAATGGTTAGAAGAACAACAACGAAGTGAACAGCGTCGACTTGCAGCTGTTATTCTTGCCAAAGATTTGGCTATTTTCACACAATCACATTTTTTTCAACGTGCCAATCAATTTTTTGCAAACATTTTTAAATGTATTAGAGATTCAAAACCAAATTTGAGGTTGGCAGCAGCTGAAGCATTGAGGGCTGGTTTAGCAGTTACTTCACAAAGAGAGACTAAACATAAAAATGAATGGTTAATTTTTTAATTTTTAATTAAATATTAAGTCGGGCCTCATCATAAAATGACTTCAATGATAGACTCACTGTTTGGCATTTCGATGGTTTTAGGGGTTTTAGGACTTTTTGGAGATGTCTACAATTTGACATTTTGACGGCCTTTGGAGTTTTGCCTTTTAGAGGTTTTTCGGGCTTTTCGACGTCATGACCACAGTTTGGCATTTTGGCAGCTTCTAGGAGTGTTGGGCTTTTTGGCGTCTTTGGGATTGACTTTTGTCATTTTAACGGCTTTTTGGTGTTAGGCGTTTTAGCGGGTTATCATTATGGCACACTCCGATTTTGTTACCCTTCATTATAAGTTACGTTTTTTAGTCCCATGGTTACGTATTTTCATATCTAAAAATGAGGTCTAATTCTATTCATTCTTCTAAAAAAATTTTAAACTTTAAAAAGGTACAATAAATGTATCAAAGAAGCATGCCAATTTGATTTCCCTACAATTTCTCGTGATGATATTTTACATGGTTCTTTACTTATATTCAACGAATTACTTCGAATAGCCAATTATTCACACGAAAATGCTCGTTTACAACTTGTTGGAATTACTCAACATTTTAATAAATCACGTTCTTCAATTATTGGACAAAGCCCTATTGAATGGCTTTTAGAACCTATTCAACCACCAACAGTAGAATCGAGAACTGCGAGGACTTTGATTACGGATTATTTTCAAGAGGTTTTTATATATTTTTTATTGTTAGTTGAGCTGTTTTAAAGCACCAAAAAATGGTTCAAAAATCGTAAATCGAAAAGTATTCAAACGAAAACTTCGTAAATTGGGGTTGCCGTTTCGGAATCACCCCTTTGTTATGGCATTTCTCCGACTTTCAAGTTGCTGGCTTCTCGACATCTTTTTTGTCGGAGTTCGGTTTTTGGGCGTCATCTCCCCAATTTGGTATTTAACGGCTCATTAAAACAGCTTGTTAATGAATTTTGAAATTAAAACCTATCTTTGATTTATTAATGCTTATTTGATTGATTTTTAAGCAGAGTGATCCTTTTGCCTTTTTTGGGGTATTTTGTCCCGTTTTGACCAATTTCACTCAATTTATGTCCCCTTTACCAATTTTGCCCAATTTTTGTCCCCTTTACTAATTTTGCCCAATTTTTGTCCCCTTTTGTGAGAAGCCATGCCCCTTTTTGTTTAGTTTGAAATGGCATCTTTTTTGAAAATATTTAATTTTTTATTGTCATCTGGGTGGATTCCAAGGGTGTATCCAGCCCCATGAATACGCCCTTGATAGATTCAACAGGCTTTCCTTGGATATTTAAAAACGTTTGCTTATCATTCTAATTAAAGATCCCACCCTTTTTGATAATTCATTGTTATATTTTTTTATTTTTTTATCAGATTGTCAAGAATTGCTTTGAGGCTCGCAACAGTAAGACCCCTTATTGTCAACTTATTCTTTTGGAACTTTTTCCAAGATTGGCCAGTTTTTCTGATAATAATGGACAACAATTGTTTTGTTATGTTCCTGAAGCAGCAGAACATTCCTTGGCTTTAGTAGGAAAATATCCCGAAGCTATGCTTACTTTGGGATTGTTAGCCCTTAGCAGGCCATTAGAAATCAGATCGAAAATTGCTCCTATTCTCAATATATTAATTCAACATATGCATTTGGCCGTTTCTAAGTTTGTGTTTTTTTAATTTTTTTTAATTATAAGGCTTTTCCTATGGAGCGTCTGGCAAGGGCGTAGCCTGGAGGTTGATTTCAGGGGGCTGAAATGGTGTGGTTGAAGAATGGGCCGCCTAAAATTTTTTGACTAACCCAATTGGGGGCTATAGTGCCAGAAGCCCCCCTGGCTACGCCCTTGGCGTCTGGGTAGAATGAGCGACTTAGGGGGGGGGGTGGGGGGTTATAGCCCCAGAAGCTCCCTGGAAACGCCCTTGGCGTTTGTGTAGAATGAGCGACTTATTACGGATTTTTTTGCGGATTTTGTTTTGTGGAATTTATTTTTCTGATTTTGTAGACATAAATAAGTATATTGAAATGATTGTTAACTTATTTCTTTTTTTATTCTGGGCCTGATTTTTTTACAAAATTATTTTAAAAATCACTTTTATGTATTTACAATTTTCCTTGAAAAATTAATTTTTAATAAAAATTAAAAAAATTTTTTAAGAAAAAAGTTGGTTCATGACAATGATTTTAAATGTCTATCGTTGGTTGTACGCTCTCAACTCTCTTACCTTTGTGAAAAAATTCGTGAATTGCTTCCACTTTTTTTCTCTACCGGAATATCTGAAGGCTTGATAACTGTAAAATTTTAACGAATTTTTTTTAATTTTCTTTTTGTTAAAGGTCATGCACGACATTATTAATGCAATCCCTGAATTAAAAGCTGATGTTTTTGATGGTCTAATGGATCAACTTTATCATTTGCTGATGGTATTTTTTCGAATTTTTTTTTAATTTATTTGGGAATTTTTCTTACCGAAAAAAATTCGCAAGTTTCTAGAAAATCCGCAAGTTTTGTCCGCAAGTTTGTCATAATATTTTTTTGTCAAGAAAGGGATAATGTCCATCAACATAACCATTATATTCTAATGAAGAATATTTTATACCTAGGTACATCAGAAAATTTTTTTTTTTGATAAATAAATAATGTATGACTTGCGGATAAAACTTGCGGACTTTTTTTTAAACTTGCGGACATAAATGAAAATTTTTAAATTTTTTATTTTTTAACTTAAAGCCATTTTTCTGAAATTCCTCTAAATAAAAAATATTTTTCTAGGACAGACCAAGACCTAGTAAATTAGCACCTCCTACAGCTCCACCAATTCCTACTGGACCTATTCAACCCGTCAATATTTCACAAACAAAATTGGCATTAAAAACTCTTGGAGAATTTAATTTTTCACGTCATTCACTTCAAATGTTTTTGCGTTATGTGGCTATGGTTTTTTTTTAATTTTTTGAAAATTTCCAAAAAAATTTTCAAGGGTTATTTAATTAGTGATTCTGTAGAAATTCGTCTTACCGCAGTTTATAGTTGTACAGAAATGTTAAAACCTTTTATCATGGTTTATGAAAATGTTGAAAATCAACAAAAAGCTGAAGTTTACAATTTAATTAGAAATGTTTTGGAATGTCTTGTTAAAACTGCTATTGTTGATACTGGTAAGGTTTTTGGTTTTTCACTATTAGACATCGAAACTTTTGAACAATATTTGTGGGCGGACAAAATTTTCGGACAACTGAAGCGTTTTTTTTTGTTGTTGGTCTCACGCTACATATTGGACGTTAAAACTTTTTTACGATATTTGCGGAAAAACAAAAGCTTATTGAAATTAGGACCGTTTACTTGTACCTTTGTTTGACTTTTTTCAAAAAAAAAAATTCTTGAGAACCTTTAGGACATCATTGGCAAACCTCCAAAAAAAAACCGCCGGTATACCAACTATACCTATATTTAATAGGTATGTTAGTTATTTTTTATATTTTGGTATTTCAGCGGCTTTTGGGGTTTGCATTTAGGCATTTGGTCTCATCATTTACCTTCCTTGTTTAATAAATGGATAATCCACTTTACTAACAAATTTTCTATTTCTTCTCTTTTTTCAGATTTTAATGTTCGTCTAAGTGTACTCGATTGTTTCTGTAATATGGATCAAAATTTTCTTTTTCATCTTTCACAACGTGAAATGCTTGATACAATATTTTTGGCATTACACGATGAAAATTATCAAGTTAGAGAACAAGCTGTTGAATTACTTGGAAAACTTTCGGATTTAAATCCTTCTTTTGTTTTTTTAAAATTTCGAAGAATTTTACTTGAAAGTATTTCACAATTGGCAAATTCTAAAACTTTAAATAATGAAGTACAAGGGGCAAGAATGATTGAACATTTAGCTAGACAGGTTTATATTTCAAATAAATTTTTATAGGAAAATTTAATTTTATTGGGCAACACTTGCGTACCGATATTTGCGGACACCCCTTAACAAGCTTCCAGTTTTCTACCTAATAGAAGTTGTGGTTACAAAATATAGTAGCTTACGGCCCGACTTTTTAATAAGTTTTCTATCAAATTTTGGAACCAAAATAGTGTTGCAGTCACTAATAGTGTTCACGATTGCAGTCAAAAATTGGCTAGTCGTTTGTTCCTATTTCAATTAGACTTTTGATTTTTGTCTGCAAATGGGGGCCAACCAGGGACACCTACTAATAGGGGGCCAATCTTCTCGAGCTTAAAGAGGAGTTGTGATGGGTAGTTAAAGCCGCTATGCTGTTAAAGGCCGATTGATCGGGGTTTGTTCCAATTTCAATAGGCTTCTGACTTTGTCCGCAAATGTTTGTCCGCAAATATTGGGTTAAAATATAAATTTATTTTTTCCAGTCACCTCGTTTTATTGCTGCCTATATGCATTCAATATTACTCGTATTAATCCCTCACTTAAAAATTGATAAAAGCATTGGTGGAAGTAGTAATGTAGAAGTTACAGTTCATGTTTTAAATGCAGTTAGTGAACTTTCATTAATTGGAGGTTTGGAAATGGTTCGGTCTATAGACAAATTTTTTCCTCCTATTATTGCTTTCTTACAAGATTCTACAAGTTTGAATAGACGTGAGGTAAAGGAATTTTTTGGAAATTTTTTTGAAATTTTCCGAATTTTTTTTTGGAAATTTTTTTGAAAAATTTTCTAAAAATTTTTTGAAATTATTTTGTATTTCTCAGGCTGCTCTCCGTGCAATGGGTAGATTGTGTCAATGTGTTGGTTATGTTGTTGAACCATACAAAGATTATCCTGATTTATTAGAAATTTTGTTACAATTATTAAAGACTGAGTTATCGAGTTCAATGCGAAGGCTTACAATGCGTGTACTTGGAATTATTGGGTTTGATGAATTTTTTTTATAAAATTGAAATTTAAAAAGAAATTTTTTTGACCTCTTTATACCCTGGGACAGATTAATTTTTGTTCTATAATGAGGTGAAATTTAGAGAGCTTCCCATTCTATGGCCCACTCAAATTTTTTTTAAAAATATCTTAAAGAGGGGTATGTACTTGTTATTGGGTATCGACCAGGGTTGTCAGATCAAACCGAACCGAAAAAAGATCTGTGGTAGTGTTTGTCTGGTTTCGGTTAACCGAAGAATTTGTTGAAACCGACAACCCTAGTGTTGACCATCATGTTCATAATAAGAAAAAAATAGGATGGGGAAAAAGAAAATAAAAATGTGGACCGATAACATGAAAGTACCATAAAAAATCTTAATTCTTAGAGAATTAAAAATAAATTTCATTCTTAAAAAAATTTTTTTTTCTACAGTGCTTTGGATCCATACACCTATAAAGTTTACATTGGCAAAGTCCACTCACATATAAGATCTCGTTCGCTTGCCTTAACACTTCCAAATTCTGGAGAAACAAATGAAACACGTTCGTCTTTATTTTTAAAAAATCAAAAAAAAATTTTCAAAAAAAAATTTTTTCAGACGGAATGGATATAATTACTTGGATAAATTATGAACGTTTAACACTTGCTGAATATTACCCAGCTTTGTCAATTTCTAATTTAATTTTAATGTTACAAGATCCTCAGCGTTGTTCTTTGTTTCATAGAGAAATAATGCATACAATATTACAAATTTTTACAAATTTGAGAAATCGTCCACAATATTTGGGACAGGTGTTTTTTATATGTTTTTAAATAACCTTGGATATAGAAGGTTAACTGAACTAAAATTTGTACTTAAAATCACGGGTAGGAGATAACAAAAGACTTGGGGCACCGGTTAATGTGTTTTTTTATATGTTTAAAAATAAGGTCGGATACAAACGGTTAATTGAACTGGAATATGAACTAAAAGCCTAGGATCGAAAAATAAGCGATAACCGAAGCTTGGGACACCGGTTAATAACCGAGACTGTGTCCAACTTTAGTTTAAATTTAAAATAATGCCTCTAGTCTAGTTTATGGGTCTAATGTGTTTTTGTGTTTGAACAAGGTGCCGCGGCGAAATGAGTTTTTTACGTTGATTTTTAGCTTTGTGTTTCGTTTTTGTTTGAAATTTTCTTTTGCGTCCGTTCCTGATCTGAGTCAATTGAAATTTTTTTAACTCACAATCAGTAACTACCAAAGCCAGAAAATTTTTTTTTAAATATAAAGCTCAATAATAAATGTATTTTTCAGGTCATTCCCCCACTTATTTTAATTACTGAACAATGCAAACCTCAATTAAGAAGCTTTTTCCTCAGTCAATTTTCGCGTTTTATTTCAATTATTAATTTACAATTGCAGCCATATATGACTCAATTTTTTTGTTTAATTGCTGTAATTTTATTTTTTTTAAATATTTTTTTAAATAATTAATTTTTAAGAAAGCTTGGTGTTGGAGTGATAATGACGATCTTAAAGGTGTTTAGATTAAATTTAATTTTTTAAGACAATATTTGGATCTAGAGTCCGCAACTTTTTTTTTGTCCGCAAATCTGAAATTTTAGTTTTCCTTAAAGAAATGATTTTTATAAAAATAGTTCAAGAAAATTTTTTGGAAAATTAATTGCCCTAAAATCTCTTCTTCCTTCAATTTGAATGCCTTTATCATAATGCCCCTTTAAAAAGTTGGGTGAAGAATAGGATGCCTGGGTATTCAATTAGAAATTTTGGGGGTTTTCTTGGAGGTGGAGAAAATGATAATTTTGGAGGTGTACAAATTCAACGACTTTTTAATAAAAATTTACGGATTAAACTTGCGGATTTTTGGGAACATTTGTAGAGAAAAGGGGACTTTTATTTAACCCAAATTTTAATTTTTAAAAAAAATTTATTTATAGGAATCATTATTCGCCTAATCGAAGATGTTGGTCGTTCTTTTGCTGAAAAATTTACAGTTTATGCAACAAATTTGTGCCCATACCTTTTAAATGTGCTTCAAAATGATACTTCTCCTGACAGAAAACTTACTTTAAATGTAAGGGGAGACAAAGGAAATTTTTAAAAAATTTTCAAAAAAATTTTTTTCCTAGGCACTTTCTTGTACTCAAACAATTTCAAAATGTCTTGGAACACATATTCATTTAATTCTTTCACCTATCCTTGCATGTATTGAAGATGTTGATTCACCAGAAAAAAATCGTTTAGCAGCACTTGAAACAGTAATATCATTAGCTTCAAATCATCCAATAATGGAACAAGCACCTCAAATTATGCAAACTTGGATGCGTTGTATTTCTATTAAATTTATGCAGCCAAAACTTATACAATTACTTTCTACTATAATTAAGGTGAAAGAAAATTTTTAATCATGAAAATACTTATGTGAGATCAATTGCACATTTTAAGGATGATTTAGGGTCGTTACCTGGAGGTAATTTATAACTAGTTTAGTGTAGTCCATGAATGGCACTTATTTAGATTATACGCTGTGAATGTAGGGAGGCAATGGGATCGATCTTATTCTAATACCCTATAATTGGCAGGATTGTTTTACTGAATGCGAATCAAGAATGTGTCGCTATACCAAGATGTTCCTTCAACTAGCTCCGCTTTGGAAAATATAAAAATGGCGCGCATGCCCTCAGGCATTCCATAATTCAACCCTGTACTTTTTCAATCTCAAACCCGTTTTAAAAAATATTTTTAAAACTCGAATCTACTTTTTCACAACCCTTTCCATCCCTGCTGTGGATATTAGATTGTTAAGGATGTCCAAGAATTAGTCTTGAGGCTTGGAAAATTTTTTGTCTTGTACACCTCTACAGGGCTTATAAATTTTATTTTTATTTTTAACAGAAATGGGACCAATTTCCAATCTACAAAGATAGTGTCAATACAGCATTAAGACGTCATCGAGTAGATGGCGCCCTCCGCCAAGAATATCGAGAACAATTGGCAAACTTACAAGTTTTACATGCTCAAAACCTTCCTCTTCAACTTGAACGTCAACCTATAACCGAACCTTCTTTTGTACGGCAAATACAATTTTTACCTCCACTTGAAGCTGAAACCTCGAAAGAAGATGTTCCTTCAACTAGCTCCGCTTTAGAAAATATAAAAATGGCGCGCATGCCCTCAGGCAATTTTTAAAATTTTTTTCTGATTTTTTTCTAAAAAATTTTTTGGAAATTTTTTTAGTTCGAGATACACAGTTTCATGTTAATGTTGATCAGTTACGCCGTTGTTGGAAAATTCAAACTTTAACTTCTCGCGAAGACTGGCTTCAATGGCTGAGCACTTTACGTGTTCATTTTATCCGTCAAAGTCCATCGCCTGCTTTGAGGGCATGTACAGGATTAGCTGAAGCACACGATCCTTTGGCAAAGTTGGGGGAAACTTTTAGAAAATTAAAAAATTATTTTTTAAGGGAACTCTTTAATGCCGCATTTATTTCTGTTTGGACTGAACTTCGTGAATCAGACCAAAACCAACTTACAATGTTACTTATTGAAATTTTGAAGCAATGTCCACATGCAGAGCCTATCCAAGCAATTTTAAATTTGGCAGAATTTATGGATCATTCAGAGAAGGTCCTCGAAGAACAATTTTTTAATTTTTATCGGCCCTTCCGTATTTGTTACTATTCCATGTTTCACCAATAAGTCTATAAACCCTCGTAAGGCTAATAAGGCAAAATTTGGGTTTCGTTGGCAAAACTTGGGTTTTTAGCCTTATTGTTAAAATATCCTATTGATATGGGCAAACGTTTTTGATCCTATTATCTCATTCTACAAAAAAAAATTTTTTTATTTTCTTTTAGGGTCCTTTTCCAATAGATTACAACACGTTAAGTAAATCAGCAGAACAAACTCGTGCTTATGCTAAAGCTTTGCGCTATAAAGAACTTGATATATTAAAATCGAGAAAAGGAGAACCTAATCCTGATGATTGTCAATCTTTGATAATGTTTGGAAAATTAAAAAAAAATAATTTAATTATTTTTTATTTTTAAAGTTTATTTAATAAGCTCAATTTGGAAGAAGGTGCTGCTGGTATTGTTCAATATGCAAGGAGGCATAATATGGAAATTTCGGTAATTTTGGGAGTATAGGAAGAGCTCTTTATATAAAATACAGGAAGTAGAAAAAATGTATCTCACAATGAGGCGTATCTTAAATAGAAGGGTACCGTTTAGATAGCTCCTCTACTCTAGACAGCTATCTCAATTTAATTTTGGAGGAGATGCCTATGTAGAAAAGCGTATATGGCTTAGTAAGACGACACAACTTTAAGCCGCACTTCCACTCTCCCTTCCGCTCTAGGCAGCTCCGCCACTTGATAAAACTTATCTTAATTAGAGGTGTATTTCTATTATGGGGGGGGGAAGTTACATCTTATACTAGAGAGGTCTTTGCTTGTATGTATAATAAATTTTTCACATATCTCATTTTTAGGGTCGTTGGTACGAAAAACTTGGTGAATGGGAAAAAGCTTTAGAATTGTATAGACAAGAAATGTTATTAATGCCAGATACAGACCCTTCCTGGACTACACTTTCTTCAGCTTCTTCATTAACAGAACATCATTCACAACAATTACAGTTGCAACAACATACCCCAACGGGACACCAACAAGATATTTCCCGTCATGCATCTTCTATTCATTGCGAAAATAGTATATCTAGTCGTGTTAATTTGCAAAATATTGGGGTAAAAATTTTGAATTCTCCATTAAACATGCATATCCTTAATTAATCCATCAGTCCTTAAAAAATTTAAATTGTTATCAATTGTTGATAATGTTGATCATGCTAATTGGAGATCGGATTGAGTGACGAGAGTGTGTTCAACAAAAATCTCAATTATTGAACTCGCTATTTTTCGAGATATCGGTCTTGAGATTCTCTCTCAATTTGCTCTCAGTCCGGACTTTATTAATAATTTTGCAGCATGATTTTGCTGTCTAACATTTACGAATTGATACTCATAATTAATTCTGTTATATTATGGAAGGGTCCCTTATTAAGCGCTATGTTGCTGAACATGACCCTCTTACCGTCTATCCAATAGGTTTCAATTTCCAATAGGACATCAACAACAAGATTTAATTTTGTCCGCAACTTTTATCCGCAAATGACACGGGGACTTTTTGTGGGCTTTACATACTATATCTCCTTTACATACTATTTTTTCGACTTTAAATCTATTAAATTTTCTTTTTAAGAAATTTGATATAGAACTTCACCAAATGCGTTGTCTTGAAGCTTTAGGACAATGGTCACAACTTAGCAATGCTTGTCAAACAGCTTTATTGGATTCTGAACTTGCTGAAACTCATTTAACTCGTCAACAAAGTGAAACTCCATTAGACATTTCCTTATCACATCATAATCTTGGAATAGGTGGAGGAGGAGGAGGAAGTAGCAGTATTGGTGGGGGTATTGGTGGTGGTGGAGGAATTTTAAATACAACATTAAATGAATATGCAAGGCGTCAAAAAATTGCACAAATGGCTGCTAGAGCTAGTTGGGCTACTGGTTGGTGAAGGAAATTTTTCTAAAATTTTCAGAAATTTTGAAAAAAAATTTTCTGAAAAATTCTGAATATTTTTTAAAAATTCTGAAAAATTTTTTATTAAGGCGATTTTGTTAAAATGAATGAATATGTACAAATGGTCAATGAAAATACACAAGAAGGCTCTTTTATGCGAGCTGTATTAGCTATACGTGAAAATGATTTTGAGCGTGCTCATTCTTACATCAATAAAGTACATATATATATTAGATTTTTGTACAAGTGTACCCTTAACTATAGGATACTCCCAAAACCTCCCTCCAATACTTGAGACATTCCTTTATTTAAGGAACGTTTTTTAAAAGTTGGTTGACCATTGAATTGGGCATGCTGTTTAAGCGATATCTCAAAATATAAATACACCTCATTATATGCTACGATGCACCAAGGAGGTGCCTGAAAGTAAGGTTCGACCTTCAGAATTACGCTTCTAAAAATTCGGTTGGCCACTATTTTGGGGAAGCTTTTTAAGCGCTACCTCCAATGAAAGATACCCATCATTTATAAGTTACGACCCCTTAAGGGGTATTTTATAATTAGGTTTAACTTTCAATTGTTCTCAATTTATATTTTCAAGGTGCGTGATATTTTTGATTCTGAGTTAACTGCAATGGCAACAGAAAGTTATGATCGTGCTTATGGTGCAATGGTTACCTTACAAGAATTGACAGAATTAGAAGAAGCTGTTGAATATAAAATGATTACTAATCGTGATGCGCGTATTGTAATGCTTTGGAGTCGTCGTTTACAGGGATGTAGACCAAATATTGATCATTGGAGACGTATTTTGTTGGTTCGGTGAGTTTAAATATTTTTTGCTTTTGAATTTTCTTGGATTTAGGATAAAAGTGGGGCCCTTACCTTAAGAGCATGGTTGTTCATTTAAGTCGTCGTTAACCATCTTTTTAGGTGTCCAGTTTTTCTTCTTCCACTTTCTTGCCAAATTTTAATTCATCTTTTTTTTTTTGCTTTTTAAAACAAATTCCAAATAACTGAAGGAGTGTTGGATTTTCTAGTTCTGAACAGTCTTTAAGTTTAGAGCCGGCGTCATGCAATCGAAATTTAAAACTTGAGCTCCGACTTCGGGCATTTGAAAATCTCGGCTCGTGATCTGACTAGAATCGGCTTTGTAGCTAAAATTCCTGGGGGCATACTAAACATTAGTTAATTAGCTGGGGTTAACCCAAAATACCTAGACCCTGAAGACCTACACCATAAGGGGTTTTTTAAAGCGAATGTGTATCAACAGAGAATATCAAGGGATTTGGGGTAAACTCTATTAGCTCATCTCTTCCCTTAAAAATTTTTTTTTCCTAAATTCAATTTTTTTAAAGTTCAATTGTTTTTTCACAAAATGAATTACGCACACATTGGATAAAATTTGCAGCACTTTGTCGACGTGAAGGCAAACAAGCTATAGCAAGAAATATTTTACGTTCATTATTGGATGTATCTGGAGATGTTCCTGTTGATAAATTAAACATTCCTTTTGATAAACCACAATTAGCATTAGCTGTTTGTAAACAAATTTGGTGTGAAGGACAAAAAAGGACAGCTTTTTCACATTTGGAACAGTAAGAAAAAAATAAAATACTTTCAGACCTCATTATAAGATGCCCTCAATTTTTGATACACCTTTATTTAATATACCCCCCATTACTGGACACACCTCTATTTAAGAGACATTGTTTAAAATTTGGTTGATCATTCATCTCACTATAAGATGCCTCTAATGTTAGATACATTTCTATTTAAGAGACTTTTTAAAATTAGGTTGACTACTCACATGGAGGATGCTGTTTTGAGATCTCCTCTATTTTAGATACCTCCAGTACTCGACACAACACCCTCAGAGTTCATTGGAACACCCCCTCTTTATATTAGACACACCTTGATTTAAGATACTATTTTTCAAGGTTAGTTAGCTATTTTTGATGGGGAAGCTTCCTAGGCGATACCCTCCATTTAAAATACACCTCATCATAAGGCGCGATTTTTTTTTATCTTCAAATAGGGCATCCTTATAGTGATGTCTAATTTTAAATTACATATATAAATAAATATTTTTTCATTTAAAATAGACTTACTAAAACTCTTCACCGATTAATTGAACGTAATCGTTTAGTATATCCACGTGAACAACTGGAACCTTTAGCTAGAATTACAGCAAAATGTTATTTAAAATTGGGTGAATGGCAAGAATCATTACTGCAACAACAAGCTATAAGTATATTTGAGAGTTAAAAAAAATTTTTTTTTAAAGTTTTTGTTACCAAAAAATATATATCTCTTTTAACCATTTTGAATGTAGGGTGTCGGTTTTGTACCGAACCGAACCGATGATTTTTCTATTCGGTTTGGTTTCGGATATCCGAATAATTTCTAAGAACCGACAACCCTAATCTGGAGTAGATTTTTTTTTGTTGTTTTTATATGTTTATAGTCTGTTGATTTTTGATAATTTGTCCATGTGTTTAATCAGATAGAGACATTTAGTTGATTTAATTAAACATAGAATGCCCTACCTTAAAACCCATAGAAATATTTTTTTAATTATTAAATAAAAATAAAATAAATTTTTTCCACAGTTTTGCCGAGCGAAAGGCATGGAAGTTTTTGTATTTCTCCTTCATTAAAAATTCAAAATTCCTCCATAATTAATAATTCAACATCAATTCATCAACAACAACAACACCAATATTCACCCTATTTATATCAACAACAATCTACAACATCATCTCCATTCCAACAACAACAACCTTTAACTAGTGCTGGATTTATGCAACAAAGACAAGCATTTGAACATTCTACATCTATGAAATTACATTATTTTGTTGTTGCAACAAGTTTTGATCAAAATTGGTATAAGGTGGTTAAGAAAGATAATTTTATTTATTAACGAGAAAAAAAATTTTTTCCCCTCTCCTAATTTTTTTGGAATCTTAACATTGGAGAGACATGACCTGGAGTTTCGATCGAAATTTTTGTAAAGTTTTACCTGACGAGAAAAAATTTTCCCCTCTGCTGGATTTATTTTTTCCCCTCTGCTGGAAACTCGAAAATGTTGATATCACTAACTAAGGTTTTTGATTCATGATCTAGTTTCCGACTCTATTAAGCACTAGGATCGAGATTAACCTCTTCTACCGTCCTCTACCGATTCCTTTCAACTTCGATTTTATCCCACAAATTCCTGTTTCTCTTTTTTGAATCCTTCTTATCGGAATCCTTCTTATCGAAATTTTTTAAGTCGAATTCGTTTAATTATCTTTTTTTACACAGGCTTGGCATCGTTTAGCTACAACATATTATTCAGCTATTAGCCAGCATCAAACATCAACACCTTCGCAACTTCCTCCAACTTTATTGCCTATGGAAATTGATTATTCTATTGCTGCTGGGAAAAAAGTAGAAAAATTTCGAAAAAAATTTTTTAAATAAATTTTTTAAGAATTTTTAATTTTTTTCAAAGAAAAAAATTTTTTAAGCCTTGGCATCATCATCATTATCAACACCAGCAACAACAACATTATCAACATCATCATCAACAACAACAACATCAACAACAACAATTAGCAGCCTATTATACTCCAATACCTTCACAACAACAACACCAACAACAACAACAACCACATCACCATCACTCTCATCATCATCCTCAACAAATAGTTACCGATTTAACAACAATTCCACCACCTTCAATAATTACTGGAGGAGGATGTGGAGGTGGAGGATGTGGGGGAGGTGGATGTGGAGGGGATGTTAATAGTAGTGGTTATGTTCAACATCCACTACCTTTACATGGTATGCCTGTAGCTTATGTTCAACCACCTCCATCTGTTCAAGCAACTGCTTCTCAAATGAATAGTCCACCAATAATGCAATCACCGCTTAGGGCACATCAATTAGTTACTAATTATGCTGTTAATGCTGTTAGTTGTTTCTTCAAGGCTATTCAATTGGCTGAAGGTAGAGGAAAAATTTCTAAAAATTTTGAAATTTTTTTTGAAAATTCTCTAAAAAATGTTTTTAAATTAAAAAAATAAAAAGGTTCTCGTCTTGATGACACTCTTCGCCTTTTAATGCTTTGGTTTGATTATGGTGATCGTCCAGAAGTTTTTGAACGTTTACGTGATAATTTAAAAATGATACCCTCAGAAGTATGGCTAGAAGTTGTTCCACAATTAATTGCTCGTTTGGTAGGGTTTTTTGGGATTTTTTCTTTTAAAGGGTATCTTTTTAGGATTCTCAAAATAACACTGGAGTTTTAGTTAGACAATTAGTTATTGATGTTGCTAAAGCATATCCACAAGTATGAAAAATTTTTTTATTATAAATTACTCTATGTTCTCTTCGGACTACCATATAGTGTGAAGGGAACATTCTATGTTCTCTTCGGACACCATATAGTGTGAACGGTACATTTACGCTACTAGATAATTGTTCTTCTCACACTACAATATAGTGCGAAGGGAACATTTATGTTCTCTTCACACTACTATGTAGTGCGAAGGGAACATTTACACTACTAGATTCTATGTTCTCTTCACACTACCATATAGTGCGAAGGGAACATTTACGCCACTTCATTCTTTGTTCTTTTTCACACTACAATATAGTGTGAAGGGAAATTTTATGTTCTTTTCACACTACTACTAGTGCGAAGGGAACATGTATGTTCTCTTCACCCTATCACATAGTGCGAAGGGAACATTACCATTTAGCATACTAAAAAAATTTTTTTTCTTCCTTTTAAGGCTTGGGTATATGCATTAACTGCCGCAATAAAATCTCGAAATACTCGTCGTTCCCAAGTAGCAAAAGAAATACTTGATATAATTGCTGAAAATAAGCCAATACTTGTTGAACAAGCAACTTTAGTTAATGATGAATTAATTAGATGTGCTATATTATGGCATGAACAATGGCATGAAGCTTTGGAAGAAGCTAGTCGTTTCTATTTTCAAGATAAAAATGTTGATGAAATGATGAATATTTTACGCCCATTACATCAAAAAATTGAACAAGGGCATACTACAATGAAAGAACAATCTTTTAATCATGTAAAATTTTATAGAAAAATCCGTTCATAATTTTTTATTTTTTAACAGACATATTATAAAGACTTGAAGGATGCATTTGAACATTGTGAGGTTTTTAGACGAACTGGAAATCAAAAGGAAATGGTAGGGATATTATTTATAAATCGAAGTTTTTGTTCCCTTCACACTGCCTCATAGTGCGAAGGGAACATCAGCATTTAATCTCACTTTATCTTCTTAACACTGCGGATTGGGTGACCATTATTTTAAAATTTTTAGACTATTCTCTTTACATTTTTCAAAAAATAAAATCATAAATTAGTCTTTGTTCCCTTCACACTACCTCATAGTGCGAAGGGAACATTAGCACACTTAAACTTATGTTAATTTTTTTATCAAAGACAGCAGCATGGGACTTATATTACAACATTTTTAAACGTATAAGTAATCAACTTCGACAAATGAATACGTTAGATTTAAATTATATTTCACCACGTTTATGTAAAGCAAGGAATTTGGAACTCTCAATTCCCGGAACATATGATCCCAATGCTCCATTAATTACTATAGCTTCAATGCAGCCACATTTACAAATTATAATGAGTAAACAAAGGCCAAGAAAGATTTATATGAGAGGAAGTGATGGAAAAGAATATGCTTTTTTATTAAAAGGACATGAAGACCCTAGACAAGATGAACGTGTTATGCAATTATTTGGCCTAGTTAATTCTTTAATTTTGAGAGAAGCGGAAACTAGCAGAAGAAATTTAACAATACAACGGTTAAAAAATTTTTCGAGTTTTTTTGAATAGTCGGACACCTCTCTATAAGATACACTCGATATACACCTCTATTTAAGATACTACACCTCTATTTAACTACACCTCTATTAAAGATACTACACCTCTATTTAAGATACGTTTTTCAAAGGTAGATAGGCTACCGTTTGAAGCAGGGTGAGTATGGACTTCCTAAACGATACCCTCTATTTAATGTACCCCTTAGTGAAGGTATGACCACTATAGAATAATTATATTGGTCGGGTCTTATAGAGAAAAAAATGTTCTCTTCACCCTACTCCCCTGTGCGAAGGGAACATCAATTATGTTCTCTTCACCCTACTCCCCTGTGCGAAGGGAACATCAATTAACCTCATTTTTTAACAATAGTACAATTTTTCTTTCAGTTATTCAATAACTACGCTAAGCCAAAGCAGTGGACTTATTGGTTGGGTACCTAATTGTGATACACTTCATTCACTTATAAAGTCTAAAAAATAATTATTTTTAATTAATTTAATTTTTTTATTTTTATAGAGATTATCGTGAAAAGAAAAAAATTCCAATATCTGAAGAACATAATAAAATGCAAAAATTATGTGTTGATATAGATAAATGTACATTATTACAAAGAGTTGAGGTTTTTGAAGAAGCTTTACGTTCAACTTGTGGTGATGATTTACGTCAAACTTTGTGGATGAAATCTCCAAAGTATTTGAGGAAGTTATAAAAATTAAAAAAAAATTTTTTTAAGTTCTGAAGTTTGGTTTGATCGTCGTACTAACTATACTCGTTCAATGGGCGTAATGTCGATGGTTGGTTATATTCTTGGACTCGGCGATAGGTGGATAAATAAATATATAATTTTCAGAATTAATTCAGAATTTATATTTTCCGGATATATTTCAGAATAATTTTTAAATGTATTTTCCGGAAAAGAATAATTTCAGAATTAATTTTAAATGTGTTTTCCAGAAAAGAATTAATTTCCAAAATTTATATTTTCCGAAATATATTTCACAATTAATTTTAAATGTATTTTCCGGAAAAGAATAATTTCAGAATTAATTTTAAATGTGTTTTCCGGAAAAGGATTAATTTTCAGAATTTATTTTTCCGGAATATATTTCAGAATTAACTTTAAATGTATTTTCCGGAAAAGAATAATTTCAGAATTAATTTTAAATGTGTTTTCCGGAAAAGGATTAATTTTCAGAATTTATTTTTCCGGAATATATTTCAGAATTAATTTTAAATGTATTTTCCGGAAAAGAATAATTTCAGAATTAATTTTAAATGTGTTTTCCGGAAAAGGATTAATTTTCAGAATTTATTTTTCCGGAATATATTTCAGAATTAATTTTAAATGTATTTTCCGGAAAAGAATAATTTCAGAATTAATTTTAAATGTGTTTTCCGGAAAAGGATTAATTTTCAGAATTTATTTTTCCGGAATATATTTCAGAATTAATTTTAAATGTGTTTTCCGGAAAAGGATTAATTTCCAGAATTTAATTTTCCGATTTTCAGAATTAATTTTTATATGTATTTTCCGGAATAATATCAGAATTAATTGTTAAATGTATTTTCCGGAAAAATTTCAGAATATATGTTTAAATGTATTTTCCGGAATAATTTCAGAATTAATTTATAAATGTATTTTCCGGAAAGGAATTAATTTTCAGAATTAATTTTAAAATTAATATTTTCGTGAAATATTTCAGAATTAATTTTTGAATTTTTTAGGCATCCTTCAAATTTAATGCTGGATAGATTAAGTGGAAAAATTGTACATATTGGTGTGTTTATTTTTTTGTAATAATTATTTTTATTTTTAAAGATTTTGGTGATTGTTTTGAGGTTGCTATGAAAAGAGAAAAATATCCAGAAAAAATACCTTTCCGTCTAACTAGAATGCTTATTCAGGTAATTGTTGGAGAGATGATTTTTTGGTTAAACTTCTATGGAATTTTAGGAAAATATTTCAGAATTAATTTTGTAAATGTTTTTTCCAGAAAAAAATTCCGAATTAATATTTTCCGGAAAATATTTTATATATTATTATAGGCAATGGAAGTGACAGGAATTGATGGAAATTATCGTTTAACTTGTGAGCGTGTTTTACGTCTTTTAAGGGCAAATAATGATAGTATTTTGGCTGTACTAGAAAGTTTTGTTTATGATCCAATGTTAAATTGGAGGCTTACTGAGGGTGTTGTTAATGCTGCTGGGATAGCTGGTGGTGGGGGAGTTGGCGGTGGAGCAACAGGGAAAGACAATACATTAGTTAAAGGAAGGTATGTAATGAAGGGTTTTGGATTTTTTTAATAGAAAAACTATTTTTTCAGAGTTTCACTTCCATTAGTTGAAGACCCAAATACTACAACAGCTACTATTCCACCTAATATAAATCCTCATCAATATCATCCACATTATTTAAGACAACAACAAATACAACAACAACAACAAACAGAAGAAATACATGGAAAACCCTTTCAAATTCAACAGCAAAGAGGAGAAGATAATGAAGCAATTAGTAGGGTTAAAGCAAAACTTTGTGGCCGGGATTTTAATCCCTTCGAGCCTATTAATGTTACGGAACAGGTAGAGTTGAAATTATAATTTTTTCCGGAAATTCTGAATTTATTTCAACTGTTTTTTTCCGGAAATTATTTCAGAATTTATTTTAAAAGTGTTCCTCCTGAAATAATTTCAGAATTTTTCCCGGAATTTATTTCAGAATTAATTTAAATGTGTTTTTTCCGGAAAGTATTTCAGAATTTTTATTCCAGAATTTTTTCCGGAAATTATTTCAGAATTTTTTCCGGAAAGTATTTCAGAATTTTTATCCCAGAATTTTTTCCGGAAATTATTTCAGAATTTTTTCCGGCATTTATTTCAGATTAATTTAAATGTGTTTTTTCCGGAAAGTATTTCAGAATTTTTATTTCAGAATTTTTTCCGGAAATTATTTCAGAATTTTTTTTGGAATTTATTTCAGAATTAATTTAAATGTGTATGTATTTTCCGGAAAGTATTTCAGAATTTTTATTTCAGAATTTTTTCCGGAAATTATTTCAGAATTAATTTAAATGGGTTTCTTCCGGAAATTATTTCAGAATTAATTTAAATGTGTTTTTCCGGAAATTAATTTTAGAATTGTTTCTACCGAAAATCATCTCAGAATTAAAAATTATTTTTAAATTTCTTAGTATATTTTAAATAGGTTGACCGTCTTATTGAACAAGCAACAATGAATGATAATTTATGTCAATGTTATATTGGTTGGTGCCCATTTTGGTAGTTTATTTTGCAGAAAAATTATACTATTTATTATAGGTATTTAAATAATAATATATTTTTTTCGCAAATTATATTTTTAATATATTGCTCACTTTTTTGAAAAATTATAATTTATAAATTTTATGAAAATTTTTTTTATAATTATGGACACAAACTGGTCTCCTCCTCCCAATATATAAATAAATTTAATAAATTTTTCAATTAAAAATACATAATATATTGAAAAATATGTGAATATTTAAAACAATAAACACACTTAAATATTTCAGAAGACCTTTTTTTCCATTTCAAAAAAAAAAAATTAAAATATCTCCGGAATTTGTTGATCTTCTGGGTTGGTATAAATAAATTTAATTTTAGAATGTGTTTTTAAAATCAGAAAGTTTTTTTTTAATTCTTTCATTTTACATCAAAACAGGAGTATTTTCATAAATATATAAATACATATATCCATTTTAAAGAAATAAAAGCATGTCGACAAACTAAATAATATTTCAGAATTAATTTCAGAATTTGTATTTCTTCCGGAAAGTATTTCAGAATTAAATTTAAAATTGTGTTTTCCGGAAAATATTTCAGAATTAATTTCAGTGTATTTTTTCCGTGTTTTCCGGAAAATATTTCAGAATTAATTTGTGTTTTCCGGAAAAATATTTCAGAATTTGCATTTTTTCCGGAAAGTATTTCAGAATTAAATTTAAAATTGTGTTTTCCGGAAAATATTTCAGAATTAATTTCAGAATTTGTATTTCTTCCGGAAAGTATTTCAGAATTAAATTTAAAATTGTGTTTTCCGGAAAATATTTCAGAATTAATTTCAGTGTATTTTTTCCGTGTTTTCCGGAAAATATTTCAGAATTAATTTGTGTTTTCCGGAAAACATTTCAGAATTTGCATTTTTTCCGGAAAGTATTTCAGAATTAAATTTAAAATTGTGTTTTCCGGAAAATATTTCAGAATTAATTTGTGTTTTCCGGAAAACATTTCAGAATTTGCATTTTTTCCGGAAAGTATTTCAGAATTAAATTTAAAATTGTGTTTTCCGGAAAATATTTCAGAATTAATTTCAGTGTAGTTTTCCCGAAAAATATTTCAGAATTAATTTGTGTTTTCCGGAAAATAATTAATTTCAGTCCGGAAAACATTTCAGAATTTATTTCAGAATTGTTTCTTCCGGAACATATTTCAGAATTAATTTTATAACGGGTTTTTATTAAGTTTCTATTTAAAAATTATTCTACTTGTTGTGGTGTAACCCGTACAGAAGGTGCGTCTTTTGAAACGCATGGATGCCCGTGATCCTTCCAAAATAAAGCTTTACAATGGCAACAAACAACAACAAGATCAGCATACTAAAAAATATTTTTATTTAATTTTTAAAAATAAATTCTCTAACAGTTTCACGAAGCCCGTAGTATTTTTTGAGTTCGAAAAATAAATCACGCCAGCTTTGTTCAGGATACTTAAAGAACAAAATTTACAAAAATTAAATTAAAACAATTTTTACTTGATGTTTGTTAATTTGAAGCTGTGAGAAGTGGAATTGGCAAAGCGTTCTATAAAAAAGGTAAAAATGTTATACAAGTTTTCTAGAAGTTTTCGACTTAATTACATGTGTTTTCCGGAAAATGTTCTATATTGTTTCCAGAATATTTTTCAGAATATAATTAATTCCGGAAAAGTTTTATTAGTCTTTTTTTCCGGAAAAGGTATAATTATATAATGTATTTTCCTGAAAGTTATAATTTCAGTTTATTTTCCGGAAACTATAATCCCTGACAGGTTTATTAAAATAATTTTCCGGAAGAGTTATAGTTTCAGAATTTATTTTCCGGAAAGTTATATTAATTCCGGAAAAGTTTTATTAAAATAATTTGTTCCATATTTTCCGGAAAGTTATAATTAATTCATGAAAAGTTTATAAATTAATTAATTCCGGAAGAGTTGTAATTTCAGAATATATTTTCCGGAAAAGTTTCATCAAAATAATTTATATTTTTTACCTCCACTGTCTCTTTTCTGATTCGACCAAAGCTTGAAGTGTTTCATTTGCTTTAGCAGCTTCCAACAGAGAAACATGATCGGGCAATTTACTCAGAATTAGAGAAAGTACTTCTCTTGGAAGGTCCAGAAATGTTATATTTTCTGGACTGGCTTCAGATAAAGTATGTGGAGCAGAACTTTTGGCAATTAAGTCGAGTAAGTTAGTACAGGTTCCTTGTTGTTTGCTGACTAATTGTGGAGAACCACAAACATGGGGAGAATCCAAACCAGAATTAAATTTTTTGAGAATATCCTTCAAAATTTAAATTTAATTTTAAAATTATAATTAAAAAATAATAAATTCTTCCGGAATTGTTTCCGGAAATATTTATAGTTTACTTTTTTTCCGGAAGAGTATAATTTCAGAACGTGTATTTTTCCGGAGAATATTTCAGAATTAAAATGTATTTTTTCCGGAAGGCGTTTCAGAATAAATTTAAAATAAATTCCGGAAAAAGTTTAATTAAGTTTTCCGGAAAAGTTATAAAATTATTTCAGAATAATTATAGAAAGTGTATTTTTTCCGGAAAAAGTTTATTTCAGAATAAATCTAGTAAATTAAACAATT